CTCCTCTCGGTAGATGTTCTCTTGCCCGCCAGCCAGCAGCTCAAGGATGGAGCGGGCTTCCTCAGCCACCCTTGTAAACAAAAAAAAAGACTCGTAATTAATCTCATACCTTGTACGCCTGCTGTATAAGTAACAACGAACTGCTTACTTTTTTTAAATGGCTTATGCCATAGTTCTGTCCTGAATATTTACAAAGTAGAGTCGACCTCTGAAGCTTTAGGTAATACCTGATTATTATTGATGTTTGCTTGTGTTTTCTTTTTGCCTTCTTATCTCGGTATAGTGAAGATGTTAGTTTCATAAGAACTATTTTTATGTTAGCTTTAATACCGCTCAAGTTTTTCGTCGGTGTCGTAGCCTTCAAACTCTCGACCAGACATGGCGGCGTTCTCTTCCTCCAGCGACTCCGGAAGGCCGCGGGCTTCCACGTAATCCCCTGACTGAGATGCGTTCCTTGAGAACAAGATATATGGAATGGTAAAAAAATGATTTGAATTTAAGGATTAATGTTGTTGAATACAGCAGAGTGTATATCTTGAGCAATGAAAAACATGGAAAACTAGCGTTTCACCAGCTCATACCTTAGCCAGATGATGTCAACCTTTACAACTGGGAAATGAGTGACCGGCTCTTTGCTAGTGGAGCAAAGAAACCCTGAAGAAAATCTTTACGGGTAATAGAGCTGGATTTGGCCGAAAATTCATGTTGCTTACGGTGTTGTTAATTGGAGTAATGCATAAAGGTTTTGGGAAGGACTGAACCGACTATTCTACACAAGAAAACTCCCTACGCCTGCCACTTGGTCAGGTCCATCTGGGGCAGAGAGGAGCACGCCACCCTGTCGTTCCCAGGCTGTGTGGGCAGCCTGAAGACGTCCGGCTGCATGTGTGTGGTGTCGTCCGTGTTGTCGCACAGGATCCGTGACAGACTGGTCTTCCTGATCTCCGCAAGTTGGGCTGCAGAAACAGGGAAACAGAAAATGAATGTCAACATGCTGAGATGCATCCACTTACAGAAGGCCTCTGTCTGGCCAGTAGGCCAGGCCGGTCTTCCGGTAACTTAAAGTGAGCGAAAAAATATGGTGGTAAATTCCTCTCTTACATACAAACATTGAACACCAAGTTTATTACTGGTATTTGTTTATTTGAATGATCTCCATTAGTGAGTATACACTTATACTCACTATTCCTTTGGGAAGGACTTAACCGACTCTTCTATACAATAAAACTCCCTACGCCTGCCACATGGTCAAGTCCATCTGGGGCAGAGAAGAGCACGCCTCTTGGTAGAAGGGAGAAGGGAGGAGAAAATTGGTAGCCAGATTTCTGCGGTGCCAAGTGGACAAATGTTTGGATTAAGGGACAGATGAGAGAGAGTGCTATACTTCTGTTGATCCTATCCTGTCCTTCCTAACAACATGTCCACAGACCTGCTGTAAACTGTCCGCGGTTCTCGAACCAGAAGCGGTCCCCCTGGCGGAGGGCCTGGAACTGCAGGCCGATCAGACAGGCGAAGGTTGGACCGACGACACCGCCCCGCACGGACTCCTCGGCAAGACCCCCCACGAACACGTCGATGTCGTCCACGTGGCTGTGCGAAACGAGAAACAGGCAACAGTACAAATAAGTAACAGCCACGACGTGACAATATATCTACAGGATTCAAAGTGTGTTTCCCTTCTCTTCTTTCCCTTCAGAATTAGTAGTACTGCCTCAAATCTTCGTGCAAACAATAACAAAAACAACAATCCCTTCAGGATGCTTATAGACAGTTTACATACAAAGTCTCCTGCAGATCTGCACATACTTTGAATCCGCTGGCATTCTTCCACACCTGTGTAACAATGTGTGGGTACATGCACGTTTACAATAACATGTTTTAAAAGTCGCACCTGTAAACATCCTCCAGCCTCAATCGGATGTAACGGTCTGGGATTTCAAACACCAGTTCGTCGAAGCTGTTGGCTTTGGGCAGGCCACACATCACCCTCCAGGCGTTGTAGCCGGGCAGCCCGTGGTCTCTGCCCCGCTGGATGCTCAGCGCCGCCAGGTCCAGGCCAAGAGACCCGGGAGGATCCGCAAACAGATGCTTCGTCAGGCTCGAGACCATGAACCGGTCGAAATCCTGATGGGGCTGGGCGGTCAGTCCCCGTAGGATGGAGTCCGGGCCGCCTAGGTCGTTGTTGAGGACGTGGGATGGATTGAAGAAAGCAAAGGCCAGCTGAATCGGGCATAAGCTTCCCTGGTTAAAGTCCGGAGTAAGGCGGAACTGACGTTCGTTAACCAGACTGTGGCCAAACCGGTAGGCTGCCGTGGCGAAGACGTTAGAGATGGTGGGGTTCACGCTCGCGTCGTACCCAGAGAAGAACCCGCTCCGGCGGAGGGTCAGGTGAAACTTGGTCATGGCGGCCGGACCGAGAACGAGAGGAAGGTGCTCCCCGTACGTGATCTTCTGCATCAGCGCGCCGACGATCTTCCTGGTCTCGAAGAACACCCGATCGTCGTCCCAGTGCGGGTTGAGTTCGGAGAGCTGCCTTGCGATCCTGTTGTGTTCCCGCAGGAAGACGGTGTGCATGGAGGTCAGTCCCGGCTGCTCGTTCACACGGACGTCCCCAGCCTGCGAGCACGTCTCGTTCCCGGTAAATTCGGCACACCCGACTTCGGAATCCGCAATGGCGGCGGGCAGGAGCTCCTTCTTGTTGGCGTCTTCAGGGTTCGGTCTGGACTTCAGCAGGCCGTGTGCTCCTAGGAGAGAAGGCAGTGGAATGGTGAGATTGCTCATTCCTTGACAAAGGAATGAGCAAAGTTTGGGTAAATCCATTATTTGTGATTTGCAGATTTGGCAATCACAGAACCACTAAGTTCATCAACATCTAGAAACAGATTAAGCACAATCATACGGGGAAACACATACCTCCAAAGACCAGAACCTCACATAGGATGAGATAGTTGGTGGTAGGGAGTGAGATGCCGACATATCGGCCCCTCCGACCGTCACAGTCCACTGTGATCTTTTTTCGCCCTGATGTCACGGGGTGGTTCCCGCCGCATTGTGGGTTGGACCGCACGGTGGGAGAGTCGCCGACGTGAACCCGGAAGTTGTTCAGGTATTGGTAATAGCTTCCGGATCCGGTTAAGACGACGACTGTGTCAATGGCTTGTGACCTTCTCAGGTCTACACGCCACCAGGGGTTGCTTTGCCTAGTAGTGTGGATGCAGGACCCTCCACCCCAGTTCCTGTCAGTGTTGCCGTCCACTGCCCGTCCGGCCACGCCTCCCCCAGTCGTGCTGATCTGGGCTGCGGGTCGCCCCAAGGCGAGATTGACACCTGCAAGAAATTTAGTAAACGAAATAATACATATAATCTGCATCGTACTTTATCGTATAGGCTATAGTCAAGACTTAAGTTAAGGTCTATGCTTTTGGCATAACACGGAAGCACAATGTTCATCTCTTTTGCATAAAGTCCATGCGTACCCAGAACCGTGCCTGGCGCACATCTGTGTTATCGGATACGCGCCTAATCCTAACCCTCATCCGCTCAGGCAAAGAACTAGATAGGCACTGTTCTGGATAGACTAAAACTTACAGAGGATTAAACAAGTTGGGGAAACGTACCAGATGGGATTCCCCGGGCTTGGCAGATGAAATACCCGGTGGAGCAACCCCTGTCGTCCCACTTGCCGTCCGCTCCTGGCAGCAAAACGACGCAGTCCCCTCCATTGTTTGGTTGCCCTGGGTTCCAGTTGTTGTAGGAACCTGTGAAAAAGACGTGAATTTTGCAACAGGAAGTGGCGAGAGCAACATACCTTCTCACACAGTCTCCTTAACTCTGTCTTCATACTTGTGATGTCTTATTAGGACTCAATGGCAGAAAGGTCCAGTCATTGACATCCTACAGTCTTTTTAGTATAGTTATAGAAAAATAGAAAATAGCAAGGTTGAAACAATAAAGAACAATCAAGCAGGTGATTACTGAAACTGTTACCCAATCTGGTTCCGTCAGCAAAGCGCCATTGTCCTTCAGTGGTTTGATCATCCAGTCCGATGTAGAAGTTGACGTCCTTCCGAACTGCATTCTTCAGCTGGACCAGGAACGCGTTGGTGGCGGCGTCTTTCGGCATGGCCAGCACACCGTCATCTTCCATGCAGGCCTTCAGAAGCCAGCTGCGGTCTTTTTGTGAGGGGAAGGCCTTAAAGCAGTTTTGCTGGAAGCGTTGGTAGCCCGTCGGACATGTAACTTCATTGGAACCTGCAGAGCCTTTTGCAACAAAGGAGATCAAGTGTCAACAGTGCTTATCTATTATATCTAGAACGTGCCTATCTACTTCTACATGTATGTCAGAGCGGGTATAGGGCTAGAATCAGGCATGGTTCTGGATAGGACGTAGCTTTTATCCCAGACACGGTTCTGGATACCCGTGGACTATCGAGACCCGTGGCCTAGCTAGCATTAATCTGTATTAAGTACTGTTCTTGACAACAACACAGTTCTGGAACTGATAGTGATGTCAGTCATTAGTTGTAATTGCCTGGTATCCATCCTTATTTTAGCGACCGAGTCACTTTTGTTCTTGACCTGTGAGGCTAATAACAAAATAAAACAGATCAGGACGAAAGAGACTCGGCAGCTATTAAAGGGATGGAGAACATCATACCAGAAAGCAGCGACGTGAGTTCGTGTATTACTTACCAGCGTGTTCTCTGAGCTCCTCTATCTCTTCGTCCGAGGAGCCGTAGACGTTGGAGGCGTCCACGAAGGCGGTGATTTGGTTCAGCTGCTGCCGGCGGCCCAAGCGGCACCCTTCGTTTGGACCGGATAGGGAGCGAGCGAACGGCAAGCAGGGCCTCCCTGCGAAGTCTAGGTCGTCTGAGGGGATGTTGATGTTGAAACAGCGTTCCTCCTGTTCGCAATTGGTACCACAGGTACAGACGAGACCTGCAGATGCATGGTTGAAAGCAGACATATGAGGTGAAATATGGTGCGTAATGGAAGATAAGGGAGCACTGGACATCTCAGCCGAGCAACTTTTTCCTGGGAGGTAATTAGGGAGCACTGTACTTTCAACCGGGACCTGATGGATGATACCGACTTCAATGCTAATGTTATGGCATGCCCAGCCCCATTCAGACAAGCCTGCTTCTGAGACCGGAGATGATCCGAATAATTCATATGGTCTAGTTTGTGTGTGTGTGTGTGTGTGTGTGTGTGCAAAAAGCAGTTAACACTTAATAGAGATGCATTTCATGTTTTCACGAACCTTCTTCCTGGAAGTTGGGCGTGAGAGTGATGTCGTGGTCCAGGAACTGTCCGAACTGCATGACCATGTAGGTGTTGACCGGGTTGGATTTCCGCAGGTCCTCGTGCATGGTCGTGCTGACCAGCCGCGCGCTGGGGAGGGGGGCGCCATCACGCCCAGTGCTGCGGGGGGTTGTCAGGCCTAACAGAACAGAGTAAACGTTTTAGGAGCGCAGATGTTGTATCTAGAACCGTGTTTGTCTAGTTCTATGCCAGAATGAGTTTAACTTAGGATCAGGCACGGCTCTGAATAGTCTCGGCTTATCCAAGAACATAGCTTTATCACAAGCACTGGTCTGGATACGTAAGGACTAAACAGAATCGTGCCTGAGCAAGGTAAGTCAAAGGCCCAATCACCGAACATTCGGTTCTACTTAAGGGATTTCTTAACAAACCCAATATTTTACGATAGATATAAAGGGGCCTGCCCAGTAGAGGAGGTACTAGAAGCGTGATGTAGTCAGGCTAGGGGCCTGAACACTGGGAGGGCTGCTAGATGTAGTCAGGCTAGGGGCCCGGCCAGTGGAAGGGCTGCTAGACGCGTGATGTAGTCAGGCTAGGGGACTGACCAGTGGAAGTGCTGCTAGAGGCGTGATGTAGTCAGGCTAGGGGCCTGGCCAGTACAAGGTCTGCTAGAAGCGTGATGTAGTCAGGCTAGGGGCCCGGCCAGTGCAAGGTCTGCTAGAAGCGGTATGATGTTCTGCGTGATGTAATTGGACTAAAATCTACATACCGTCGCCGTATTCAGGCTCCAGCAGCCTTCTTAAGGGTTGGTCACTACTTCCCCACAGGGGGTGGTTCCGGTTGTTGCAACGGCCGTTTGCCGAACGGAACTCAGGGACGGCTGGTGTAGGGCATGTCGGCTGTATGCAGAAGGCCCTGCAAGCACTTGTCATGTTCCGGATGTCGATGGCGGACAGCGCTTCTATAGTGTAGCGTCTACCGGAACTGAAAATGAAAGATTTATTTAAAAAAAAAGCTAATTCAACGCGCTTGGAAAAAAATGGAGTTCACTTTTTGAGCTACCCATAGTGCTCCGCGCTCCCCAGCATGCAGTGGTATCCTTGGAAAGGTCTATGTCACGTGATAAATCATGAACATTTGTCTTTTCATTTATTCAATAGGAGCGGAAGCTTTATCGTATTCAGAACCATACTTGGGAACGGTTCTAGATAGTCCACGCGTCCATATACCAGCACGGTCCACGCGTATCCAGAACCGTGCCTGGGGCAAATCTAGTACGTTCTTGGATACACAGAGACTATCCAGAACCATACCTGATCCTAACTCATTCAGTCATAGAACTGGATAGGCATGGTTCTAGATACTATAATGTCTTACCCGTCTATGAAGTGTTTTGCCACCTTCTCCAACACGGTGGCACACCTGCTAAGCTCCCTTTCCTTTGTGGTGGGGTGATGTTCGCTGGCCAGGGTGTTCAGAGCTCCGGAGAGGTGGCTTTCCTCTGGTTCATCACCTGGAAGGCACACGGGGTAAGCTTAGTCACAGATGTAGCATGAGACCCCAGTTTCGACAACTTTGTACTTATGATGTGTTACTGGACCGGTAAAGAGAAAACAGTTTTGACTGATGGAGGTTCCAGCCAAGGCTTTGCCACTGCCTGGATGTCAGACTGTCCTTAGAGACAGAATAGAACACAATGGATGGAGGTGCGGGTGCCAATGGTAGAATTTACTTAGGGACATGGAGCCGAGGAGCTCGTCTGTGTACTTGCCCTGGCAACAGGCACGGTTCTGGATAAGCGTGGACCGTGCCTGAGCATGTTTCTGGATAAAGCACGGTGCTAATTACAACACCCACCTGCGGAGACTGCTCCATTTTCTGCTGTTGCCTGGGCGATCGCCTGCTGCAGTTCTTCTTCCGAAGGGCCCTGACCGGTAACCATGACAACCAGCGGCGCCATGGCAACCGCGGCGAAGAACATCGGGATCAACCTGAAAGCAGAAGACATCCTCGTCACCGTTGTGTCTAATGGTATGTCTGTGATGTTATTTTTTGTTCCTTAAACTCTGTCTTCCTCTGATTACAGTATGCGGCTCCATGAATGCTGTAGTTGATGAAAACAAAGGTTTGGCCATACAAAATAGAGCCATCCGCTGCTTTCTCGGTGTTCATCGCTTCGCACCCACTTCTGCCATAGACGGTGACATGGGCTGGGTCCCATGTAAGGTTAGGTGGAAGGAAGCGATGGTGGCACTGTGGAACAGGCTTGTTGGTATGCCTGATGACAGGATTACAAAGAAGGTTTTCAAGTGGGACCTACGTAATGAAGGCCCGTGGATCAAAAGTCTGCATGAACTATTTTGTGCAGGACTATACAATACAAGATGAAAATGTACAATTACTGGTGTTATTTTTAGCGTCTAGTCATATGACAAGCCTGTACGTGACGGGACTAAACAAGCCGGAGCCACCCACATCTGCTTGGAGAGCTGCCAAAGGTTTACAGGTGAGCAGATTTCATCTGTGACATGACAGAGCGTGTCCGCACGTAGCATCGGAATGAAGTGATCACGTTGTTGTTTTAACCGTGCCAAAAGCGCATACCCTGACAAGAAAGGGACAGAACTGTGTACACTAAAAAATAGACTTTTAAGTCCACAACGTAATCTTCTATCAGATCTTTTAGTGGCTGCTGCAAAACAGAATCAAATTGACAAGAAAGGATCGAATTGACAAGAAAGGATCGAATTGACAAGAAAGGATCGAATTGACAAGACAGTGTCAAATTGGCAGGGCAGTATCAAATTGACAAGACAGTATCAAATTGACAAGACTGTATCAAATTGGCAAGACAGTATCAAATTGGCAAAGTAGTATCAAATTGACAAAACAGTATCTAATTAGCAAGACAGTATCAAGTCGATAAGACAGTATCAATGTGGCAGGGCAGTATCAAATTAACAAGAAATGATCAAATTGGCCGGGCAGCATTAAATTGACAAGACAGTATCAAATTGACAAGACAGTATCAAATTGACAAGACAGTATCAATGTGGCAGGGCAGTATCAAATTGGCAGGGCAGTATCAAATTGACAAGACAGTATCAGGTCGACAAGACAGTATCAATGTGGCAGGGCAGTATCAAATTAACAAGAAAGGATCAAATTGGCCGGGCAGCATTAAATTGACAAGACAGTATCAAATTGACAAGACAGTATCAAATTGACAAGACAGTATCAATGTGGCAGGGCAGTATCAAATTGACAAGACAGTATCAAATTGACAAGACAGTATCAAATTGACAAGACAGTATCAAAGTGGCAAGACAGTATCAAATTGGCAAAGTAGTATCAAATTGACAAAACAGTATCTAATTAGCAAGACAGTATCAAGTCGACAAGACAGTATCAATGTGGCAGGGCAGTATCAAATTGACAGGAAAGGATCAAATTTACAAGACAGTATCAAATTGACAAGACAGTATAAAAGTGACAAGACAGTATCAAATTGATAAGACAGTATCAAATTGACAGGGCATTTCAATTGGCAAGACAATATCAAATTTTCAGGGCAGTATCAAATTGGCAGGAAAGTATCAAATTGGCAAAGTATTATTAAAATTGACAAGACAGTATCAAAGTGGCAAGACAGGATCAAATTGACAAGACAGGATCAAATTGACAAGACAGGATCAAATTGACAAGACAGGATCAAATTGACAAAACAGTATCTAATTGGCAAGACAATATCAAATTTTCAGGGCAGTATCAAATTGGCAGGAAAGTATCACATTGGCAAAGTATTATTAAAATTGACAAGACAGTATCTAATTGTCAAGACAGTAGACAGTATCAAAGTGGCAGGGCATTTCAATTGGCAAGACAGGATCTAATTGGCGATGGTGGCGCTGTGGAACAGGCTTGTTGGTATGCCTGATGATAGGATTACAAAGAAGGTTTTCAAGTGGGACCTACGTAATGAAGGCCCATGGAGCAAAAGTATGTGCTGGACTTGATAAATTCAGTTAGGTCCACTAAAGTGTTAAAGTGTAAAGAGCAGGTGTTGCTTTCTAAAATACCATGAATTTTTTTAAATACAAAATCCACCAAATTTTTAGCTTCCATTAGGCCATGTTGATTTGATTACGTGGATGATATGCGCGTGCATGAATTTTGTGCCGTTTCCAAAAAAAAGTTTTCAACCATACTGTAAATCGTACAAAACAGTTACAAAATTAGCAAATATATACCGCAAGTTGGAAAGAAATATTGAAAAACAATACCAATGTCCTAGAAATCAAACAAAAAAGACGAAAAGGTAACGAAAATTGAAGACTCTGGCTTACCCCCCCCCCCTCCACAAAAAAAATCAGTTCTCGAAAACTTCTGTTTTAGCATGTGCAAGTACACAAATTTATTGAATAATTCTAATCATAGTATTTCGTTGTATGCGGAGGTCACTTTTTTGTTTCCACCAACCCCGTGATGATATCGTTAGAATTTGTTAACCGAATTTGTGTACCTGCCATACCCGTGGTACGGTGGAAAAGAGTAGACTAACTAAGGGCCGGGAGGGGGCGAGAACTAACCTCCAAGCATGCAGATCTTTTGGTGGGGGTAAACAGAGTCTATACAATACAAGATGAAAATGTACAATTACTGGTGTGTAGTCATATGACCAGGCTGTACGTGACGGGACTAAACAAGCCGGAGCCACCCACATCTGCTTGGAGAGCTGCCAAAGGTTTACATGTGAGCAGATTTCACCTGTGACGTGACAGAGCGTGTCCGCACGGAGCATCGGAATGAAGTGATCATACATCATACATAAACTAGTCCGGAAATAGTTGCCGTTGGCACTTGGCTTTAGGGGGAGATTATAAGACTTGTCTGTCTGGTATCTATTGCACTTATTTGATGACTTTGACAGATTCTGCGGTGGATTATTGAGTAAGTCATGCGTACCGAACATGTGTTACCAAAGCGTTTACAGGATATTGTCTTTGCCGTATTCGACGAAGAGTTTCATACAGATGGTGGGAGTGAAAACATCGGTATCACAAAGTAAAGCGGGACTTACCTATGATATCACTGTTTATCGCCTACGGCGATAAACGCCTGGCATTCATTATCATTGTAACTCATGAAAACATGACATAGACAATTTGCAAACAGTCACCGCTCATGTCATGTTTTCGCTCAATACACGGACGCGGGATGCGCCGCATAACATCACACGGTAGGCAGACAAGTGTGCCCAGTTGCTGACACAACAGCCAATGCATGTGTTAGGCAGAGTATGTTTCTCTGTGACAGTTAGTTTTTCCACGGCATTTCCTGCATGCATCGCAGCTACATACAAGCCAGGAAAAAAACGAAATGAGAAAAAACAGCTTGGGTGGTCATGAGGAAGGGCACAACTTATAAAGGGCTTTGTGATACAAGTAGAAACATAAACATGCAAATATGGACATAAACAATCATGAGGGCTTCATAAATAAATAAACAAATACAAGAATGACAAAATGTTAACTTGAAATTGCCTCCGATGTCACAAATTCAATTTCACCGGTAAAACAAGGAGTCTTTATCAAGTAGTTATCAACTCATTTGCTGCTATTAGATTTCCAGCGCTTATTTTGACCGAGGTGTTCGAAATAGAACAGGAGGGTTCGACGTGTTCGATCGGGAAAGGTCCATTATAAGCAGCCGCGCTGTCTGAAGTTATAGGGCTGGGTAGGAAACCTGTTCTGCTCAGGTTGGGGGGCCTTCGAATTCCGTAATGAGTCGGGAGGTTGGCTGGAGGTCGGCTGGTGGTCGGCTGGTGGTCGGCTGCTGTTTCTCTGTGATCGGCACACGCTCCGGAAGCATTCGGCACGGTTGGTAGAGGGTTGGGATGAAATGCTGTGTAGTTTGGGGCACATTTGTCTCCAAATTTTACCCCCGTAAACGCGCCAAACACTAACTGACGCATCCCCGAACACTAGCCAACCATGAAACTAAACGGGCCCAATGATATCATCCAAGCACAATGAGGCTATCCACTGGCCTCCAAGTTAGATCCCCTTTCCCATAGACGAAATGTTGCCTCTCTATCCCTCTTTTACAAATATTTTCATGGTCATTGCTCTGCAGAACTCACCCAACTAGTTCCAACACTCAGAACTTTTAAGCGATTCACTAGGTTCTCCACTAGCTCACACAACTTCACCGCCCAAATTCCTTGTTCGAAATCCTTTTAAAGTCACAGTTTCTTTCCCCGTACGGCCAAGCTTTGGAATTCCCTCCCTGACAAGTGTTTCCCACCAACCTACGATCTACAGGCTTTCAAATCAAACGTTCACCGCCATCTCTTGACATAGCCATCATATTTCTCTCATATGTCTAGTTCAATGTCGAGAAGTGGTCGTATAGGCCTTGCATTGAACCGTTAGGAAAAAAAGAGCTTCCCATGACCCAACGCCGGCATTGTGACCCTCCCAAATGACCACAAATGTTTCAAACATTTTGGAACTTTCGGCTGACTCGGCAAAGCAGAAGAAGTTAAATTGGGGGTGCGTATAAAATGACAAATAAAGTTCAGCTTACTTTGCTAGCATGACGTTTGTGAGAGCGGTGCCGACAAGAGACGACGCCGAGCCGACGGAAGACGATGCTGAGCCGACGGGACACAAGGTCGAGCCGCCCCCTGTTCTCTTTAGAACACCTCGGTCAAAATCAGCGCGGGAAGGACCGCGCAGGCCGCCGCCGCCAGAATGTCGGTTTTGCCGCTCAACTTTAGGGTCGAGTTTTCGGCAGCGAAAAACTCTCTAAGCAGCAACAAAAAGGGGTTACGCTATCTTCGTTGAAGTGCACATCCACGGAGTAAAACTTATTCGAAGAGAGGACGGGGTTAGTTTTAATGAAAAATATTTTCGCTCAATGCAGACGCCGGACACACGGTATCACCAGTAGGCAGACAAGAGTGCCCAGTTGCCGACACAACAGCCGATGCATGTGTTACGCGGCAGAGTACGTTTACGGAAAAAAATTAAATAGAAAAAAAACAGCTTGGGTGGTCATGAGAAAGGGCGCAACTTATAAAGGGCTTTGTGATACAAGTAGAAACATAGGCACGCAACCGTGGACATAAACAATAATGAGGGCTTCATAAACAAATACAAGAATGACAAAACGTTAACTTGAGATTGCCTCCGATGTCACAAACTCAAAACAAGCTTAAGGAGTATTTATCAAGTAGATATCAAGTCATTTTGCTGCTATTAGATTTTCCGGGCTTATTTTGACCGAGGTTTCCGAAATAGAACAGGAGGGTTCGACGTGTTCGATCAGGAAAGGTCCATTATAAGCAGCCGCGCTGTCTGAAGTTATAGGGCTGGGTAGGAAACCTGTTCTGCGTAGGTTGGGGGGCCTTCGAATTCCGTAATGAGTCGGGAGGTTGGCTGGAGGTCGGCTGGTGGTCGGCTGCTGTTTCTCTGTGATCGGCACACGCTCCGGAAACATTCGGCACGGTTGGTAGAGGGTTGGGATAAAATGCTGTGTAGTTTGGACCACATTCGTCTCCAAAGTTTACCCCCGAAAACGCGCCAAACACTAACTGACATATCCTCGAACACCAGCCAACGATGCGGGCCCTCCCAAACAACCACAAAATTGTCTCCACATTTTACCCTGAAACATGCGACAAACACTAACTGACGTACCCCGGACACCAGCCATCCATGCCTACCCTTACTTAGCTTTCAAACAACCACAAATGTTTCAAACATTTCGAAACTTTCGACTGACTCGCCAAAGTAGCAGAAGTTAAATTAAGGGTGCGAAAAATGACAAATAACGTTCAGCTTACTTTGCTAACATGACGTCTGTGAGAGCGGTGCCGACTGGAGACGACGCTGAGCCGACGAAAGACGATGCCTAGCCGACGGGACACAACGTCGAGCCGACAAGACACGTTGTCGAGCCGACGGGACAAGATGCCTAGCCGACGGGACACGAAAAACTTGCCGACAGGACACGATGCGGGCCTAGAGGACGAATTCGAGGCAGTGACGGTCTCTCGTCCGTGACACCTGTCTGCGTCCACCTGTCTGTCCCCTGCCACGAGGCGGTCATTTATAAACCCTTCTCCCACCTTCATGCTTGAGCAGATGTCACGATTTCTGGGAGTGTCTGATGATGTGATAACTGTCCCTCCCAATTATGATCATGCTCGAGTTTGTATTGACAATAGTCGGACAGGGATGACGCCCCAGGGAGGAGAGAATGGCCCAGGTCTTTTACAATACGACGTGCGATGACTTGTAATAACTGCCCCTCCCACTTATGATCATCATCATCATCATGATCATCTTCGCCGCTGTAGTCATCTATCGACGATCCGGGCCTCCACCGCTCTCCAATTATGATCATGCTCGAGTTTGTATTGACAATAGTCGGACAGGGATGACGCCCCAGGGAGGAGAGAATGGCCAGGGTCTTTTACAGTACCAAGGGGACGTGTGATGACTTGTAATAAGTGCCCCTCCCACTTTTGATCATGCTCGAGTTTGTATTGACAACAGTCGGACAGGCAAAAAAGACAGGGGTGACTCCCCAGGGCCGTGAGAATAGCGTAGGCCGGGCCATGACGACAGTCGATCGCTTGTATGTTTCACCCCAGAGTTACAAATTACAGTTACAAATGCCAGGCCAATTTAAAGTAAAATTCATTTAATTTAGAGATACAGCGTAGATAGGCCAAGGAACTATGTGATTGTAATGTTAGTATTAAGGGCGAGAATAAACGTATACTAAAGTCCACACAAGAGTAATGACAAGCCGTTCTCAAATGTCCCAAATGCATTCCTGCATGTGACGTCATCGCACATGCCGGGGGACAGGTGGGCGGCTACAGGTGACTGGGCCGTGACGTCGTCTTTTGTGTTTGCGGGTTTTATCTATCAGCGATCAATGTTAGCTAAAGGTCAGGCGCAACTGTTGTGTAAATCTTCACTAGCTGTAATATTGTTTTGGCGTTCCCGATTCGGTCGTGTTCATCCACACAACAAAAGAGCAGTCAGAAGTCAGTGTAGGTCAGGTGCAGGGGGTTATTGAGACATTGCCCGAATCTATCCAACCGTTCAAAAATCCTACTCAAGTCTGAAATGGGCGAGGCGAAGAATCTCCAAGCAGATATCTTGGTGGCTACAAGGCAGTATCAAACTGACAAGACAGTATAACATTTGCCAGACAGTATCCGATAGTAGTTTAGCTGGTGAAAATAAAATGGTACAAAATATGCCCCCCCCACACACACACATGCACACATACACTCACACACACACACGCACATACAGGCACACACACACACATACAGGCACACACACACACACACACACACACATACACACTCACACACACACACGCACATACAGGCACACACACACACACACACACACACACACACACACACACACACACACACACACACACACACACACACATACACACACATACATACAGACATAGATACATTCCAGCCCAAGTTTAAGAAAACAATTGCTTAGTTTATACAGGGACAGTGCTAATAGGGAAGGGAACTATGTGATAGGAGTGCTGTTGATGTGGACATTGATGGGTCCAGAAGTTGTTCTGATTTCAGAGCGAGAATAAACGTATACTAAAGTCCACAAAAGAGTAATGACAAGTATTTCTCATGCCCCTAATACATTCCTGCATGTGACGTCATCGCGCATGCGCGCCTGGCCCCGGCAGTGACTCAGGATCGGAGTTTTTTCTAACCTGAGATCACGTGGACTGAGGCATCCTGTTTACCTGGAATACGTGCACAGAACACCTGTCCGGGGACAGACAGGCAGGTGGGCGGCTACAGGTGACTGGGCAGTGACGTCGTCTTTTGTGTTTGCGTGTTTCATCTATCAGCGATCAGTGTTAGCTAAAGGTCACACGCAACTGTGTAAATCTGCACTGTAATATTGTTTTGGCATTCCCGATTCGGTCGTGTTCATCCACACAACAAAAGAGCAGTCAGAAGTCAGTGTAGGTCAGGTGCAGGGGGTTATTGAGACATTGCCCGAATCTATCCAACCGTCCAAAAATCCTACTCAAGTCTGAACTAGGCGAGGCGAAGAATCTCCAAGCAGATATCTTGGTGGCTACAAGACAGTATCAAACTGACAAGACAGTATAACATTTGCCAGACAGTATCCGATAGTAGTTTAGCTGGTGAAAATAAAATGGTACAAAAATTAAAAACGCTTAAAAAGACGACAAAAAAAGCCGACGTCTAAACCTCGAGGGGCGAGACGGTCAACGTCCTATCGCCGGTGTCACAGCGATCTAGCACTCCCCGATAGTGATTTATTTTATACATTCCAACACGTAATCACAAGAAGTGGTGCAATGGTGACGGCACACTCAAGTTTTTCAAACTTATATTAATGCCCCCACCAACACAGGGGACAATACAATATTCATTTTCACCTGAGTTAAGTGAGAAAAGTCTTGTAAAGTGCCTTTCCCAAGGCACAAGATCGGCGGCATGTCAGGACTCAAACCCGGGACTCGAGCACTCTGCCGCTACGCCACACGACCCCACTAATTGTTTGGTCCCCCACCTCGTCCCCTTAAGGGACCGTTCGATATTTACCAGAGTTGAGGGCCGGTGCGTATTGGGGGAGGGTCAAGGAAAAATCAGAAGCGCCAGGGGAGGGCCAAGGAAAAATGGCTTGGGGAAGGGGAGGGCTAAAGAAGATATTTTTCAGAATTTGCACTACTGATAAGGTATTCATTGTTACTATTTGTTTTGTTACTATTATCATATTGATCATATTGATCAAATTTATTAATTACCTATTGTTATTTATTATTAACACGAAATAGCCATGCATTCAAATACCAGAGTTATCAACCAAGGATTGAGGTGTTCAAGAATTCATTCTTTCCTAGAACTATCGCGGAGTGGAACTCACTGTCACCAAGTACAGTAGGGGCATTGTCAATAGATAGCTTTAAACAATGTCTAGAGCTAGAAGTTCAAGGGTTAGGTGTAACAGGTCGATCGGTGTAATATAGCCAGCTGCCGCCGCGCCGCGTGCCTGCGAAGCTGGTGTGTTACGCCGAAAGGCGGTTATACCGGCTATACAGATACAGATACAGACAGATACAGATACCATTTGATTTGTTAGCATTATTTCAGTTGTTAATTAATTTTGTCGGGGAAGATCCCAGACAAGCCACTATGGCTTCATATCTTCCCCAGCATTTTATTTTATTGTCAGTAATATGTTCATTTTATTGTTCTTAAATATATGCGAACCAATAAACAAACAAACAAACAAACAAGGTAAGTACACAATACATGGCCTTTGGACCTTTGGGAGCGGGCAAAGGAGTGCGTCATTTTCGTTCGAGATTTGACCGCCCCCAAGCAAGATTGGTTTCTTCCATACCTCCCACAAGTCTGGTGGCGCTTGTTCTTTTCTTTTTAAGGTACACCTTTTATCTAAAGGTCCAATATTTTTCTGCAGATCTGTGAAATCCTCTCTAAAACGCAGGAGATGCCATTTCAGAAGGTTCATTGTTCCCACAATTTCCAGGGGGGGGGGGCATACCCCCGGACCCGCCTAGGAACCTCGCGCCTACAGCGCTCGCTGGTCCCTCAAGCAGTGGAAAGAACCCCCCCTCAAAATCCTAGCTACCGGCATGCGAGTTGATTCATTTTCTATGTGTATTAAAATGTTTCCGTAAATTATTTACGGTCCAAAAGAGTTTCAGATATAAAAAGCTGTCCCCTTAAACGCTTAAAAAGACGTCAAAAACACGCCACAGTCTAAACCTCTACTTGGAGAGTAGGCGAGGCAGTCAACGTCACATGGCCGACAGGTTGTTCCCTTTTCCCCGAAGCGCGGATGTTTGGTGAAGACGCTTGGCTGCTCGCCAACACCCCCCCCCCCGCATAAACCCACCACAGGTGCACTGAAGCGTCCGTCACGACTACCTGTAACTCGGGAAGTTCGGCACAATGCGCCCGGCACGGTATAATTAACGTTACCCACACAGTGCGCGGGGGCTGTACTGTGGGAGAGTTGGACTGTGTAGAGGACAGGCGGACATTAGAAGCGGACATACAGCCAACCATACGGTCGGGACCGAGCTACGTACTACACACGACTACAGACCTGGACAGAGCTACGGTAGGGACTCATTTAATTAACCTCGTTCGCAGACTTGTGGGGTGGCAAAGTATCTGGGAGCGATCCAGAAATCGGACAACAGGCAAGTCTTAATCATACACGGTACATTGGAGCGGGTCACCACCTTCCCATACTTAATACACTGTAGATCGGAGCGGGTCACCACCTTCCCATACTTAATACACTGTAGATCGGAGCGGGTCACCACCTTCCCATACTTAATACACTGTAGATCGGAGCGGGTCACCACCTTCCCATACTTAATACGCTGTAGATAAGTCCTTCCTATAATACTACCCTCATTCGCACACTTGTGGTGGGGCGGTGGCGTTGATTGTTGATTGATTGAGCGTCGCGAGTTTTGCCGCCGAGGGAATTTGCCGGGAAAAGACTAACGTTTTCACCGCCCGAAACCTCTCCTCCCCGGCAAACTCCCTCGGCGGCAAAACCGTCCCTCCGCGGCATAACTCGCGACGCTTCCCGTCAAAATTAGCCTCCGTAGCAGGCTTATAGAACTGGGGATTTGGTGGTCTTCGGCTGTTTTCGAATAGCCCAGTTCCAAAAAACGGGGGTAATTCAACCAGTCCGGCTATGTTGTCTATATGCAATCAGAAAATAGCACAGAAAAGATCCCAAAGACACTGAAGATCCCCAAAACCCCCAGTTTTTGGCATGCTATGGAGGCTAGTCAAAAATCCACGCCGCCGCCCCACAACAAGTCTGCGGTGGAGGCTAGTAAGGACTAGACCTGCCTGCTGTCCGATTTCTGAAGCTCCTACTTTTTAAACGGGCTCTCCACTCCAGAAGCGGACATTATTTTCTGATAGATAATATTTTTCGGGATACAAAGGCACCCGACTTTTTGCTACATTACCTCAACTGCCTTTCCGAGAATAATCATTTTCTAAACCCATGTAACCCCATACAGACCCGCTTCTAATGTACAGCGCTGTATATTATGCATACACATACGTTTGTTCCTGTATGGTTTAACTTTGGGCACGATTTCTCGTTAACAACAGCAGTATTCGAGTGACTATCACACATTTAGGAAGGTTCACATAACGTTGAAACTCTAAACCCGTCCTGGGATACAGAGATTTTTGGCGACAATGCGCTTTGAACTAAACTTAATTAACGAAAGGGTCTTTCCGGGGGTTTTACGGATTCGATCGCTAGAATGTTCGCCCTGTATTCAGGCTTCAACTTATGGTAAATATGACATAACAAAGTGGATTCCAGCATAACAATTTATTCTCTGAAGTAGGGATCTCTTTTTGATTTGATTTTAAAGTTCGCATTTGTTCTGGAGGGAACAGACACGGGTGAGATTTTAGAATATTTCTAACTCAGCTATGTGCCACCATAACAAACAAACTGGCAGTTCTATCAATAGGACTGGCCAAATATTCTCACTAACTAAGTAGATTTTACTGTTTTTGAACTCCGACGGTTGCTAGTCTGCTGATGTCGCGAGACAGTCGCAAGACAGCTGAAATCTGTGCGACACCTGCAAGAACCGGCAAAAAGGACAGTAAAATTGACTGAGGGAGTCCGGCCGCGGGGAGGTTGTTTCAACATTGCCTAACTCGGCTATGTGCCGCCATAACAAACAAACTGGCAGTTCTATCAGTATACAGCAGTCACCCAGGTACAGAGTAGTACAGTAGCACTGCTGTGCAGCGAGAGTGGCTTACCGACGGACAGGAAAGGATCGGAGTACACTTAGTAAAATGTTTGGACATTTTTCTGATAGTTCGCGCGAAGACATGTACAAGTGTGTTCAACCGGTGTACGGATATCAAATGACAATGACGATGTTTATTTGCACATTCATGCCCATGAGGGCTCAGCGCAGTACATTTGTAGTTTCACATGAGTCGTATAGACACTAAAGTTCTACAGAGGTGCTACACTACATTTATTGCAACATATGGATGAACATATAAGGCTAACATTGATATAGTTGACGTGTTTCTTCCCTCTTCTTAAAACAGGTACATTGTATACACGAACTCAAAGAGTTTTTGTTGTGCAGTATTGTTACGAGATGACATTATGTACACAAGTAGATCGTCTTTTGCTAACTGTTGACATCGTGTGTCTAAATTTAGGGCATCTATAAAATACTTAAGTATGTACCTGTATAGTCTACAGTCTTATACAAAATGACTTTCATTTTCTACCCTGTTTGAGTCACACAGGCACAGCGTACACAGTTTGTCTATCAAAATGAAGGCATTCTTGCATAGTCTCTACCAGAATAACTACGCTTACTATATAGCTGAGAGAGGACATGTTGAAACTACTAGTACCTCCCCGCGGTCGGACTCCCTTGGCTAATTTTACTGTCCTGTTTGCCGAATTCTACGATCCGTATTCCCGTAGAAAGGCCTGGTGGAGGCTAATTCTTGCAGGTGTCGCACAGATTCAAGCTGTCTTCTTATTGTCTTGCGACAATACCAGACTAGCAACCGTCGGGGTTCAAAAACAGTAAAATCTTCTCATTTAGTGAGAATACTTGACCAGGGGAGTTTGGCCAACGTAGTATCAGTTAACTAGTCTCTACCAGACTAACTACGCTTACTATATATAGGAGAATACTTGCCAGGGGAGTTTGGCCGCCTTGGGGTTTCGCTTGGCCGCGCTTAGCCCCCATGGGAAGCGTTGCGAGTTATGCCGCGGAGGGACGGTTTTGCCGCCGAGGGAGTTTGCCGGAAAAAGACAAACGTTTTCTACCGCCCGAACCTCTCTCCCGGCAACTCCCTCGGCGGCAAACCGTCCCTCCGCGGCATAACTCGCGACGCTTCCCGTCAAAATTAGCCTCCGTAGCAGGCTTATAGAACTGGGGGTTCGGTGGTCTTCGGATGTTTTCTGATTACCCCAATACGGGGGTAATTCAACCGTTATGTTGTCTATATGCAATCAGAAAATAGCACATAAAAGATCCCAAAGACCCTGAAGATCCCCAAAACCCCCAGTTTTTGGCATGCTATGGAGGCTAGTTAAAAATCCACGCCGTCGCCCCACAACAAGTCTGCGGTGGAGGCTAGTAAGGACTAGACTTACCTGCTGTCCGATTTCTGAAGCTCCTACTTTTTAAACGGGCTCTCCACTCCAGAAGCGGACATTATTTTCTGATAGATAATATTTTTCGGGATACAAAGGCACCCGACTTTTGGCTAAATTACCTCAGCTTCTAATGTACAGCGCTGTATACGCATACGTTTGTTCCTGTATGGTTTAACTTTGGGTACGATTTCTCGCTAACAACAGCAGCATTAGAGTGACTATCACACATTTAAGAAGGTTCACAAAACGTTGAAACTCTAAACCCGTCCTGGGATACAGAGATTTTTACACTTTTTGTCGAGCGACGATTGACCTTCCCCACCAACACACAATGCGCTTTGAACTTAACTTCATTAACGAAAGGGTCTTTCCGGGGGTTTTACGTATACGGATTCGATCGCTAGAATGTTCACCCTGTATTCAGGCTTCAACAAAGTGGACTCCAGCATAGCAGTTTAATCTCTGATGAATCACAATACCCGCTTTTGCAGTAGAGAGCTCTTTTTAAAGTTCGCATTTGTTCTGAGGGGACAGGCACGGGTGCGATTTTAGAATATTTCTAACTCAGCTATGTGTCGCCATAACAAACAAACTGGCAGTTCTATCAATAGGACTGGCCAAATATTCTCGCTAAATAAGTAGATTTTACTGTTTTTGAACTCCGACGGTTGCTAGTCTGCTGATGTCGCGAGACAGTCGCAAGACAGCTGAAATCTGTGCGACACCTGCAAGAACCGGCAAAAAGGACAGTAAAATTGGCTGAGGGAGTTTGGCCGTGGGGAGGTTGTTTCAACATTGCCTAACTCAGCTATGTGCCGCCATAACAAACAAACTGGCAGTTCTATCAGTATACAGCAGTCACCCAGGTACAGAGTAGTACAGTAGCACTGCTATGCAGCGAGAGTTGCTTACCGACGGACAGGAAAGGATCGGAGTACACGTAGTAAAATGTTTGGACATTTTTCTGATAGTTCGCGCGAAGACATATGTACAACCCTGTGTACAACCGGTGTACGGGTATCAAATGACAATGATGTTTATTTGCACATCCATGCCCATGAGGGCTCAGCGCAGTACATTTGTAGTTTCACATGAGTCGTATAGACACTAAAAGTTTTACAGAGGTGCTACGCTACATTTATTACATACAGATGGATAAACATATAGGGCTAACATTGATATAGTGTACGTGTTTCTTCCCTCTTCTTAAAACAGGTCATGGTATATTGTTACGAGATGACATTATGTACACAAATAGATAGTCTTTTTTTATTCCAACATGTAATCACAAGACGTGGTGACGACACACTCAATTTTTTTCAACTTTTTTTAAATGCCGCCACCAACACAGGGGACAAATACATAACAGGACAATACTCATTTAAACCTGAGCTAAGTGAGGAAAGTCGTGTAAAGTGCCTTTCCTAAGGGCACAAGATCGGTGGCATGTCAGGACTCGAACCCGGGACTCTTAGTTCCGAGTCGCGCACTCTACCACTATGCCACACGACCCCACACGATCGTCTTTTGCTAACTGTTGACATCGTGTGTGTAAATTTAGGGCATCTATAAAAAGACATACGTATGTCCCTGTATAGTCTACAGGCTAATACAAAATGACTTTCATTTTCTACACGGTTGGAGTCACACAGCGTACACAGTTTGTCTATCAAAATGAAGGCATTCTTGCACAGTCTCTACCAGACTAACTACGCTTACTATATAGCTGAGTGAGGACATGTTGAAACTACATGTACCTCCACACGGTCGGACTCCCTTGGCCAAATTTACTGTCCTGTTTGCCGAATTCTACGATCCGTATTCCCGTAGAAAGGCCTGGTGGAGGCTAATTCTTGCAGGTGTCGCACAAATTCAAGCTGTCTTGTTAGTGTCTTGCGACTGTCTTGCGACACCACCAGACTAGCAACCGTCGGGGTTCAAAACCAGTAAAATTTACTCATTTAGCGAGAATAATTGGCTAGGAGAGTTTGGCCAACGTAGTGTTAGTTAACTAGTCTCTACCAGACTAACTACGCTTACTATATATATAGGAGAATACTTGCCAGGGGAGTTTGGCCGCCTTGGGGTTTCGCTTGGCCGCGCTTAGCCCCCATGGGCAGGAATGTGCAAATAAACATCACTGTCATTGTCACTCTTGTGAGTTCGTATATACAATGCACCTGTTTTAAGAAGAGGGAAGAAACACGTACACTATATCAATGTTAGCCTTATATGGTCATCCATCTGCATGCAATAGATGTAGTGTAGCACCTCTGTAGAACTTTAGTGTCTATACGACTCATGTGAAACTACAAATGTACTGCGCTGAGCACTCATGGGCATGAATATGCAAATAAACATCATTGTCATTGTCATTTGATAGCCGTACACCGGTTGTACACAGGGTTGTACATGTCTTCGCATAAGCCACTCTCGCTGCATAGCAGTGCTACTGTACTATTTTGTACCTGGGTGACTGCTGTATACTGATAGAACTGCCAGTTTGTTTGTTATGGCAGCACATAGCTGAGTTAGGCAATGTTGAAACAACCTCCCCACGGCCGGACTCCCTCGGCCAAGTTTACCGTCGTTTTTGCCCAACTCCACGATCCGTATTCCCGTATAAAGGCCCGTAGCCGAATTGGCCGAACGCCAACCGACCTAACTGTACGCCAGCCGACCCTCTCCTAAACATGGTTGGCGGGCGTTCGGCTTGCTTTCGGGAGGCCAAATTCGTAGGAAAACGTAGCTACCTTCTACTGTGCTCTAGGTTAGGACATCCATTTGGAGACGTCATTCTATTGTCTTTCTCTGCGTCTATTCTTTGATATAGAGACGCTGTTTTTGTCTTATTTTTTTATGACGATTTACCACGTTTGTGGAAGGATTGACATAACAGGTGACCATCACCTCTTCAAAGATGTCAACCCCGAGACCAGACTGTAAGGTTTGAACCACTCACACCAGGAAAGTCCCCTACTCTTTTCGATAAGTGCGGTGGGTTCTTTAACGTGCGTGGGGTGTGGCTCTCCCAAACACGGGACCTCCAATTAACGTCCTATCCAAGGGACGTCCCTAACCGAAGCTAGGTTCTAGGTCGTGTAAAGTGCCTTGATCGATGGCATCGGGCAGGATTCGAACCCTCGCCCTCTAGAGTCTGGGCCGAAAACGCTACCGGTACGCCACACGACCTCACGTCGTCTTTCTGATATATTTCTGTTCCCCAGAAGATGCAGCTGTTCCTGCTGCTCGTCCTCCTGTGCCTGGCGGGCGCCGCCTCCGCCAGGTCCGTGCACGATCTGGAGTCCGAGCTGCTGCAGACCGTCCGAGAGTTGCTCAACGACCCGCCGCAGGACGGAGACAACAACAACGCGGAACCACTGCCTCCTGCCACGGATCAACAACAAGAGGAAAATGGACCAGGTAAAGACTTGTGTTTTTTTTAATAGGAAATAAATAGGAAAGATAAGATTAAGTTGATTGTGATGATGTTTGTATGTTGTATAATTGCAAAATGTCAATGCAATTCAGACGTGCCCGAAGTACTTCGGCACGTCTACCATGTTGATATTTAATAAAGATTTGATTTGATTTGATTAACGCTAATCGGTAAAGAGCCTACTGTTTTTAAATATGTAAAAAAAAGTACGCAATTCAGCCCATAGCTGCAATGTACATTTGACCCGATCTAAATGATCAAATAAACCATTCATTGATTCATTGATTCATTCATTGATTCATTCAGATTTATTCATTCATTCATTCATTCATTTATTCAAGACAACATCATAGATGACCCGCCTCCTCCCGTGCCTCCTTTCTGGGAAGAAGAAGAGCAGAATGCACCAGGTGACATCATCATAGATCCCCTGCCATCTGAACCGGAAGAGGAAGAAGCTTCACCAGACAACCCGGTGGAACCCGCTCCTCCTTCACCTGTTGGAGAGGAAGAAGAAGAGGAGGAGGAGGAGCAGGAGATGGAGGAGGAGATGGAGGAGGAGGAGGAACAAGAACAAGAAGAAGACATGTACAACCAGGCGCCGGAAGAGGAAGACCCGAAAGCGGCCATGGCCAGGTCCGTGCAGGATTTGGAGTCGGTGCTGCGAGAGGCGATCCGGAAGATGAAAGAAGGCCGGCCAAAGGACAGAGACAACAACAGGGGCCGTCGCCCGGAAGGTGGTGCACCAGGTAAAGGGAACGCGATGAAACCCGTGCCTCCTTTTACGGAAGAAGAAGAAGAAGAAGAGGAAAATCCACCAGGTGAAGAGGAGGTGATGCCTCCTGCCATGGAAGAAGAAGAAGGTGATGCTGCACCCGGTGAAGAGAACGTGGTGGAACCCGTTCCTTCCGTCACTGAAGAAGAAGAAGAAGAAGAGGAAAGTCCGCCAGTTGAAGAGGAGGTGATGCCACCTGTCATGGAAGAAGAAGAAGGTGCACCAGGTGAAGAGAACGTGATGGAACCCGTGCCTCCCGTCACGGAAGAAGAGGAGCAAAATGCACCAGGTGAAGAGAACATAATGGAACCCGTGCCTCCTGAAGAAGAAGAGGAAAGTCCACCAGTTGAAGAGGAGGTGATGCCTCCTGCCATGGAAGAAGAAGAAGGTGATGCTGCACCAGTTGAGGAACCCATGCCTCCCGTCACTGAAGAAGAGGAGCAAAATGCACCAGGTGAAGAAAACGTAATGGAACCTGTCACTGAAGAAGAAGAGGAAAGTCCACCAGGTGAAGAGGAGGTGATGCCTCCTGCCATGGAAGAAGAAGAAGCTGCTGCACCAGTTGAGGAACCCATGCCTCCCGTCACTGAAGAAGAGGAGCAAAATGCACCCGATGAAGACATCATCATCACAGATCCCCTGCCATCTGACCAAGAAGCGGCAGAAGCTTCTCCCGGCGAAGATAACCCGGTGGAGCCCGTTCCTCCCGTCACTGAAGACGAGGAAGCTGCACCAGTTGAAGAGAGCCCGGTGGAGCCCGTTCCTCCCGTCACGGAAGAAGAGGAGCAGAATGCACCCGATGAAGACGTCATCATAGATCCCCTGCCATCTGACGAAGAAGCGGTAGAAACTGCTCCCGGCGAAGACAACGCGGTGGAACCCGACGGAGCAATAGAAGAAGACGAGGAACCTCTCCAAGAAGAGGCAGAAGAAGAGGAAGAAGTAGACCCGGCCAACGCCCCGGAGGAGCAAGAAGAAGAAGAAGGCGACCAGGACGCCGCTCCGGCTGAAGATGAAGTCCCACAAGCGGCCATGACCAGGTCCGTGGAGGACTTGGAGTCGGTGCTGCTGCAGGCGATCCGGGAGATGGAGGAAGATCAAAAGGCGAAAATCAACAATAAGGTGAGACACTTTTGTGTATTTTAAAAGTTCTATAGCTCCTGCTCAGATGTGTAGCTGTGTGTGTGTCAGACTTATTTGCCGCATTCACGTGCTCATTTTAGACTCATTTGTCAAAGTTTCATCCGAGTCGCCTGCATAATTTAAGCCCCTGTCACACATAGTCGAATATGGTGTCCCGAACACTGTCGAACTGCCCTTAACCATGGTTAGAGGCTGAAGATCCGTCCTACCTCCTGTGGCATTTTCCTACAATGTTTGTAGTTACAATGGGTCGAATGTCTGTGACTTAGAGTTCAAATACAAGGTAACGCTGCGGGTTCGAATACGTCTGCCCCAATAGCACCAGTCTTTCCTGGGCGTCACCCAAGTCTCCTGCCTGAAGTAGCACTATTAGAATAACTTATACAACTGTTACACAAGTGCTGTACAACTGTTTTACAACTGTTACACAACTTTTCACGCGATTGTTTTTCATCGAAAGTTGAAAGACGTCAAGATGAAGGTGACCCACAAGGGCGAGGTGTTAGAGGAGGATGTGAGTTTCGATGACGTCACCGGAAGTGAGACCATCCAGGTGTCCGCGAGGGCCGGCCAGGGGGAGACCAACATCCGGCACTGCTTCAAGGAGGTAGGAAACAAACCCTCTACATAGCCTCCTGTGCAGATTCCTAGCGCCCATAGTTTCGGTTTCTTTTCGGAAGAGGGCTTGGATCGGGGGAAAGCTGAAACCGCCGCTTGTACAAACATTCAAAACTGCCCCGGTAGAAGTCTGTGCAGGATGTGTATTTATCCACAAGCCCTTTACCGTACCCTATGGCCTAGCATCGTTGCTATGAGACTATCTATAATAGATAGTAACTCCAAGCAGATCTTCCGGTGGCCGCAAGACAGTATCAAACTGGCCATTCAGTATCATTAGCCAGGCAGTATCCATTTGCTACCAATCCAAATGGATACTGTGGCAAATGGATACTGCCTGGCAAATGGATACTGCCTGGCTATTGATACTGCCTGGCCAGTTTAATACTGTCTTGCGGCCACCGAACGATCTGTTTAGAGATTACACACAACCTCATAGCAACGATGTGTCTCCGTACGTTAACACGTTAGGCCATAGTGTACGGTATTAGGGGTTCTGTATCTGTATCTGTATCTGTATAGCCGGTATAACCGCCCTTCGGCGTAACACACCAGCTTCGCAGGCACGCGGCGCGGCGGCAGCTAGCTCTTTCACACCGAACGACTTGTTACACTCAACCTCTGCACATTTGTTGTGGATATGTATGGGTTCGCCATCTCTGACGGCCTGTTTCCCTGCCTGTACTTCCAGGGCATGTCGCTAGAGTGCTTCCCCGGGATCTCCAAGTGTTACCTGCTGAGCATCGACAGCGAGGGAGAGCCGGAACTGAAGAAGCAGGAGGAGGAAATGGCCAAGTTCCTGGTGAGAACTTTGTGTACAAAAAATGTAAAAAATGGATGGCAGTTGGTAAAAATATTCTTCAATCAGTGACTGTTTTTGTAACGTAGAAACACGTACCTCAGAATTTTTGGTGTCGACTGTACACCTTGATCACGGAGTGACCTAGTCTCGCGAGAACACGAGACTAGGTCGAGACTTGTGTGGATCTTCTGGCCTCTCTTCCTTGCGGAGTAGGGGTAGAGAAAGGCCTGCTGGGGAAAAGTAGAGAGGTCAGAATTTGGGGTTGAGTCTGTGTGTGTGTGTGTCTGTCTGTCTGTGTGTGCCAGTCTGTCTGTCTGTCTGTCTGATTGTGTGTCTGTGTGTGTGTCTGTGTATCCGTTTGTGTGTCTGCCTGTGCCTGTATAAGTGTGTGTCTGTCCCCATAATTCTTGCAGAGTTGCCACACGTCTGCAGTTCTGCTACTTGAAGGCTCGCCAGCACTATGGGTAAGGGGGTGAGGTCTGCCATCCCTTATGCACGTGTTGTTGTTTATTCCGCAGGAGGAGTCGCCTTCGGGTGAGGTGAGCGCTGACAACGCCACGGAGGTGAACATCAACTGGGTGGTCAAGGAGAAGGTAGATATGATATGATATAATCTGATACAATTTGCTAATATGGTGCCATTGGGTATAATATGATACTGCTTGCTATCAGGAGTTGATATGCAACAGCCCGTATACATCAGAAACCGCGTGCACTATGCAGCTCTGAATTGTAACTGTTATAAAAGCAACATCGCGTGGGTGGACATGACGAAAACCTTTGGCACAGTTCACGTGGCTTCTTTGAACCGCGACGGGGTCGACATCGTCTACCAGATACCTTTGACCAGTGTTGACGTCACACTTCAAAGAAGCCACGTGACAAGCCTCACTGGGTCAGTCTACTGAGGAAGACCAGAGTGACTGGTAGAAAACTCGAGAGACTTTTTGTGTTGGAACAAAAGTTTTAACTTTCTACACATGTGTTTATCCAGGTATCCCGGTCCGACCTGCCCGGCTGCCTGGCGGACTTCCAGCCCGACCTGCCCGTCTTCTCCGCCGTGCGGGCTCCCGAGGACGAGGGGACCGTCACAGACGATCGGGAGGCCGCCGGACATACGGAGGAAGGTTTGTTTCTTTGTTTGTTTGTTTGTTTCTTTGTTTGTTTGTTTGTTTATGTTTACCAGAGGGGACGAGGGGACTGTCACTGACGATCGGGAGGACGCCGGAAAACCAGAGGATGGTTTGTTTCTTTGTTTGTTTGTTATGTTTACCAGAGGACGAGGGGGCCGTCACTGACGATCGGGAGGACGCCGGACAACCTGAGGAAGGTTTGTTTGTTCTTTGTTTACCAGAGGACGAGGGCACCGTCGCCTACGATTGTTGATAGTCCTTTTTTTACCAATAACTGCCCACATTTCTCCTCAGAAAAGCGGTATTTGAGCGGCGGGTCCCGGCAGTGTGCGCGGAGCCTGTGCCCGGTCAAGAAACGGGTGCAGAAACAGGTAACGTCGATTTTTGTCCAATGAGTCTTTAAAACATGCATGTTTTATACTTTCTTCTTCACCTTTTGTTTTATCTTCACATTATTTCCAAAATATATGACTTGTGACCATTTCATGTCCTGTCCTTATGTTATGCAGCTTGCTGTCCTTGTCTCCAGGGTTAGCCATTTAAAATAGTCTTGTAACCAGTGGGGCAAGCCTGACTGTCTATTTTACGGCTGAAACAGTACAATGAAATAAAATGACCATTTTTGTTGGATTTTCGCAGGGATACTGTTACTACAACTACTGCTACCGAAGGTATATCTGCAGCACCTTCAGTGTTGAGTGCGTGTGCTGCCCGGAGGTGACCCAGGCCTCCCAGTGTTTGCTCTGCCGCGACTAGTCAGGTGACCAACACTGTCTCCATTATGCAGCAAGAGTAAACTGTAATTTCCAACACAAGAAATTGGACACACCCAAATTTTCGACTGTACAACTCCAGTCTTTGTCAAGGAATGTACAATCCACCGCTTCCGTGACGTCACGCAGATAACACACGTGACTCCGTGAGCAGTGGATCATATAGGTTGCAGAAAGTCTGTGGCGCCCCCCGTCTCTGTTGAGGGATGGTTGTAATGCCCTGATGTAGATGGCCTCTTTAATCCCTCGTGAAAAGAAATCCGGTTCCTTACTTTGTCCAGTGAAACGGCACTGACTTTCTGCAACCTATGATCCACTGCTCACAGAGTCACGTGTGTTATCTGCGTGACGTCACGGAAGCACGTGGATTGCTCATTCCTTGACAAAGACTGGAGTAGTACAGTCGAACATTTGGGTGAGTCCAATTTCTTGTGTTGGAAATTACAGTTTACTCTTGCTTCAAAATGACTTCTACCTACACTGCCTCCAATTTTGTAGTCTAGATAGAGTAGAGGACGAAGAACATTTTACCGTAGGTTGTCCTTTATATGACAGTGATAGACACATACTTTTCGGCCATGTTTTAAGTATATTTCCTCACTTCGGATACTTGACAAGTAAAGAAAAATTCATATTACTGTTAGCCTTTGATAAACCAAATCTAACTTCTCATACATATACAGCCTTATACATTTATACAGTATCAAACTGGCCAGGCAGTATCCATTGGCCAGAAAGGGTCCGATACACCTTGAATATCCCTTGAAGTGTCCGTTTTCTGTAATACTGAGGTCTTTATTGCAAGTTCATGTCCGAGGGCTAATTGCAAACAGACAATGGCTAGAACAATGAGTGCAGAACACAGAATACTGAATCACAGTTCATTGGCAGTTCCGGGCTAACGCTGTCGTTTTTATTTTCCAGAATGAGAAACTACAGTCCAAGAGCCAAGAAGACTCAGAAAACGGAGAATATGACAGATTGAGTCTCCCTCTTGACCCTCGAGGTCATGGAATAGTTAATGATAAAGAGTCTATTTCAAATATTTGCCGGAAAGCTAAGTGCAATAGGTAGCGTGAAAAAGATAAATAGTGTAACATGTAGCTGCTCTAGTCTAAATGATAACTCTAAATTCTGACTAGTGTAACATGTAGCTGCTCTAGTCTAAATGATAACTCTAAATTCTGACTAGTGTAACATGTAGCTGCTCTAGTCTAAATGATAACTCTAAATTCTGACTAGTGTAACATGTAGCTGCTCTAGTCTAAATGATAACTCTAAATTCTGAATTGTGTAACATGTAGCTGTTCTAGTCTAAATGATAACTCTAAATTCTGACTTGTGTAACATGTAGCTGTTCTAGTCTAAATGATAACTCTAAATTCTGACTTGTGTAACATGTAGTTACTCTAGTCTAAATGATAACTCTAAATTCTGACTTGTGTAACATGTAGCTGTTCTAGTCTAAATGACGACTATAAATTCTGACTTGTGTAACATGTAGCTGTTTTAGTCTAAATGACGACTCTAAATTCTGACTTGTGTAACATGTAGCTGTTCTAGTCTAAATGATTACTCTAAATTCTGACTTGTGTAACATGTAGTTACTCTAGTCTAAATGATAACTCTAAATTCTGACTTGTGTAATAACATGTAGCTGCTCTAGTCTAAATGACGACTCTAAATTCTGACTTGTGTAACATGTATCTGTTCTAGTCTAAATGATAACTCTAAATTCTGACTTGTGTAATAACATGTAGCTGCTCTAGTCTAAATGACGACTCTTAATTCTGACTTGTGTAACATGTATCTGCTCTAGTCTAAATGACGACTCTAAATTCTGACTTGTGTAACATGTAGCTGCTCTAGTCTAAATGACGACTCTAAATTCTGACTTGTGTAACATGTATCTGCTCTAGTCTAAATGACGACTCTAAATTCTGACTTGTGTAACATGTAGCTGCTCTAGTCTAAATGACGACTCTAAATTCTGACTTGTGTAACATGTAGCTGTTCTAGTCTAAATGATGACTCTAAATTCTGACTTGTGTAATAACATGTAGCTGCTCTAGTCTAAATGACGACTCTAAATTCTGACTTGTGTAACATGTAGCTGCTCTAGTCTAAATGACGACTCTAAATTCTGACTTGTGTAACATGTAGCTGTTCTAGTCTAAATGACGACTATAAATTCTGACTTGTGTAACATGTAGCTGTTCTAGTCTAAATGATAACTCTAAATTCTGACTTGTGTAACATGTAGCTGCTCCAGTCTAAATGATGACTCTAAATTCTGACTTGTGTAACATGTAGCTGTTCTAGTCTAAATGACGACTCTAAATTCTGACTTGTGTAACATGTAGCTGTTCTAGTCTAAATGACGACTCTAAATTCTGACTTGTGTAACATGTAGCTGTTCTAGTCTAAATGATGGCTCTAAATTCTGACTTGTAGCTATTCTAGTCTAAATGAGGACTTTAAATTCTGACTTGTGACATAATCTAGATGAGGGTAAGTCCTTTCAACACAATAAAAAATCAAACATCTCCGTTTACGGTCGGAACCACCGCCACACCACCTAGCGGAAACGAGAAGTATTGCGTCCTAATGAAGGGCGTTGACCTGTAGCTCAAACGTTTGCAGGTGGATGTAACTTTTGGACTGTGTTGAAAGGACATTATTTTCGAACAACGTACAAACAAACAGATGTTCCTAAAATCAACTTTATTTCCGTAGATAGTTTTGAGTACTTTCAGTACAGTGGAGTGTTCACGATCGCGCACGCAGGCTTGTTAAAGTTGTTTCTTTTCACCGCTTCACTCGTAGGTCCCATATATCAGACCGCAGTCGAGCACGCACAGTGGTCTCTTAGTGTACTTTCGCTTGGTCAATAAAGATTATCTCTCAATGGATGGCTGTTCGCGTTCTTTTTTTTTGTGTGTCTGTGCAGGGAACAAAATGAAAATCAAAAGTCCTTACAACAATGAAAGGACTTTTGATCAATTGCTCACGTCACGTATCAGTAAAGTCTCGAGTGAATAAGGTCACGTGTTTGTAACCGTAACTCTCGCGAGATCACGTTGTGAAGTGATTTGTCATTGATTATCCTGATGAAGGCAACAGTGATCGCTGAAAATTTGATCCCTGTACAATTGTGTATAGAAATAATTTAGTTCAACGTTTTGCTATGATTACTACCAACATAGATGGACTTTCATGATAATCGAATGAAACCATCTATAACAAGAAATAACAAAAGTTTATACCAAACATAAGTCGATACAAAAGTAACTTAGAGATGATATACATGTATCTCCAACTAAACAAACATAATGTCATGTTTACAAAATAAACTTGTTGTCAAAGTCTTAATTATTCCTGGCAAGAAGTTCCAAGAAAAGACAGAACACAACTGTCATGACTGCAGCATCGTGACGTATGTCGTCTCTCTGTCATCACTCTGTCGTCTCTCTGTCGTGTCTCTGTCGTGTCTCTGTCGTGTCCCTGTCGTCTGCAGCATCGTGACGTATGCCGTCTCTCTGTCGTGTCCCGTCTATGTCCCGTGTCCCGTGACGTCTGTCGTCTCTCTGTCGTCTCTCTGTCGTCTCTCTGTCATTTCTCTGTCGCCAGCAGCATCTTGACGTCTGTCGTGTCTCTGTCGTGTCCCGTCGGCCTAACGTCAGCGGACTGACGTCATCAGAAGCCGGTGAAGTCAGGTGAGACCGTTTCCGCTCCCGGCTCCTGGCCAGAAGTTTTCCCGCGATCACTTGAAGCGCCTCTTTCATCCCCTCACCTGTAGTACAAACACCCTTCACTTACATGGTAATAAAGCTTATTACACCGCAATTGTACAGGGTACAACTACTGCTACACCTAGTGTGGCGCAACGGCAGCGTGCACGACTCGGAATCAAGAGGTCCCGGGTTCGAGTCCTGACATGCCACCGATATTCTGCCCTTGGGAAAGGCACTTTACACGACTTTCCCCACTAGACTCAGGTGAAAATGAGTATTGTATTTTCCCGTGTTTGTGGCGGCATTAATATAAGTTGAAAAAACTTGAGTGTGCGGTCACCACGTCTTGTGATTACATGTTGGAATATTTTAAAAAAAACTACTGCTATGTAACAAACACACCAAGACTAAGGTAAGACTAAGACTAAGCAGACTAAGGTACCTGACAAGAGAGTCTAAACAGTGTGGGATGAAAATGTGCCTTTACAATCAGAAGTGGAATTTCTAGCGTCTATATATCTTAAGAAATGTGTGCAATACATGTGTACTTGATTTTGCTGTTTGTAATCACCTGTTCTAGCGGACACCTGTAAGACCCCCAGGTGTTCTCACCTGTTCTAGTGGACACCTGTAGTGCCCCCAGGTGTTCTCACCTGTTCTAGCGGACACCTGTAGGACCCCCAGGTGTTCTCACCTGTTCTAGCGGACACCTGTAGGACCCCCAGGTGTTCTCACCTGTTCTAGCGGACACCTGTAAGACCAGCTCACAGCCGAACGCCGCCGCCAGTTCAGCGGCCGCCTGTTCCGATGTCCGGTGTTCCAGGTCGCTCTTGTTGCCTACTATGATCTTCAGAACTACGAAATAAAAGATTATCAATACACAAGATAATAGTTACTCAAACAACTGGAAAGATTTTGAAATAAACAACATTTGCTTGTCTAATAAATTTTTGGTGGGTCTTGACACGTACTAGTGCTGTGGAATAGGTGCATGAGAAAACTGTTACAGATTATCAAACTATTGCAACACATTTTATTTATTTATTTATTTATTTATTCAAGCTTTACCACAAGTGGAAGGGAAGGGAGAAACAGGTGGAGACCACCTTTACAGGCTCCCTCCCCAAAGACATAAATGACATTACAATCAATCATAGTTAAAACTAATTAAACATATTACACAACATCGTAAGTAGACAATAATAACAATATATACATGTATAATTGCACAATTTCATAATAGCTAGATCTCTGCACATGTACATCCGGCCGTGGAAGTGCCCCATGTCTACCGTGGCCTTATTGCCAGACATGTGGCACACCGACAAGCAGACGTCCACGTGCAGAGATTGTCAGTAACAAAATGATCATTAAATCTCTTGGTCAGCGATTTGACAAGACCCCGTTTGAATGTTAAAAGCTCGGACTGCCCCGAAGCGACAGCCCCCATGTCCCGGACTCTGACTTCCAGTCTGTTCCACTCAGCCACCAAGCGAGGGATGTAGGAAGTAGCGAATGTTGATGTTTTGCAGCGAACTGGCATTAGCATATGAGACCTACTACCTCTTGTTGGACGTGATGAAAATGAAACATAATTATGCATGTCTAAATCGTACACATTAGCCGTGGACTTAACATACAACATGATGTCAGCGATCTCTCTCCTATATGAAAGAGGTAACAGGTTGAGGTGAGCTAGTCTAGCCTTGTAGTCAAGTTCACAAGCATTGGCATTTGCACCTATAATGAACTTGGTTGCCCGCCTCTGCACGCCCTCCAACAAGGACATCAGATTGCGAGACAGAGGTGACCATATTTGACAACAATATTCAAGTAAAGATCTAGCCAATGATACATACAAGGATTTGCGCACCACAAGGCTGGACTCATAACCAACAGTGCGTCTGATGAATCCAACCATTGAATTGGCTCTAGCAACTGTTTTCACAATGTGACTGTTCCAAAGCAGATCAGTTTGGGCCAAAACCCCTAAGTCATTCATATCTTTGACTGTAGATAGAACGATGTCTGACATATGATAGGTAAAAATTATTGGGCTCTTGGAACGTGTCAGACGGAGAACCTTGCACTTCGATGGATGGAAAGACATCCCCCACCGAAGGCTCCACTCGTACATAGAGAAAATGTCATTCTGCAATTTTTGACAATCTACAGCGTTACAAATCTCTCTGTAGCATTTAGAATCATCTGCAAACAGTGCTACAGTGGAGTTTGCTGCAGTGATGGGTAGATCATTAATATACAATAGGAACAGAAGTGGCCCCAAAATAGACCCCTGAGGAACACCAGAGGTTACTGGTCGCCACTCAGAGTTGCTACCCTCTACCACAACCCTTTGCCGTCGGTTGGACAAGTATGATTCAAACCATTTTAACAAATCCCCACCAAATCCAAACATCTGCAGCTTATGTATCAGGAGGGTATGGGGCACTGAATCAAATGCCTTTGAAAAATCGAGAAAAAGCATATCCACTTGACCCCCCTTATCCAGTACACAACCAATTTGGTGATATACCTCAAGCAACTGGGTGGTGGTAGATCGACCTTTGACAAACCCATGTTGGAGAGGATGGATAACATCACGTAAAGTGGGAAATATGGCGTCATACACACACCGTTCCATAACTTTACTCACTATGGATAACAAAGAAATCGGTCTGTAATTAGATGCCAACTCTTTATTCCCCTTCTTGTGAACAGGAATAACGTTGGCATCCTTCCATTCTGAAGGTACCTTACCAAAGGTGGTTGATTTGTTGAACAATTGGGTAAGAGACGGTGCAAGTATGTCGGCACATTTCCTAAGAATGAGCGGGGAGATATTGTCAGGTCCGACCGCTTTAGTTATATCAAGACTGGCCAGCACATCTTGAACAACATCGACAGAAAACTGTAAGTTAGATAAGGCATCAACTGATACAATATCAATATCAGGTTTACTGGTATTCCGGTCCACCGGGGAGAAAGTTGAATAGAAATACTGGTTGAATATATTCGCTTTCTCCTTGGCAGATTGGGCGATGGAGCCATCATTTTTCACCACCGAGGGCAAGGATTTGGCCTTCGCCTTTGCACGGACAAAGGACCAGAATCGCTTGGGTGACTCTTGTAATGAGGATGACAGACCATCCAAGAAGTTTCTATACTTGGAAGACAGGATATTTTTGAGCTTGTTTCGAAGCTTCCTGAACTTAGCCCAGTGAACAGGTTTGTCAGTTCTCTTCGCTTTCTTCCAGGCCGTGTACTTTTTATGTCGAACGTGCCGCACTTCACTGTCAACCCAGGGCGGTGTTGATGAGTTTTTCAGTTGTCTAGAAGGTATGTATTTAACCATCGCTGCCTGCACGGTGCTACGCCATGTTTGCCAGGCTGAATCGATATCACTGTGTTTTTCCCCATTTTCCTCCTCCAGATCGCTTAAACTCTGATCTGACCGTAGGCCTTCCCAGTCAGCGGCCTTGAAGTTGAACACTTTACGGGAGATGCCACGCTTCGGTTGGGATTTTGCACTTGATCATGATTCCAAAATGGCATGGTCGGTGTCGAAGACAGTTGGAACCTCGCTGATGGCAGACAGGCTCTCTGGAAAATTTGAGAAGACCAAGTCAAGTAGATTACCGCTGGAGTTAGATGGAGTCAAGTTGTGTTGGTGAAGGAAGTGGTTGTTTATTACTTCGCAGAACTTCGACTCTTTGCCTCCGCCTGTTGCGGTGCAGGTAGACCAGTCCACGCGAGGAAGGTTAAAATCACCCACAATGCAACAGTTCCGGTATTCTTTCTGTATGTTTGTCAACACAGTGGCCATGTTGTCCGTAAAAGGCTCCAGATCAGCTGACGGAGGTCGATAACAGAGGACTAGAGCGAGCTTCCCCAGACTCGGAGGATGTATCTCACACACCAGGATTTCATCACGAGGTTCCAAGTCTGGTCTACGAAGACTGCACAAAGTTGATTTGATGGCTAAGAGTACGCCACCACCGACCTTGTTGTCATGAACATGCTGACGATCCTTGCGGTATGTGACGTAGTTAGGTGGAATGACCTCTTGGTCATGGATGTCGGAAGTCAGCCATGTCTCCGTAATGGCCAAGATGTCGGGAGAGTTGAGGTGGATAAGACTTTCAAGCTGCACTAGTTTGTTTCTGTGTTTATTTACAGCTTTGACGCTCCTAGCGTTGAGGTAGATAGTCCGGAGGGAGTCAAGTGACTGGACCATTATTACAAAATGAAATAATGCAACAACAATTGACAAAAACTTCATTCTAGTACAAATAAACAGTCAACAAAGAAAAAATGAACCTAGATTAAAGTCAAGAGGTGCTGCCTTCAAGATTAAGACTGTTTTTACAATTATAATACTAGTAAAGTGATCGGTGCACCAGACCTGGAGTGTTGGACATGACCGTGCGGTCGTTAACCTCTCGCACCCATGACGTCAGCATCCTGAGCGTGGCTGAGTCGGGCAGGCTGTACACCAGCAGGACGGCGTCGGCGTGTCGGTAGTAGCCCTGTGTCAGCGTCCGGAACCGCTCCACGCCGGCCGTGTCCCACACACACAGCTACGGGTGCCAGAGTATGCAGTGCAATTTTGCGCAATCTTACTAGTATACAGTGCAATTTTACGGAATACAGTGCAATACAGCATACAGTGCAATTTTACTAGTAAAATTGTACTGTATTCCGTACTGTATTCCGTAAAATTGCACTGTTTACTAGTAAGATTGCACTGTATACTCTGGCATGCATGCACCCCTGGCTAAGGAGGAAGGGACGTTATAATAGGGTCGTGCGGTGTAACGACAGATCGATATCGTTCGACTCTGAACCAAGAGGTCCCGGGTTCGAATCCTGTCATGCTACCGATCTTGTGCCCTTGGGATAGGCAATTTAGACGAAGTTCCTCACTTCACTCAGGTGAAAATGAGGAGGTCCGTTTATGCGTTTGGCTACGTTGGTGGCGGCATAAAAATAAGTTGGAAAAAAACTTGAGTGCGTGTCTTGTAATAAATGTTGGTATACAAAAAATTAAAATAAATAAAAAGACTACAAAGACTACACACAGGCCCTTCGGACTTCAATCACATTCAAAATCCGGCTCGGTTAAAGGTCAGACTGACGGGGGTGTTCCCAGAAACAGTTTCGGTCCCGCCCTTTGCAATGTCTGCGGGGTAATTACACTATAGCATTGTTGTATTATATCACACTATACTTTCAAAATAATAATGTAGACATTTGGCCAACGAAATGGCAAACTGTACCCAGCTGCATAGAGTTACGAGCAGTAGCGTTTTGAGGTAGCCTGAGTGTCAGCCTTGTCAGCTTTCGCCCTTGGCGGGGAGCGGATCTTGGGGAGCGGACGAAAGCTAACAAGATCTAACAAGGCTGACACTCAGGCTATTTTATGGTCACAATGTTCAGAAAAAATCAGTTGTAGGCTACAACTAGCGCCCAGGGCAGGTTTTTGACCCTATATTCCCTGGTGTGTGTTATCTCCTGTTAATGTTCAACCATAACCAAACATAATGATATAAAGTCACGGATGTTATCCATCGATTTTGGCATGTCAACAGTGAGTGGATGTCACGCCTTCACGATCAAACTCCGAACTGAGCACGTTTTATGGCTTCTGCAAGTGGCCTGGACACAGTTTTGTGACTGGTACGATATATGATATATCAGAACACTGTGTTGTGTTAGACGTGTAACTAACCAATGAAGGGAATACAATGCACTAGCACTATACACTAACACCAACATTATACACTGTACAATACGCCAAGGTGTCTTTCTTACCCGAACTTCCTCGCCTTCTACGCTGACGGCAGTTTCACAGCAGTCGACGCCGATACTCGCATGAGAATCTTCAAGAAAAGTTCCGTCTTTAAGTCTCAAGAACAGCGATGTCTTCCCCACGCCCACCTCTCCGAGAAGGACGAGCTTGAAGGTTGGCTTTTTGGCCGCCATGACTTCGTAATTAAACATCAACAGGTTGTACTACTTGTCATAGCCAGATGGACCCTGCAGTTTCGGCCTTTTCTGCTAGAGGTCGCCTGCTGCAATCACTTTGGGACGCTGCAATGTTTTGGACAGATGTTTTGATCATGTTTTGAAGAAGAAAAGGAATGAAGAAGAGTAGGAAGATAACAAAATGTACAGAAGAAACACACTTTAGAGTTTCATGAACGAGTGAATGTAATTCCTTTGCAATTGCATCCAGTTTTTTTTTCCAATGTGCGATCACAAGATAGGAGATATCTATTACTATTATCGTACTGAGTACACTTAGGTAAACATGTAGCTACAAGGGGATATGATATATACACGATCGCCTTTTCTATATGCATTTCAAAACAAGTAAAAGAGTTTATGAGTTTTGCTAAATATTTCTGATCAACATTTAATATGTTACAACATTAAAACTGTCTGAATTTCCCCATGCTTTTCACGTGTCATGGATGTTGTGCCCGCGTGCATACAAAATACTCGATTCGTTTGGCTGTTTTGTGTAATCTCCTGGTCCGTTATCGCGATAACATACCTGGGCAGCCATGTAGGCACGTTAACAGGTGGTATGATAATGAGTGTAAACCGTCTCCATGGCGACGGTGACGTTTCCGCCATTTTATTGGCGGCGCCATTGATATGCAAATGAGCCCAATCCGGAAATGGGACGAGTGTAGAACGTGTGGGTAGGAAACGATCAGAAACTTCAACACTTTCTTCGCTCCTTTTACAAGTTTTACTGGACTTCCTGCGACACATGGAAGTCGGAATGCAGTGTAGGATGTTTCTAAGATGATACCGTGAGATTTTTGAGGTGAAAACCCACCAAACAGCGCCCATTTTACAGCGTTTTAGAGGGACGTTTTTTTTCGACCGAGAAGAAAATATGAAGTTTTCTACCCGCCAACTTTGCACGTTCAGACTCAACCGAGTATTGCAGTTTCTCGTTCTCATATTTGTCTGCTGGACATACCAGGATATCAGAGTAGAGGGTAAGTCTACTTATGTTTGAATTTTTGCACTGTCTTTGCACAGACTGAAGAAATTATAATGCTACTAAGGTTGAACGGGGACGTTGTTGGTACTGGGTGACAAGGAACTGTGCCGGAACTGTCATGGCGGTCAGTACACGGCCCAACTTTCCTAACTTCCTTGTCCTCCTGGGTTTTTGGCTCCCTTCTCAAGCTTAGTTTGGCTCCCAGTTTCTCACAGATTTTCACGGATATTGTTGTCGTCAGCCTGTGAGAATATATCTTCCAAGAAGGGCTCCTGTTTTTGCACAAAATGCCCCCGTTACGCGAAGGGTTGCTGTCTTGTTGTGTAACGTTACGTTTGAACTGTCATGTAGCCTCCGTAGCAGGCTTATAGAATTGGGGGTTTGGTGGTCTTCGGCTGTTTTCTGATTAGTCCATGGCAGAGTTCTAAAAACGGGGGTAATTCAACCAGGCCGGCTATGTTGTCTATATGCAATCAGAAAATAGCACATAAAAGCTCCCAGAGACCCTGAAGACCCCCCAAAAAACTTGGCATGCTATGGAGGCTACTGTCATGCTCGTTGGTTTTCAATAGTGAGGATCGTAACTGAAATTTGAAGACACTCTTCATTCTTCTTACAGATAAAAAATTCAGTCCCTTTTCTGCCATTTTTGGCACATTTGACTTCTGTATAACATTTTGAAACAGTCCACATTGCTGACATGTGTGTTGTTTTTTGTGTGGAGCCTCTGAAGGCCTGAACATGATTGACAGGTGTCAAAATAATCTGTCGTCAGTCTTGGGGCATTGCTGGGATTCTCATAAACATTATAATTATCTAAAGAGTGCGTAACACAAAATAAACTATTGCCATGCATAGAAAACAACTGTTTTATACCTTATCATATCAAATAAAGAGAGAATTAATGTTTTATATCTTATAATAGCATGTTTTATCCATGTTGATGATAACCTTAACTTGTTCAATATCGGTATATTGTGTCTTGAAAATAATATTCAATCCGAAATGAAGAATTATAATAGTTTTCTGATGTTATTTTTTTTTAATACAGCGACAACCTGTGACTGTGGTGTGGACTGTGTGTCCAACTGTACTGCTGGTCAGTACTGGGACAACGGGTCATGTACCGACTGTCCGGCTGGACACTAGTAAGTACTACGGTTTTACTGGACTTTAGGTACTATAGGGGGTGTCCTACCATACAAGCTAGGGTTGTCTTGTGTGTCCAACTATATAGGGGGGTGGACTGTGTGTCCAACTGTACTGCTGGTCAGTACTGGGACAGTACAGCTTGACAATGTTATACTGTCAGGCTGGGCACTAAGTATAAAGTACTGGAGGTACTATCAATTTTTGGTATTACTGGACCTTAGGTACTATAGGGGGGCCGTCAGTGTCCAAACATACAGAGGGGGTTTCTGCTGTGTTTCCAACTGCATGGTGGTGTTGTAAAAAGGACACTGGCTGTTTATTTTCTGTTGAAATCATGCATGAAAGCATTCACATCCAACTTTGGGAATGTTCCTCCGCACGTAAAAAGTGTACAAATTTGCTGCAGTTTCAGGGTTCCCACCAGAATTTTTTCACAATCACAGCATAGGGGTCAGGAATAGAAGAGCAACTTTTGCGGCGCAAATTGCGCATTGAGTCCCAAAGTCCAAGAAAATTTTGAAACTCAACCCCCTATTTCTGGCTTGTTGAGGGACTGATTTTGTAAAGTTAAGGTTTTTCCTTTGCTATAGCTTCATTCTGAAGTTATATTTTAAAAAAGGTTTTTGCAAGATTTATGAAGGCTCTCCCTCAAAAAAACACTCCTATGCTGGTTGAAAGACAGCATATAGGAGTCCAAATCACAGCATAGGGGGCCCTTATGCTCAAAAGGCCTGTTGAGAACACCGAGTTTTAGTTGTGAAATGTTGACATGGACGTCATGTACATTTGAACACACAGGAAACAACTGTTGTAACTACCGGCCTCTTCATGACGCCAGGTTGTGCCGCACCTTGTTATTTCCGCGTAACCCCGTTAAGTGCGTGTACCTGTACGCCCCCCAACAATGTACCGCAGGAAAGTGCATTCACCTGTGTCACGAAGTGGTGTATAGGGTTACCTTGTAACAACTTTGGCAGCCCGAACACTTCTCAGGGCTGGAAATACATGTACTGGGTGCATGACGTGCACCTTAGTGCACCCAAATTTGGAGCTGTGCACCCAATTTTTTTCTGTGGGTCCATTGGTGCTCTCAAATATTTTCATAGGTTTTACATATGTTAAGATGTTTTATGTATAATAGTTACACAGCATGGTTTTAACCTAAGTGTCAGAAAAAAATAATACAATCATTGTTATAGTTACTGTACTTCTCTTGAAATAAAACATCATAGTTTTTGCTGACATGATTGTACTTATTTTATCTTATATGGTGCACCTAAAATATTTTTTGCGCACCTAATTTTTTAGGTTGGGTGCACCAGTGCACCTGTTACCTGAATTTTGAGCCCTGCTAACTGCTTCTAATGAATCGGAGTCTCAGGTTTCGGGGAACTCTTCGGTCATGTTTGTCACAGTAATCGCTTCAGTCAACACATACCTGCACTGTTGGACTGGGTTCAAACTTCGGGTGTGCGAATCAATCGCTGTCAAACAAACCTGTCAGTTTTTAACTGTAACCTGAGTTTTTAGTTGTAACTTAACAGTACTACATTTCTTGTAATTATTTCAAGTTTTGTCAACTAAACGAATCAAAATTATGTACAATATAATATGTCAGGGTGAAAAACTTTAAATTGACTGCAATTCAGTGACTGCCAAAGTTAAAAAAGACATTTTGAATCTTGAAACACTTGTTGTAAGCCCTTACGTTTCAACATTACCTGTTATACTCTGAAGGCTCAACTCAAGCAAATTTGCTGTAGTTGTCAGTGAGACTCAATATATCAACCTGCCATTTGAAGTGAATAAATGGGGAGTTCTGGAAGATATAATTACCAGTCTGCTACTTTAAAAGCTATAGCAGTTCCAAAGGCAATAATCAGGGCTCAAAATACCTGCGATTTGCAAATAGAATGATTGTCAGATTTTGTATGTTTCTCAAGATTTCAGCGAGCGCAACATATCAGATTGTTGTTTGAAGACATTTTCAGCAAAAATTTCCCTTGTACTTTGTTGTAGTGGTCTTGTATACGAACACACAAGTTCTGCATACTGGCTTATCTAAGAATCTGGGAAAACTTGAACATATCTCATCTGATCTGATCATTTATATGTGGGTGGAGCAGGCTAATTTTAGTAATTATGATGATTTAATTAGGTGCTAATGAGCCTGATTAACAAGGGCAATCATTGGCTCATAAAGAAGAATTATTGTCACTAGCAAATAACATGCAGTAAACTTTCATTTACTGAAGAATTCAGACATGTTCAGGTCAAATTCTTGATCTTTGGTCTGTATTTGTAAAATAAAGAAAATCAGTTTTGGCAAATTGTCACCAGCAGTATCTGTATATGTATTGCCAGTATATTACATATATTGCCCTTTGGCATAATACACCAGCTGTACAATGTATTACTATTAATTAGACATAACTTACATAAAAATCGAAAGTTTTGGGAATATTCAGCACAATTTTTAACAGTAGGTGAAATTTGCTATGTTCGACTGAAGACACCCAGACATGATAATTTCTGAATAGAGGCGAAAACTGTTCACATCGTAACTCTAAGACCCTGTCCATTTAGATTATAACTACTAAAGGTAATTTTGACGTTGTATTGAGACATGCAGACTGAAGTGACCTGTTTATTTATGCCATGAATGGAGAAACAAAATTCCCAGGGGACTTGTTATTCTGTTCAGGTAGTCTGCACTCTTCTGGTTATTGTGACGATGGCTTGCTTTTCCTAATTTGGACAATTTACATTGTTGTTGCTATATGATTACATTATTACTAGCTAGTACATACTCATGACAGAGTCATGAGTATACCTATAGTATGTAGAAATATTGTTGACTTGTTTGAATTTTGCAATAATTAATGTAGGGCTGTCATGATGACATTTGGTGACCTACATATGAATTATAGAATATATGTTTAACTTCAGTCTAGAAATACACATAGTATAAATAATATACCACCATATCTATACATTCTCATCAGGTATTTTGGAGGTATAATTTAGTGCCCAAGGTACATAATAATGACAGTTTGAAACACTTAGACTGATGAGTTAGATATTTTACACCAATGTCACAAACGTTTTGTAACCACCACCTGTATTTCGTGATAAGTCTCCGAAACCGCCTGAAAAGGAATGAATATTTGATATATTTCCCCACCGTTTACCCCGACCGAGATAAAGACAGGTGTGAATAATTTATGTGGAGCCACAATGGAGGGATCAGGGGAGATTTGTGCACTGTGCGATGTTGTGATGATTAGTTTGGTCAGACTGGAGGTCGTGGGAACAATCTGCCGAAGGTCAAAGTCCTAATGTTGTACATAATGTTGAATTATGATAGTGTTAGTAGGTATATGTAGACTGTGGCCGCAGTGACATGGAAGCTATGGCGGTCAAGTTGTCTGAATTGTAAGGCCACTACTTTGTGATTTTTTTGGTCCATGAATTTAAATACTTAAGCTATTAGATATTCCTATTAAAATGGAAAATCCACATAAAAAGTGAAATCTGAGAAAACAGACCGTATTTTGGTAGACACGCTATCGTTCAATACAGTACTTAAGTCTAGACAAGTTTTTCTTCCAGCCCTAACTCTACTTCCATCTTCTCCCTTTGTGAGGTTTTCTTTAGAATCGTTGAGAAACAAGCAGGGTAGAAACAAGTGTGGCCTGTCAAAACAATCTGCTGAACTCAAAGTACTGTTGTACATAATGTTGAATTATGATAGGATTAGGTACATGTAACTGTGGCCGCAGTGACATGGAAGATACAGCGGTCAAGTTGCCTGAACTATAAGTATTCTTAGGCCACTCAATTGTGATTTTTTGGTCCCTGGATGTGAAGAAATAAATAATAATCCTAAATTGGAAATAAGATTCTGAAGTGCATTTTGGTAGATAAACTGTCATTGAATAAAGTCTAAGACATTCAAGTTTTCTGCCCAGCCCGCTGGTACCATCTTCTCCCTTTGCTCAAGGTTTAACTTAAAATGGTGGAGAAACAAGAATAGAAAGAAGTGTGGTCTTAAAGTAAAAGTCATTTGTCAATGAAAAATATTTTTGAAAATGTCTAACATTTTTAGATTCAATGTAAGATTGAGCTGCATGTATAAAGAGACTGTGGCATAACCGTAGTGTGAGTTTTAATGGTGGTTATAATTGCCTGTATTATGTTTGATACGAGAGGAAATCGTAAATCCAGACTGGTTACTGTCAGCTTAATTATGCAGATCAGCTGAGAGCTTGACGTAAGTCCTCACGTTTTACTGTTGACTCTCCAGTAAAGTGAAATGTTGTGTAAATCATGGCTTTGTGAGACTGCCGCTTAACATGGCAATTAACAAGGAGGTCTGTCAACACATGTAGGGCAAAGGTATTTATGGGTCCTCACTCACTCACTGTACATGTCCTAGTAACGTCTACTCATTCCACCAGGTGAACATATATGACCGAGTGTGTGCGTAACAGAGATCTACAAGGTATTATATGTCCCCAGTATAACACGTTCCTGTATAGTCCTATATAAACTAAGCAGACCTGGGAAGAGGAAAACAAAATGATTAGAGATGGCACACATGTACACACACACACACGCTCACACGCGCACACACACACACACACATATGCGCGCACACACATACACACACAGACACATGCACGCACACACACACAAACACACACACACATGCACACACACACACGCATGCTCACACAGACACACGCACACACGCTCACCTAATCACAGACACAGAGAGACACACACACACACGTTATGTCAAAACAATACTGTGTGTAACATTTACTGCAACTTCTTTAAACATCTCATGACAGACATCAATTGTGACTCTGCCATTATCACATGTTGAGATAAGAGAATGTAATCATTAGTTTGCCCTCTGACATATCTGTTAGGAAATGCCATTTTCACCTGGCTCCTGTGGACAGATAGTCAGTGTTTGTCCTGATAGAGGGTTGCCAAGGGTCATTGTTTGTTAAAGTTTCTTGATGAACACAACTTGATAGTCTATTGACGTGGCACGCATGTCATCTTTAATGTCATTAAATGTGAAATGCAAAATTAATCATATTATTATCATGTCATGAAGTATATGACAGTTACACTTTACACATTTTGTGCACATACATTGTACGTGCAGAACACCCTAGGCTATATAATATAAACTCACACAAATGCACAGTCACAAACACACACACACACACACACACACACACACACACAATACAATGTATAGCAATTGTATATATTATTGTTTGAATGCATTCAATAATTATTTTTTTGGGGGGTTTGAACGAGTTACAAAAGCAGTAGGCACGCAGGTCTCTGAGTTGAGTAAATGGCTGGTTTGCTGGCGCCTGTTTCCCCCAGTGTTCCCATAAGTACGTTCCACGTCAGTGCTTACAAGTTTGTTGCATTAAGGAATGGCATCTAACAAAGAAGAACAGTCCGTAACGGCACACAACACGCCACCTTTCACCTTTACCTGTGTACACCTGTTATATAGACTCAGCAAGCGTTACCTGGTCTACTGTTTACTGACTAATGACAGGTACCATTGTCTGCTATGTGTAAGGTCAGCCAAATTTAACACTAAAGTTCATCTGTGGTGGTAGCCTAAGGTCAGGGCTCAAAATACTGGGTGCATGTACATGCAATTGGGCACCTTAGTGCACCCAAATTTGGAGCTATGCACCCAAATATTTTCGTATACAGTCAAAGATGTTACATGTCTGTATACACGTAGTTACTAGTAGTATACAGCATATTCTTAACACCTTAGTGTCAGAAAAATAATTAAATCATTATTATTATATATTATAGTACTTTTCTTTAGAAATGAAACAAAATTAATTTTTGCCGACATTCTGCTTATTTTATCTTATGCGGTGTGCACCCAATTTTCTAGGTAATGGGTGCACCAGTGCACCTATTCCCAAAAATGAATTTTGAGCCCTGTCACGTGTGCCATTGTCAGCTCTGTGTAAGGTCAGGTATATCTAACAGGAAAGTTTTTATGTGGTGGGAGTTAATGAATGATGACCAGTAATTATACTAACCTTTATTGTACAGTTATGCCTGTCAATGTGATAGACAGTTGGTCTTTGTTCTGACTCAGACACATGAATGATAAGAAAAATGGTGAATGTAATGCCAACTGTCACAATGCATTCTGCCAGGTACCCTTTAAGTAGAATCACTAAAAATATCCTTCTAAATATAGCCTTAGCAATACTACTTCCTATAATCAGGTATTCAGTACATTTTTAGAAGATCGTCATTAGATAAAAATTAAGAGGTAGTATTTTGAATGTCCTGGTCTAAAGGATACAGGGCGGAATTAATGAGAGTTGACCAAGATAAACTGTGGATTTATTGATTTTGAGAGTTGACATTATGCCAAAATAAACTGTGGAATTATTGATTTCCGAAGGCACGTGTTAATATGTGCTATGTGTGATTCTTGTGAGAATTTGACAGTGTCATTGTCATTTGCAAAAATTTGGTAGTCGTGCCTCATGGTTTTATTTAGGGATTTCTCATGCTAGGAATATGCCTTACTGTATAGTCTTGATTCATGTCAGCTTGTTATTATTAGGACCCCCTGGTATATCTTGGACCCTGCCCCTTCTCAGGTGCAAACCTGTAACACAGGTAATCAATGTATAATAGATTATTAAATTAATAAAGGGTGTGACAAGTTGCCATAGGTCTAAAAACTGGCCTAAAATCAGCCATGCCAGTCTGTGTGGAATAACAGTAACTGTTATATGTACTGTTTCGTTAAACCCTGACCCTCATACTAACTGATTGCCCAGGTGCAAGCCTGTATAAGTTAACACAGGGTAATTGATGTAAGGGTCCGAAATGGTCTAATGACTCTAAACACTGGCCTAAAATCAACCATCCAAATTTGTGTAGAATAACCATTCTCTCATACCCTCATCCTGATACTAGTGATACTGATAGTGCATACATTTGTAACTGCACAGGTGCGTCCTGTAACACACAAGTAACCGATGTAGGGTCTGACATGTTTCCTTAGATCTAAATGACTCTAAACACTGGCCTAAAATCAGCCATCCAAATTTGTGTAGAATAATCGTTTTCTTAGACCCTGATTCTAGTGATAGTGCATAATTGTATTGTTCTCTCAGACCCAGATCCTGATACCAGAAATACTGATAGTGCATTATTTATTACATTAATTTTGTAACTGCACAGGTGCGAGCCTTTAACACACACAGGTAACCGATGTAAGGGTCTGACATAATAGATCTAATGATGTAAACACTGGCCCCACAAATTTGTGTAGAATAACCGTTCTCTCAGACCCAGATCCTGATACTAGTGATACTGATAGCGCATACATTTGTAACTGCACAGGTGCGAACCTGTAACACACACAGGTAACCGATGTAAGGGTGACATGTTTCTACAGTCCGTCACAGACCCGCGATGATAGCAGCCCCATAACCAGGCCAGACACAATAGAGACAGCTTGTTGTTGCCTTGTTGCTATTGACGAATGTAAACAACTCTCTTTGTTTGTACCTGTTGTTGTGAGAGGCCGGCGCACCTTGTCACGGTTGAGAAACCAGGTCAACGAACTGACAGTTTGGGGAAGTGTGGGGAGGGAGGGAAGCAGTTTTCAAGCTATCTGCAAGCCACTCCAATTTAGTTCACTGGTTTTCGAACACTTTTGAGTAAATTTTTAGCAAGAGAACCAGATGAGAACTGATGGCTGGCTGGAAAACCTGCGTTCAATGTTTCTTTTTTCAGCTATATTTTGAATTCACAAATCCTTTTTGTCAGAAATAGTCTTGATTACAATTTAGTTAGCTTTAGGATTTTAGCAGAATCTATTTTTAGCATTTTTACATTAGCACATTGTAAAAAATAAATTGTGTGTAAATTAAACATTATTCTCCATTCTTCTTTTAAAAATTCTCTTCTTTCTCCTTCTTATTTTGTGCCACTTGCTACAGGCTAGGAAAACGTTGTACAGTTGTAAACCATATTTTGGTGATTCCATAATTGCAAACAATATTGGAAGCTTTAACTTTTTAAGGGATTTGTGCCCTACCAAAACAGTCTTTGTGTTATTTGTTCTGATGTGTCTGTGGCTGTAGTGGTGGTGTGTATAATTCATCCTGGGTATCAGGGTCTGAGCCTCTGTTATTGTACCGGATTAGGGGCTTTACCTGTGTAACCTTGGTCACACCTTTATCCGATCAGGTGTTGATGCAGAATGCACTTCAGCATGTAACATTACCCAACCCTGCAAATTGAGTTTAACCCCTTTTTTACAGTCATATACAAAATGTATATAATTTATACAGCCACTGTTATGTATAATATTCTGTAATTTGCCTTGTAAAGAGGTTTGCACACAGCAGCATGGGAGTACAGAGAACGGAGTACAAATCCTATTGTGTTGCAGGATTCTGTGAATTCCCTACTTTTTCTGTTTCATTTCCACATTCAAGTTTTAATTTCTGATGTGGTTAACTTAATTAGTGTTTCATAAGAAGTCAATTCTTTTGCTGTATGAACAAGGCAAATAAAAGGTAGAGTAATCATGCATAATTGTTCAATACTCCCGGGGCAATGCCTACATGCAGCACATAACCTCAACACTCATGACTCAAGAGTTAGTAAGACTTCCACATTTTAAAAAACAGCAGACTGAGTGTACAATGTATGTAAAGAGATCTACAAATAATAACACAGCTTCAATAACCCCAGAGGTCCACTTCAGATATCCAGGTGTTCATGACATTCTTGAGATAAAGCCTTGATCACCGCTTTTGAAAGCCTTAGCTTACCCAGCAGAATCATGAAAGCCAACTGTTGATGTTACGTTACAAAGAATAAAAGTGCCCAATCTTCCCCCAACAGCCCTCAGCCCTGCATGCCTGAGTGCCTGTATGGTGTAGCCGGAGGGCTGATAGCTGTCTGCTGAATGGCTGTTATTTCTGTAGAGTGCTGTACTAAAGCCCAGTTAAGCACGAGTGTGTACTTCAGAATCACACTGGGAGACTGGGAGATTAGCTGTTTGTATTCAGCACAAGGCTTTATTATAGTTGTACTTCTATGAGAACCATACATAAGAGGTTCTATGATCTATTATCAGTTATATTGATACAGGCATTAATCATATTTGATATATTATCAAGAAGAAAGTTGGAAAGGTTGTTTAATTGCTAGAAGGCCTTAATATGTAAGTTTAAAAAAAATTCAACATTGGCCCTATAGAAGATAACCTGGGTGTGTTTTTGTTCCTCCAGTTTATAACACTCAGATAACCTTGGTGTGTTCCACACAGATTATACTAATGAGTTTGTTCCACACAGTTTGTAACCTGGGTGTGTTTTGTCCCACCAGTTGCCCAAGCGGCAGTGCGGGGACGATAGCCTGTCCCTACAGTTTATACCCGGATATGTACAATGTATGACTGTATGGATGATAACCTGGGTATGTTTTGTCCCTACAGTTGCCCAGGAGGCAGTGCGGGTACGATAGCCTGTCCGGGGGGAACATTTAGAGCAACAACAGGAGCTGAAGAGGAGAGTGACTGTCAGGTAAGGCTGCACGCAGGACTCAGTGGCTTCTATAAATTCAGTTTGATTTTAATGACAAAATGTTTCATGTTTCAAATTTTTCATTTTGGCTGAAGTCATTTCAATATTCTTCATTCGACAGAGGAAAGGTAACCACCTGAATAATCGGTAACTCCAGTTTTTGACCCTCTCTATATATGTCTGCATTAATGTAGGTTGTTTGTCCCCTTTCTTGTGTGCACCTCTGATCCAATCCATGTGTGGTCGTGTGGCGCAAAGGCAGCGTGCGCGACTCGGAACCAAGAGGTCCCGGGTTCGAGTCCTGACATGTCACCGATCTTGTGCCCTTGGAAAAGGCACTTTACACGACTTTCCCCACTAGACTCAAGTGAAAATGAGCATTCAGTCTGTCCAGTATTCATTTCTATGTGGGGGACACAACACCAGCAACAGCTGCCTCTGTTCCGCGTGTATTGCACTGTTGCAATTTCAATAAATCAAATCAATCCTGACTTTGTGTCAGGAGGAAAGCCTGTTATTTTTAGACTAAAACTGTTTCTTGTTCTGTTCCAACAGAACTGCCCAGCAGGAGAGTACAGTACGGGGGGTGCTGCGTCGTGCGACCCCTGTCCCGGCGGCTTCGCATGCCCGCTCCCCGGGACAGAGTCGCCCGCAGCCTGTGGACAGGGACAGTACGCCAACAACGGGAGCACCGCTTGCCAACCCTGTCCTGTAGGCTACAGGTGTCCCGTAGGGCAGATGGCAGAACCACTAGAGTGTCAGGATGGCTACTACACAGCTAACACTGGTGAGGATGCATGCTTGTGTGTGTGTGTGTGCCCGTCCGTGTGTGAATGTGTGTGCATGCGCGGAGTGTATGAGACAGGGTTAGGGTAAGGGTTGGGGTTGGGGTAGGGTTAAGGTTAGGGTTAGGGTATGGGTTGGTGTTAGGGTTAGGGTTAGTAGGGCTGGGGTTAGGGTTAGGGTAAGGGTTAATGTTAGGGTTAGGGTTGGTGTTAGGGTTAGGGTTAGGGTTAGGGTTAGGGTTAGGGTTAGTAGGGTTAGGGTTAGGGTCAGGGTTAGGGTAAGGGTTAATGTTAGGGTATGCCTGAAACAAATGTACCTTTCTCATCCCATGTAGGTCAGACCAGTTGTGCAGAGTGTGAGGGAGGCCGGAGCTGTGCCAACAAGGACTCGTCGGTAGCATGTGGCCCCGGGACGTCTAGTGCTCAGGGCGAGGCCACATGCTCACCCTGCCCTGCTGGGTCCTACAGGTTTGTGTGAGTGTGTGTGTGTGTGTGTGTGTGTGTGTGTGTGTGTGTGTGTGTGTGTGTGTGTGTGTGTGTGTGTGTGTGTGTGTGTGTGTGTGTGTGTGAGTGTGTGTGTGTGTGTGTGTGTTTGTGAGTGCATGTATGTGTGTGTGCGTTTGTGTGTGTGTGTACATGTGTTTGTGTGTGTGTTTGTGTGTGTATCTGAGTGAGTGTGTGTGTGTGTGTGTGTGTGTGTGCGCATGCATGCTTGTGAGTGTGTGTGTGCATGTGCGCGCGCGTGTGTGTGAGTGCTTGTGTGTGTGTGTGCATGTTTTATGTGTGAGTGCATGCGTGTGTTTGTACATGTTTGTGTACGTCCTTGTTCATGTGCGCGCGTGCGTATGTGCACGTGTGCATGTGTGCCTACGTGTGTTTGCATGACACTGTGAGTGTGAGGACTGGAGCAAGAACAAGACGTAGCCACTGCTTAAGGTCTAAACTGTCCTTGAGGCATGTCCTCACATATTATACAGATAATAAAGAAATGAATGTTCTCCCCCTGCAGTGGTGCCCAGGCCTCCAGCTGTACCCAGTGTGATGAGGGCCACTCCTGCTCGGACCCTGCCCAGTCCCCCCAGCCCTGTCCTGCTGGCTATGTGTCTGCACAGGGACAGGCCAACTGTACCAGATGTGCCAATGGTGAGGACACATACACACACACATGCACACATACAACAACACACACACACACACATACGCACACCTGCTCGGACCCTGCCCAGTCCCCCCAGCCCTGCCCTGCTGGCTATGTGTCAGCACAGGGACAGGCCAACTGTACCAGATGTGCCAATGGTGAGGACATGTGCACACTTACACACATACACAGTCACACACAGTCACACACATGCACTAACACACACACACACAAATGCACACACACATGCACTAACACACACACACACGCACACACACACACACACACATGTACTAACACACACACTCACACGAACACACAGTCACGCATATGCACAGGCAACTAGTGGTACTAGTGTTACATGTACAAGTAGTACTAGTGTTACTAGCTTTACTTGACTTAATGTATAGTACCAAACAGTTTTCAGCAAGTCCCGGCTGTTCTCCTGTAGATGAGGTCCCAGCGAGCCCGGTCCCGAACTCGTGCCAGCCCTGCCCGGCCGGCCATGCCTGCAGTGACCCTACGCTGGACCCCGTGGCGTGCGCGGAGGGCGAGTACTCTCTCCTGAGCGACGCTGCGTGTACCCGATGTCCAGCCGGGTCCGAGTGTCCGTCCACTTCGACTATCAACACCTGTACTGGAGGTAGGTATTTTATTATAATAAATAATTATTTATTGGTTTGGCTGACGTGTTCAATCCTCATAGCCAGGGCAGCCAAGCTAGCCAGTGGCTAATTGCAAAGGACTTGCCCTGCTGACAAGACATGACTAAGAGCAACATTATAAGCTTGCTTAACAATCTACTAAACTTGGAGGTAGGTATGAAGGGGGAAGTGAGGGAGCGAAGAAGTGTGCAAGAACTTATTATTAATAAGAAAAATTGTTTCGTTCTGTCTCTCTTTCTTATTTCAACACCCTTTTGCCGCTTGGCTAGCCTCACAATGTACATTAAAACTTCAGTGTCATAAATTTTCGAGAAGTCACAAAAAAGCCCTGTTTCACATCCCATGTTTGATTGTTTGTGTTTACTCCCCACAGGCACGTACTCGGGGGAGGGCCAGACATCCTGTGCACAGTGCCCCGCTGGTCACTCCTATACCCTGTCATCAGCCACTCATGTTTACTTGGTTGTTGTTTATTTGGTTGTTGATTTGTTTGTGTTTATCCCACGTACAGGCACATACTCGGGGGAGGGCCAGACGTCCTGTTCACAGTGCCCGGCTGGTCACTCCTGTACCGTGTCATCAGTCACCCCATGTGGAGCCGGCTTCTACAGTGCTGCAGGAGGTGGGTACTTCATGATGTTACAGACAAAAATTATGTCTGACTTTTAGAGCAAAATCAAAATATGGCTCTTTGCTACATTATATTGTGATCTCTTCTTTTTTCATTCTAATTCCTTTCGTAACATGCAATAACAATATTGTTACAGTAACTTCTTAGAAGGGGGTATACAATATAATCTACATGCAGATGAGTCGGTCTTGGTTATTTTGTTTGTATTTTGCAGGACAGTGGTGCAGGGACTAGCGCTGAACCGTAAGCCGCAGGGGGACCAAACCATGACACTGTAGAATATTGTGAATCAGATGAAGAATTTACAAAATTAATGATGTTTGTTTGTGCCCAGATGTGACCTGTACACAGTGCCCTACTGGTTCCTGCTGCCCGTCTGGTTCCGCGGCTCACACTCCGTGCGACGCCGGCTTCTACTCCGACAGTCCCGGCGCAGACTGCCCGTGCTCGGAGTGCCCGGCTGGCAGCAGGTGCAGTGCAACCGGCGCCACACCGTGTTCAACGGGATCCTACGCGCTGGCAGGGTCAACCGTCTGCCAGCCCTGCCCCGCCGGTGGGTTTACTGGTTTATTCTCTTTATCAAATTATCAAAAACATCTGGGTATGGCCTGTAAGAAGTGTGGCTGTCTAATGTTATTATGTTTTACCTTTGCAGAAAGAAAACACATTGTGTATGTTCTGTCTCTTCTTCTTCAAATGCTAAACAAACAAGGTCAATGACCTGGACCAGACGGCTGTCACTATGGAAAATGCTGTAGCAGACACCCTGTGGTGTAAGGTTTCATTATGTAGCAAGTGGCAGGACAGAGCTGGAGGGGCTGTTCACCATTATATAATATTTAAATATGCTTATTATATAATATTGAGTAAGAATAGAGTAGTAGTCTGAGAGTAGTACTTTGTTAGGCTAGGCCATGTGAAAGTAAACATCGTGTAATTTTTATTATTTGGTTCGCTTTTAATATACATGTATATGAAGTAAGTACTGCTGTTTGTTTCCATACAGGTTCCTACTGTCCGTCCACGTCTGCCCTCCCAGTGGCCTGCCAGCCAGGCTACTATAACACCGAGGCAAACCAGACCAGCTGTACGGAGTGCCCAGCCGGCAGCAAGTGTCCGTCCACCAGCCAGACCCCACAGACTTGCATACCAGGTCAAGCCTTTCTCAATTATCAATCAATAATCATATATTAATCATAATTTCATAGTATGCTTCCAAACATTTTGACATTTTGAGTTTGATTCATTTTTTAGCTGAAAATGATAACTATGTTAACTATATGAACTGACCAAAAGGACACTGAAATTTACTCTTCTAATGGAAGGGGTTCTGAGGTCAAAGGTAATATAAAAGAACAGAGGTCATTGGTTAATGGTCAAGTTTTGCCCTTGCAGGTCAGTACAGCGAGGCTGGTTCAACAGTTTGCCATGACTGCCGGCCCGGCTATGCCTGTCCCGACACGGACACCGCCAGCACGATTACGCAGTGCTCCCCGGGAACGTACGCGGACGGGTCAGACACGCAGTGTTATACCTGCCCCGCTGGCAAGTTCTGCCCCAGTACAACGTGAGTACACAATAAACATGCCTACACTAACACAACTGTCCCTGCCCTTGGTGCTGAACATGCCTACACTAACACTACTGTCCTTGTCCTCGGTGCTGAACATGCCTTCACTAAAAGATGCGTTCGTGTACGTAGGAGGAATGTATCGGTCTCCCAGCATTTCTTATTCTTTGCCTTTACTTTTGCGTGAGGAGGATGAGGGAGTTGAATATGCTGTATTTGGCCGCAAACATTGTCTTCCTACTTCTTTTGCAAGGCTATATCCGAAGAAGATATCCCTTTGCCTTTGGATTTTTAGTACTATGTATTCATGTATTCACTATGTGTAGCGATCGAACCAACTCTTACCATCCCTCTATACTATAAAGAACACTTCCGTGAATATTTTCATCAAGCTGGTAAGACACTGTTCTATAAAGAATACTGACCACCTCAGCACTAAACTGATGATGATGAGGAGGAGGAGGATTATTTTATATCATGAATGTAAATGCTATGATTGTCTTTTAGAAAGTACCAAGTATTGTAATGAAATCCACAATTCAGCAAAATGGCTGGGGGTGATTTTAACCTGAAAAACCCATACATTCACTCACTCACTCATTCATTCATTCATTCATTCATTCATTCATCCATCCATCCATGATCTCTCTGTACAGTGAGGCGACCCAAATCGACTGCGCACCCGGGTCCTACTCCACCGGCAACGCCACGGTGTGCACGGTGTGCGAGGCCGGTAAGATGTGCCCCCGCGCGGACGGGGAGGACATACGGGACTGCGCGGCGGGAGAGTTTAGCCTGAGCCAGGCCACCGCCTGCACCGCCTGCCCGCCGGGGTTCGCCTGCCCGGACACCGCCTCGGACATACAGGTCCGGTGTGACGCTGGGACGTACTCGCTCGGCAGTCAGGCATCATGCACTGAGTGTCCCGCAGGATTGTAAGTCTGTTTCTTTACTATTGAAGAATGTGGTTGGGGGAATGTGTAATATTTGTCATGATTGAAGAAAAATCCATGTTTTTTAAAGGACACGTATGTTTATTTTACTAATGAAAAATGTGCGTTTGATGCAAGAAAATTTTATGTTTTATGTCTAAAATTATTACTTAAAGGTAGATGATACAGTCACTGTGAAAGCTTTCAAAATTGCAATTCTGCAGATATATATATAGAATATGGTAAGATTTCAACAATCCACCCATCATATGAATAATACCATTAAAAACTTAGAACTATACTGTTGATGGCTTTAATTAGTGAATAACCCAATATTCGAAGTTTGCTCAAAAGCAAAAAACACTTTGCCTAGAAGAATGTGTGGCTGCCTGTTCAATGTTGTTCCACATACTTGTCAATTACATTGTATGTTGTTTCAGTGTCTGATATACAGTTACTTACCAGTTGTGTTGTTTCAGTGCCTGTCCCTACACTGACCGAAGGACCCAGACTGCCTGTACTCAGGGCTACTACAGTACAGGAAACCAGTCCTACTGTTTCCCATGTCCAGCTGGCTTTGCTTGTCCTAACACAAATAGCGACAACACGTGAGGACCACACATTTATTTACGTTTTAAACTCTAGAAAGGGATTTTCTATAAGTTGGCAAGGTGGTCTTGTGGTTAGGATTGTTAGCGGGCCCCAGTTTGGTGTCCTATGGAAAGTTGTAGCCAGTACTGTACTTCATTTCTATTTCATTTTTTTCCAAAAATTTGCTGACAAAAGTTGTGTTGTGATAAGTTTTAGGAAGGCATTACAAACAATTTGATGTATAAAAGGTTATGCACGGTACTTCAAGTGCTGCTCTTGAAAAATAACATTACAGTGCTGGATACAGTTTCATGTTTAATTTCTTTCTCCACCAGGGTTGAGTGCACCCCCGGCACGTACTCCTACGGGGCCCAGCGGGAGTGTACCGGCTGCACGGCGGGCTCCTACTGCCCCTCCACCACCCAGGGGGAGCGGAGATGTCCGCTGGGGTACTACTCCGCTGCAGACGCCTTCAACTGCACGCCCTGCGAACCAGGCTACGAGTGCTCCGATCCTACAGGTAAGGCTCACACAACAACTGCACAGCCTGGATACCAGGCTACGAGCGCTCCAATCGTACAGGTAATAACACTCACACTTTGCATACCCTGGGAACCAGGCTACGGGTGGTCCAATCCTACGTGCTACAACTGCACAGCCTGGGAACCAGGCTAGGAGTGCTCCCAATAGTACAGGTAACACACTACAAACTGGGCAACTATGATGAATTAAAACGTCCTGCCCACAGAACTGCAACCATTTCATTACTGACAAAGTGTACATGACTGTATGTATCTAGGGTGAGCAACACAGCCAGGATTCAACCTTTGACACATCATAATTTCATTGTACCATGTGTGTCCAGCGGGTAAATACTCGCCTGGAGGAGAGACTCACTGCTACCCGTGCCAGCCTGTTTACATCTGTGAGGAAGGGTCCAGTTCATAGTTTCTAACATCATTGTTTTTTTCCCTGTCTCCCCTAGCCCCTGCACTGTGTAGTTTCTAACACGATTGTTTTTCTCTGTCCCCCAGCCCCTGCACTGTGTCCTGCGGGTAAGTACTCGCCCGGAGGAGAGATTCGCTGCTACCCCTGCCAGCCCGGTTACATCTGCGAGGAGGGGTCCAGTTCGGCCACCCCTGCTTCAGGACTGTGCGAACACGGTGGCTGGTGTAACGGTGTGACGTTCACGCCCTGCCCCGCGGGAACCTACAACCCCAACAACGGGTCACGCACCCAGCGCGAAGCCTGCCAGACATGTCCTGCAGGTAGGGCGGTCTTCTTTACTTGAACAATTGCACATTAAAATACTGCCATAGTGTATGTTACTGGAAAAGAAATTGGAATGTGTAGGATAACGTTCATCTGTGTTGGTAGTTCATGTTTAAAGTTAAAACGTTAGATCCAACACAAAGTAGTTCACTCACCTAGAGCTTTTGACTAGACCAGTCACTCTGGTCTATCTCAGTAGCAAATTTCTACTAAATAGACTTTCTTTTGATATAAAGACTAGCATTCCTTTAGAATTTGTTTCTGTGTTGATCTGGCATGTCCAAGTTAGAGTGGCCTCACATTCACAATCATAGGAGCGGCATTAAAATTGATTTTTTGTTGTTTTTGCAGGTTTCTTCTGTCCGGGCACCGGCAACTTTGAGTACGAAAACAACGACTGTCCTGCCGGACACTACTGCCCGGCTGGCACGCCGTCTGGCACCCAGTTCCCCTGCCCTGGTCAGTTGTCTATTTACTGTTTCATCTGTTTCATCAGTTTCACCATATGCATGCTGCATTTCATTGGTCAAATAACTTATAAGGTTTTCCGTAATTTCTTTAAAACTTTGAAGAGTGTAAAATTAGCCTCTATCAGTTAGGATCAGGCATAGTTCTGGATAGTCTTCACGTGTCCAAGAACGTAGATTGGACTTAACCAGAACCATGCCTGGGCAAGGTTCTGTGTGTAAAACACAGTTCTGGATACAACTACACCAGAGACCTGTTACTCAATTATGTTTTCTTCCACATTTAGAGGGCTACTACAACACTGAGCTCAACGCCTTGCGATTGGATGACTGCGTGCTCTGCCCCTCGGGGAACTACTGCCCGGTAGGTTCTGACACTGATGGCCTCGAATGTCCCGCCGGGTTCTACTGCCCGGCTGGTCAAGGGTCACCGTGGGTGAATGCTTGCCCTCTCGGCACCTGGAGCGACGAGGTCGGACTCAACGGTGAGTTCCAGAAATATTCACTGACAGACAGATCTCGTATGAAATAATTAAAAAAAAGGTCTTATTTCACTCTGTGCAGAGGATGGGGCGGTGCCCATGTATAGGGTGGGCCACAGAGTTGTGTAAGCACTACAGCATGGGGCTAGTCTGCTGGTAGTGTTTGACCTTCCCATACTCTTTCTCATAGATGCTGAGTGCTAAGCAGAGAAAGCAGTATGTACCGTTTTTTAAGTCTTTGGTGTGACCCGGTGGTTGAACTCACGACTCCCGACTCAAGATGCTTTGCAAATATTACCTATAAGTGTACTTTGTTTTAAAGTTTTGTCTTTATTTCCTGCCTTTCAGTCTCCCACCAGTGTAACGACTGCTCAGCCGGGCACTACTGCCCGTTCGGTACGGAGCTGGTGCCGCGCGTGTCGGAGATCCCATGTCCTGCTGGCACGTACAACCCAGACGAGAGGGCTGGTCACGTGCTGAACTGCCGCCAGTGCGACGCGGGGAGGGCGTGTCCCACCGTCGGGCTCGACAATGCCTCGCACGCCTGTGCACAAGGTGAGATCATACACACACGCACAGACACACACATCCACAAAGACACAAGCGCGCGCATACACACAAACTTGCGCACACACAAACACGTGTGCACACTCACACAAACACGTGTGCACACACAAACGCGCACACACACAAAGACGCATGCACACACAAACGTGCACACACACAAACGCGCACAAACACGTGCACATACACACAAAGGTGCACACACACACAAACGTGAGCACACACACACACACACGCACACACACGCACACACACACACACATACACACACACACACACACACACAGACACACACACACACACACACGTCCTATATACAGCGCCTCACACTCCTGCATTAAAGGTAAGATGACACAAAAGACATGTCTTATTTTTCTGTGACTTGGGTCCCTAATGAAGTCAACAGCCTACACTACTGTCTAGGTAAATTGAAATTCTGGATATCTAAAGCCATGTTTCCTCTCCCCCTCCCCCCCAGGTTACTACTGTCCGAACGGTACAATCACCCCAGACCAGTTTCCGTGTCCGCCCGGTACCTTCACCAACAACACGGACCTCACCGCGCCCGAGGAGTGTGATCTCTGCCCTGAAGGGTGCGTATAGTCTTACGGCCACCACAGATCAGCACTTCGGCAGAACGTACTGCGGCTTCGCGAAACCCTGATTTTCGCAGTTTCTGTTGAATATTTGGTCAACGTAGCATCAGAATTTTGAGTGTTAACCTTGTATAGGAGAATACGACCTTAATATTATGAAACGTTCTGCTGAAGTGCAATGCACAATACATAATGGGTTTTGTGCAGGTGCAGTATGTTCTGTCGACGTGTTCCACTGAGTTTTTCTGCTGTAACTGTCATTTAAAAGATAATGTCTACCTTTTAACTTTCTTGAAATGGTACACAAACTAATTTTAGGAAAGAATTGGGCTGGTAAGGAATTCACTCACTCAGTGCTGTAGCTGTAAGGAATTGGATCTGACTATTTTTCCAAACAACAATATTGTACAGAAAAACAAGATCATGAAGACATTGAGTGTACATATAGCTCAAATGGCTCAATACGTTTTCCCAGGTTGGACTTGTATAATCATAATAATGTATAAACAACAATGCCATGTTTTCTACAGGTTCTACTGTAGTTGGGGCACCGGCAATGCCACCAATGGCCCGAAGCCCTGCCATACCGGACACTACTGTCCCCTCGGCACCCCCACCCCCGACCGCTACCCCTGTCCTCCGGGAACCTTCTCACCTAACAACAACAATGACAATGCCGGGAACTGCACCGCCTGCACACCTGGGTACTACTGTTTGGGTACGTATCTGCAGTTCTGTTGCATGTCACTAGGGGGCACACCTGTACTGCACCATCTGCACACCCGGGTACTACTGTCTGGGTATGTAGTGTGGGTGTTATCTGCAGTTCTGTTAACTGTCAATAGGGGCACACATGTACTGCACCGCCTGCACACCTGGGTACTACTGTCTTAGTAGGTTTCAGCTAAATAGATAAAGGTAAAGGTAAACTAGTTCTGGATTAATATAGCTGGTATAACTTACTCTTTGGCATCACACACCAGCTGCTTTATCTGTATACTATTCGCTAGATAACCGCCCTTCTTCGTAACACGCTAGCTGATGTGGCTTGCACTGACACTGTGTGTTGTGAAAGTTGAATGGTGTACCAAATGTGCTGCTACCTTTCCTCACAAGCAGTGAGGCCACAGAATCAGTCTCTGTGTGTTGTTAAAGTTGTTACATCTGTGCTCAAATGTGCTGCTACCTTTCCCCACAGGCGGAGAGGCTACAGAAACAGCCCTGTGCCCCCCCGGGTACTACTGTCCTGAAGGCACGCAAGTCGCCGAACAGTTCGGCTGCCCCAACGGCACCTACAACCCAGACCGCGGTATCTGGGCAGAGGAACAATGCCTCAACTGTACACAGGTAATGTACAGGGTTTTCTGGAGTCTTAAAGTCTTGTTTATTCAATAAAAATACCAGGAAAGCTAGAAATGAAGTGAAAAGTAAAAGAACAGAAAAATTAATGCTTAATAAAGTAATTTTTGTGTTTATTTGGTTGTGGGTGAAGCATTTTGTTTCAAGTGTTGTTAAGTTAACGTTTCAGACTGTAACCTATGTGCAGTATATTTTGCAATTATATGTAAGCTGTGTCCTGCATATGTTCATAGAAATTTGAACAAATTATAATTCTTCATTATTTTATTCTCTTATGAATTGTTCCCTTCACTGCAGTGCATTTGACTTATTGTTGACTTGCTTGTAGGGGCACTTCTGTGAGAATGGTGTCATCGCACCTGAACCCTGCCCAGAGAAAACCTACATGCCATATGGAAACAACACCGGCACTGGGTTGGTTGAGGGTGAGTCAGATTGCTGCTGTTACTGTAACTGTTACAGTTACATTGTACATGTATATAATATTGGTACGTCTATTTCTGTGTGGCTGTTTCTGCACCTATCTAGTTGTCAGTGCCTGAATGGCTTAGGGATAGCATCAGGCATGCATATGGTTCTCGATACTACTAGTATCCGTGTATCCAAGAACTTAGATTTGCTCCAGGCATGTTTCTGGATGAGCATGCATGGGCTATCCAGAACATGCCTGAGGATGATTCTGGATAAAGCATAGTTCTGGATGCAACGGGGTTACTGTTTTAGGGCGTGAAGTCTGCCATGTGGGGCTGTGGGGCATAGCGGCAGAGAGTGCTCGACCCAAAACCAAGAGGTCCCGGGTTCGAATCCTGGCATGCCACTGATCTTGTAGCCTTGGGAAAGGCACTTTACATGACTTTTCTCACTCCGCTCAGGTGAAAATGAGTATTGTATTGTCCCCTGTGTTGGTGGCGCCATTAACATAAGTTGAAAAAACTTGCCGTCACCACCTCTTGTGATTACATGTTGGAATATGGAAAAAAATTATGTTCCTGCAGGTGATCCGGCCACCCGTAAGTCCAGCTGCCTGACCTGCCTAGCTGGTTACTTCTGCGAGGTGGGAACTGTCACTCCCGCGGAGTGTGGACTGGGCAAGTACTCTAAACCTGGCCAGAGCGTGTGCAAGGACTGTGAACCTGGGTAGGTTTCACTGTTTTACATGTAATGTACTGCAGGCAAACTATCTATATTAGGTACTGTTGGTAGTGATGTAGATGTAAAACAATGTGGGCTGGGCAAGTACTTCAGACCTGGCCAGAGCGAGTGTAATTAAAAGACTGCGAACCTGGGTAAGTTTCACTGTTGTACATGTAATGTACTGTAGGCAAACTATAGGTACTGTTGGTAGTGATGTAGATGTAACACAGTGTGGTTGGGGTTGACTACTAGATAAAGTAATAGTCTAAATTTGTTAAGTCAGGCTCTCCCACAAATACCCTTACCAATAAGTACAGTTACAGCTGCTGTAACATTTGTCACCCTCACAATACTAGGAAAATCTGAAGAACAGTTGTAACAGTTGTAGTGATTGAGATTGCTGAATGTTCTCACTGCTATGTTCTGTTGCACAGGTACTACTGTGACGAGGCCAACACCACACAGACAGCGATGCTGAACGATAAGAAGTGCCCGCCGGGACAGTTCTGTAACGGTTCCCTCTCCGACGTCAGCGAAGCCACAGACTGCACCATGGGATACTACTGTCCTGAAGGTCAGAACGAACGACCTTGAGATTGGAGTCATTCCATTTTTCCATCTTGGAAATTTAAGCATATTGAATTGTGACAAACTAGGTCAAGTAATGAAGCAGTAACCAGTTATTTCTTTTCTTTGATGAAGGTTAGACATTCAGGTAATGAGATTATCAAGAAAAGAACTCAATAATAAAAAGTAGTGGATGCTACTGAAAATGTGTCAAAACAGTTTAATACTCATTGACAAGCAACTGGATATGATTTTGGACACTTTACAAAATCATATTCAGTTGCTTGAGTAACTGTTTTTTTGGCATATCTTATTACCTGGATGTCTAACCTTCGCCGACACTACTGGAAATGTCTTACAGTTTTCAAGTAAGTCAGTGAGTAACTGTTATCTTGTTTATTTCTTTTCTCGTTTGCAGCGACACCATTCGAGGTGCCGTGTCCCGTCGGTACGTACAACCCGAACCCTGGAGAAGGATTTGTAACAGCCTGCCTGAACTGCACTGCTGGCAAATACTGCCTGGAAGGGTCATTCGAAGTGTCTGGGGAGTGTGAGGGGGGCTACTACTGCCCCACAGCATTTCCCAACCCGTACGGATCCATCCCTGCAACTATCGGATCCTACGGAGAGAGACAGGTGAAGCTTTCATCTCAATATTTCATATCTGTTCTGTTCAACTCTTTTTTACGAGTGACCCCACAGTATGCATGCCTTATATGTGAAGTGTGATCTTGCATCTTCCACTTCCACACAGAAAAAGAAGTCAGACCCAACAAAAAAATTACAATCTACAATCAATTATGCATTGTGCTTCATTGTTTATTCATCCTTTTCCTGTTATTTGCAATTAGCGCTTGTAGGGTGTGAGCTTACAATGAACTTATTATCATTGTATTAAGCATTAAGTATAGCAGGTTGTTGTGTATTAATTAAAGTTTGTGATTCCTTACCCAGGTTCCTTGTCCTGCTGGTACATACGTGACGACCACGGCTAGCGAGACCGTGGATGACTGCCTGGCCTGTCCCGAGGCACACTACTGTCCGCTGGGCACCAAGGACCCCAATGTGTGCGACCGCGGGTACTACTGTCCGGCCAACATATCCTCACCTATTCCCTGCCCTGTGGGCAGATACGGAAACACCACAGGTAAGAGTGCCTTAAACTTCTCTCTCTTTCTCTCTCCTGCTCCCTCTTTTTTTTCTCTCACTCTCTCACTCTTTCTCAGTCAGTCTGAAACCTATACATTCACATCTCCTCACCTATACCCTGTCCTGTGGGCAGATACGGAAACACCACAGGTAAGACTTCCTTAACATTATAAGGCTTAACCTTCTCTTTTTCTCTCTCTCTTACTCCCTCTTTCTTTCTCATTCTTTCTCATTTCTCTCTCTGTCAGTCATAAAGCATACCTACCATTATCTCCTCACCTATACCCTGTCCTGTGGGCAGATACGGAAATACCACAGGTAAGAGTTCCTTAAACTTCTCTCGTTCTCTCTCTGTTTCTCTCCATCTGTCTTTCTCTCTCTCTGTCAGTCTCAAACATACCTGCTAACATATCCTCACCCATCCCCTGCCCTGCGGGAAGATAAGGAAACACCACAGGTAAACTTTCTTAACCTTCTCTCTTTCTCTCTCTCTCACTCTTTCTTCCTTTCTCTCTCGCTCGCTCTCTCACACTGTGAGTCAGTCTTAAACACACTTAACATCTCCTCACCCATCCCCTGCCCTGAGGAAACACTACCTCAGTATGATACCCAAGAGGCTGAGCACAGTCTTTGCATTCTATACACTGAATATTTGGTGCAGTTGGAGACCCTATGTGCAACAACTGAAGACAAATTACTGCAGCATGTTGCTACATCCACATCTCATCCTTTAAACAGTGTACATTTTTAACACTCCTTATACCTGATAGTCTAAGAGGCTTGTGTACGATCCCCTGCAGGTTTGGTGCAGCTTGAGGACTGTCCTCTGTGTGACAAAGGGAAGTACTGTGATGCCCCCGGCCTGCTGAGCCCCCGGGCACCCTGTGACCCCGGGTACGTGTGCTACGGCGGAGCGAACACCTCCAGCCCAACCGACGGGGAAACCGGAGAAGTGTGCCCCGCAGGAGGCTACTGCCCACTGGGTAAGTACAGTAACTGTAAATCACTTTATGTTCATGGTAGCAAAAGTTCACGGTCTGAGAAAAATGGTTCACGGAACTATTATTCACGGTGGCAACAGGAGCAGGAAAAAGAAAGTCCAGGAATTAATTTATATCTGTAATTATAAGTTCCGAAGAGACAGCGAACATAACAGTACAGTGAAAAGGTTGTGTGACAGTCTGAATAAAAGTTCTAAACAGGAACTATACGCCTCCAGATGTCTTACTGAGGGACAATTGTGTGTGCGAGATATCGGTTAACAATAATATTAGGTAGACGTCAAACTTCATCCACTGACATGTTCAATGTTCCTCCAAGGTTTGTTTGAGAGCCTGCCTTGTCCACCCAGCACCTACAGTAACATGTCTGGAGCAGTTAGGCTTGGACTTGGGCTTAGGGTTAACATATAATATTATATATTTGGTAGATATCAAACTTCATTCACTGATGTGTCAAATGTTCCTGCCAGGTTCGTTTGAAAGCCTGCCCTGTCCTCCCGGGACCTACAGCAACGCGTCGGGAGCGGTTAGGGTTGGAGTTAGGGCTAGGGCTAGGTTTAGTGTTAGTGTTAGGGTTAGGGTTAGGGCTAGGGCTAGGGCTAGGGTTAGGGATAGGGCTAGATTTAGGGTTAGGATTAGGGTTAGGGTTAGCATGTACTAGGTAGCTTCATCCATTGATGTTTCCCTTTTCCCTCCCAGGTTCGTTTGAGAGCCTGCCCTGCCCTCCCGGGACTTACAGCAACGCATCAGTTAGGCTTAGGCTTAGCATGTACTAGGTAGCTTCGTCCATTTACATGTTAATTGTTCCTGCCAGGTTCGTTTGAGAGCCTGCCCTGTCCTCCCGGGACCTACAGCAATGCGTCGGGAGCGGTGGACGATAACGACTGCAGCCGATGCGACCCGGGCTACTACTGCTCCAACGCCCGCGGCCCCGAGCCCACGGGCTGCTGCGACGCGGGCTGCTTCTGTACCGGGGCCGCCAACGTGTCCTGCCAACACATCACTCAACCTGGTAAATACTTAACCATAATGTTCTGGAGCCCTTAATGCGTGTATAGACCATATTAGGTATTTCTGGTTCCTGGAATATAGACTCCAGCAATACAGACCTTATTAGGAATTTCTAACCTTTCCTGGAGCCTATAAGATGCTGCAATGCAGATTGTATTTAGGAATTTCTAAAGTTTCCTGCCAACACATACACGTATATGTACTCAACCAAGTAAGTGTAGGCAACTCTAGACAGGCCCTAAACCGCACAGTAATGCTTTTGAACATACAAGCTATGAATGATAATATTCCCTTCCAACTACATATATAACTGTTGATTACTTAGCCTAGCTAGTGAGGCTATTGCAAGCCAGAGTAGCATGATCTTTCATTTAGTGATATCTTCATTTTGCTGACACAAGTTAGCCTATTCCCAGTCATGTATTATGTGCCATTTGGATTGCCCACTAACCTGTGACTGTGCCTTCTGCAGGCTTCTACACTCCGCCGTGTTCCTCCCAGCAGCGAATGTGTGAGCTTGGGACGTACCAACCGTACGAGAGAAGCGGGGGGTGTACGGAGTGTGAAGCCGGCTTCTACTGTCCAGAAAAAGGCATGACCAACAGAACGGCCTGTCCGTCAGGTGAGGGGAATATGTCAAATGTTTTTACTTTTAGTTGGAGAACAGCCTATTTCTCATTATGTCCCATGTCCATTATTGTACTCAGATCTCTACATTTTTCTCCTTTTGAAAATTCCATTCTACTAACTGTAACTAACTGTAACCGTTAGAGTAACTATGATTTTGTATGCTGTATGGAGTTGCTTTTGCAAAATGTCTGTTTGCAACTTAAATTAGAATGAGGACTAATAGTCTGCAAGGACTTGCGCTGTTGGAGCCTATTTAAAAAAAAACAGTGCTTAATGTTACATGCTTATGATGCTCGAGAGAAAACATAGATTCATATGAAGGCATAGCATATTAATAATTATATAATATTTAATAAGAATTGTCTTACACATTTGTGTTGCAGGGTACTACTGTACCAACGGTAGTTATGTACCGGAGCCCTGTCCTAAGGGAACCTACACCAACCAGACACACAACACAACTCCTAGTGACTTACATGTACTGTGCAATAAACAATACCTTACACATTTGTGTTGCAGGGTACTACTGTACCAACGGTAGTTATGTACCGGAGCCCTGTCCTAAGGGTACCTACACCAACCAGACACACAACACGGACCCTAGTGACTTATATGTACATGTACAGTAACTGTACAATAAGCATAACCTTATACACAATACCTTATTGAACATTTCCTGTGTTGCAGGGTACTACTGTACCAACGGTAGTTATGTACCGGAGCCCTGTCCTAAGGGGACCTACACCAACCAGACCCACAACACGGACCCCACAGACTGTTTGGACTGCCCCCCTGGTTACTACTGCACAGAGGCCCATCTCTCCGCTCCATCAGGGCAGTGCAACGCTGGACACATCTGCTTCAAAAACGCCCTCTGGCAGGACCCGGTATATTGCAGCTTTATCATCCTATGTAGTTACAAGTACAAGAATTTAAAAAATTATTGCCGTTTGCAGAATCTCCTATTTGTAACAAATATAGACCCTTACTTTTAGCAGCTTATGTCTCAGGTGGATGAATGGCAATCAAGTGGACAATCCTTAATTTAGAAAAATGCAATAATTTCCCCCAAGATGATAATGATATTATTACAGATTGAAACTTTTATTTTGTCCCAAACAGTCAGGGTCTCTAACTTATTGAAAAGGGTCACAGTTAAAGACATTGTCCACAGTTCAATGTACTTGTCCAAAAGAGCTAGAAGAAATATTCCAGTACCTTAAACCTGTACCAATGTAAATATTGTACATAGCTTCTTTCATGACTAGTGGAAGATAAGCTCTTCAGTGAGGTAGAACTGGAACGAGGTCACTTTTGTTTTCCAGGTTTACAACAACGACACTTCGGGCGGGAAGGAGGTTGTCCTGTGGGGAGACCTGTGTGCCGCGGGCCACTACTGTCCCCGCGGCGCCACCTTCATGCACCCGTGTCCCATCGGCACGTACACCGGCAACCTGGGCTCCCAGAGTGAGGACGACTGCATACAGTGTGATGCAGGGAAGTACTGTAATGCTACCGGAGCCACTCAACCTGCAGGTATTCACTGAAAAACAACTTTTGTTTTGCTTACCTTCAAAAGCATTATGGTTTTTGCTCTGTTTTCTCTTTTTCTTTTTCTTCTCCATTCTTGTGTGGCATTCTTGTGTTGCAGGGAATTGTTTCGAAGGGTACTACTAACAGTAACTGTACCAAGTTTGACTGTAGTTTTCACAGGAACTGACAGGTGGCATTTTTCTGTTGCAGGGGACTGCTTCGAAGGGTACTATTGTACCGGCAATTCCACCACCCCAGCGCCGTACGGTAACGATACCGGCGTGGGTGACATCTGTCCGCGACACCACTACTGCGAAGCAGGGTCCCCGGAGCCGAGGCTATGCGCGGCGGGAACTTACGCTAACCACACCGGCATGAGCGCCTGCCTGCTGTGTCCGCCGGGGCTCTGGTGTGTCCCTGGCCAAGACCCGGTCTACTGTCCACAAGGTAACTTATATATGTTTGTGAATTACATATGGAGGACTTCATGACTCGAAATTCATTTTTAGGAATAGTTCCCTAGGTCCACGAAAAAAAATGATCAAGTAGAATTTCAAGAGAATCTGAGTGTGTACTGTCCACAAGTTAATGTCTTAGTAGATTACTTTTGGGAATTGTTCCTAAGTCTTAAAATAAGATATAGGATAAAACTAAGAAGTAGAATTTTAACAGTGCATAATGCAGCCAGGATTTGGATCTCTATTGCTAGGTAGTGTGATCTGTGAAATCATGATATTTGTGCGATATTTTTGTGGTGAGATATGCGCAATTTTTGTCTTTAAGGGACTATGTTTTATTTCTTACACAGGAAGGCAACATGTAGAACAGCACTTCAGCACCAAGGACAGGATAGTATGTTAGTAACACGGCTCTAATTCCTATGTACTAGAGCAGCTGCATGGTAGTTTGTTCGTTACAACTTAAGGCTCTGATTCCGGTACATGTATTCCCCCCACAGGTAGCTACTGCGTCGGCAGCACAGACTCGGTGAAACAACAGACCCCAAAGCAGTGTCCTGCAGGAACATATGGTAGCTACAGGGTAGTTTGTTAGTAACACTGCTCTGATTATTCCCTGTATACAGGTAGCTACTGTATCGGCAGCACTGACTCAGTGAAAGAGCAGACCCCGGAGCAGTGTCCGGCTGGAACGTACGGTGCAGAAGAGGGTCTGACGGCGGAGGCAGGCTGCACCAAGTGTCCGCCCGGCTACTGCTGCATCGAACCTGGACTCACCATGCCGATCAGTGAGTGGGGTCCTTCTTTTGGCCAAGTTTGTATCTAGTCCTATCAACTGAATCAGATGCTCTTCTAGCAACCCTTCAGGCCTGGGTGACATTTGCATGAATTTTGCCATTCTGCAGTGTTCTTTGGAATTCAAATTCATTTTAATGTAAAAGGATATTTGGAGATTCCATCTTCTTCCTTGTTGTGCTTTTGCTTTGAAAAATGTCAGCTACCAAAAACCAGAAGAACTCTGACTTGTTCTGTGTTGAAATTTGGTCTAAGATTTTTGACTGCTCGTTCCAGACAAGACAAAAGCCGGTTACTACAGCACAGGCGGAGCTTCGAACTGCGGCCCGTTTGTAACAGAGACCGACTCAACCGACACACGGGAGGTCTGTCCTGCCGGCTACTTCTGTCCTGAGGGCAGCGGGGATCCGTCGCCCTGTCCACCTGGAACTTACAGGTGAGACTTTCACTTTTCTTTCTGTCCAATTGTGAGACTTTCACTTCCGTACAGGTGAGATTTCCTCAGACATCTGTCATGGTGACATTATCTCCACGATTTTTTGCTCTGCAAGAGTCTCATAGGATGCAAGAACCAACTTTTCTGCTGCTATACCTATACCTTTCCCAGTACATAAAGCTTACGTACGTAAGTGAAGTAAAGTTTCCTGGTACTTGCCTGTACAGGTGAGACAACCTCAGATACCAGAGATATGACCAGGCCTGTGTGTGAAGATTTAATATACTCCGCAAGAATCTCATCAGCAAATTTCTATAACTTTTACCTTCAGTACAAACAACCAGCTTCCGTCTTATCAAAGATTGATGCAAATTTCTGTGATTTCACCTTCAGTACAAACAACCAGCTTCCGTCGGAAGACGACTGCACGCGCTGCCTGGCCGGGTACTTCTGCCCAGAGTATCACATGACTGACAAGCCCGACGACCACGGCGACACGTACAAGTGTGCCGCGGGCTACTACTGCGGCCGCGGGTCCAACACCTCCCAGCCGCTCAACGAAACCTTCGGAGACATATGTCCTACAGGTGGGTGGGAAGGGTTTCTCAAAGTGCATGATTTTTTGTAGCTTTGATGTGATCCACTTCACTTTACGATCACAAAACTGTTAATAGTCTCAACATTGTTTTTACATTGTATTTCTTGTACACAGTTAGATTCTTGTGATTGGTACCAGCTTGTTTTTGTTATTTTTGTTGGTGGGTAGGAAGGGTTTCTCAAAGTTTGTGATTTTGTAGCTTTGACGGGATCCACTTTACTTTCGCGCTGGCTCACAAAACTGTAATATCTTTGACGGTTTTTCTTTTGACTTTTTTCATTTCTTGTATACGATTAGGTAGATTAAAAACAACATGTCTTGGTTGTTTTTGTTATTTTTGTCATCCATCTTGTATTTTGTATATATGTATTTTGTATAAATGCATTATTTTGCTTTTTTGTCTGATCCTCTTTCAATAGATGTGAATAGATTAAAATAAATTTGATTTTGATTCAAGATGGCCTTATTAGTTGCAGTTACATTGTAGTTGGAGTTACAGTAGGCAATGTACAATCAGTCCACATGCATAAAAGCTGAATGTGAAAACAAACCGATGTTCCGTTCCAGGGCACTACTGTCCACTGGGGTCCTCAGCTGCACAGCCATGCGAGGCGGGGACGTTTGCAAACGAGACTGGACAGTCTTCCTGTGACCAGTGTCCAGAGGTAGGGCTAGACTTCATTATCAATCTGTGGTAACATCCAGCTAGGTCTCTAAAGTACTTCTCCTGCCCTTCTGGAGACTGCTGTTCTGCAGTTCTTACATGAGTTGATAGGTGGCTCTTCTGTGTTACAGGGGTTCTACTGTGAGAGCGGCACGTCCATACCTGGTTCCTGTCCTGCCGGGTACTACTGCCCAGCCGGCACAGACAGCCAGTTTAAGAACCCGTGTCCACAGGGAAAGTACAACAACCTCACGGAGAGAACAGCCGGCGCAGCCTGCCTGTCCTGTCCTCCAGGGTACGTAACTCCTTTTCTACTCTGTGAGATATGTATATTAAATGAAGCATGTGTGCGTGAGTGTGACTGTGTGTGTTTTTGTATGTGTGTGCCTGTGTGTGTGTGTGTGTGTGTGCTCATGTGCCCGAGTGTGTGCGTGCGTGTGTGCATGTGTGTTACATGTACATGTGTGTGTGTGTGTGTATGTGTTAGATGTACATGTGTGTCTGTGTGTGCATGCGTGTGTGTGTGTATGTGTGTGTAGTTAGAAATGTTAGATGTCCGACTAAGCGTCGCCCCTACCTTACAGGTCCTACTGCCAGACCCCGGGCCTGGCCTGGCCCACAGGCGAGTGTGATCCGGGCTGGTTCTGTACGATCGGAGCGAAGTCGGGCCAGCCGGGGACGGTAGCGGAGGGCGGGCGCTGCTCTCCCGGCCAGTTCTGTCCCGGCGGCAGCTCTGTGGCGACCCCCTGCACCCCCGGGATGTACTGTGATAACCACGGGCTGGCTGAGCCCACCGGGAACTGTACTGCTGGGTACTACTGTCTGCTGGGGGCCAGTACGGACATGCCTAGAAATGACACCACAGGTAGGACTAGTACATTTACTTACGTTACAAAAATGCACTGCTTTCACTGCTTAGCACTCAGCATTTACAAGACAGAGTATGGGAAGGTCTTGCAGACTAGCTTCCTGCTATAATACATTGTAGTTTTTGCCCAAAAGCTTCCAAAATGTAGATGGGTGCCACCTATGCATATGCTTACCTTTAATAACTAAAGTTCACAGGTATGACATTACATACATTACAAAAAAATGTGCTGCTTTCTCTAGATCCCTAGAAGCTAAGAACAGGACTAGAATCTGAAGTTTTCCATATTTCCAGGTGACGCCTGCCCCATGGGTCACTACTGTCCAGAGGGAAGCAGCAGTGGAACCACCTGCCCACCTGGCACCTTCTCCAACGTCACAGGTAAGTCACATCTCACCTGTCCATGCACCTGGTACCTTCTCCAACGTCACAGGTAAGTCACATCTCACCTGTCCATGCACCTGGTACCTTCTCTAACGTCACAGGTAAGTCACATAAGCCAAATTTGATGAAACATGAAAGTTATCTGTGTAACTTGGTATGATTATGTTGTAAAAGCTAAAACTTAGTGTTGCACCGCTTGGGAATGGACCCGTCTACTGCAGCTTCTGGGACGTGACCTCAGAAACATGTGATTGCTTGATTTCTCAGTGTATATGTCTTAAACACTGGTCACCAGAAATTTCATAAAAAACTATAGGTGATGTGTGTCTTTAAACCTGCAATAAAGATTATTCATTTATTGCTATACCAGGTAACAGGGAGCTGGGAGACTGCTATGAGTGCACCATGGGGAGTTACTGTGAAGGGTTTGGGAACGTAGAGCCGAGCGGCCTGTGTGCGGCCGGGTACTACTGCCCGGGGGGGCAGAACACATCCACACCTCTGGAGTACCAGTGCCCTCAGGGTCAGTCTTTTTTGTTATTATTGTTCAATCATACTGATAAAAACACACAAAACAATGAACTACATAAAAGCATCTATTAGACAGCTAGTTTAGTCCTAATAAACAAATATTGATACCATCCTCTCTTAATGTCAACTCATTGAAACATTGGTCATTCAGACTTGAAGATAAAGGTTTGCAATTGCCAACCAGCTGCTATGGTGGTAAGACTGTAACCATTGTTTAATGGTCTCTCCTTTGGCCAGTGATTACAGCCTTGCCACTGAAGGCACTGCTTGGAGATTAATACAGACAGCCATAAATACAGTGAGATATCTCGTGTTAGAATGCTGTTTACTTCCAGTCTGACATCCAGTCTCTGTCTCATGCCTACAGGGCATTACTGTGAGGTGGGCAGTACTGAGCCGGTCCGCTGTGAGTCCGGCTCCTACCAGGACCAGCTGGGCCAGCCTGGCTGTAAGGAGTGTCCGGCTGGGTACTTCTGCGATAACACCATGGACCCGGTCGTGCTGTATAACAACACTCTCTGTCTGGAAGGTAACTGTACAAACTCTAACTTCGTGTCAAATTTTCAGTGTCTTTCACTGTAGTTCTACTATTACCTTCTGTGGTAGGACGTAGAGATTTTGTGTTGTATGTAATTTATGTTCAGAATAATTCTGTAGTACTGAAACTACAACTGTGTTGTAGTCTGCAGTGCATTCAAATTATTACATATTTGCAGTGTCATGGTGGAGAGTGAAAACAGAAATAAAACCCCTCCAAAAGATTTGAGATTTACAGTGTAGGTTTTGAGATTCACAGAATGCGTCACAGTGCATGACTCCACCTTTCTTTAATTCATAGAATTTGTTGTGCTCTACATTTTATCACTGGATTCGCATTTTGATTGACACCTGGTCTTCTGTGCTAACTTGCTTCCTGTAGGTTACTTCTGCCCTCCTCGTACTAAGTACGCAATGGAGCACCCCTGTCCCCGGGGGAGTTTCAGTAACACCACTGGGCTGAGCTCGGAGAGTGACTGCATCCCCTGCCCAGGAGGGTACTACTGTGATGAGCTGGCACAGACTTCCTACACCAAGCTGTGTGCTGCAGGGTACAGAAACTCTTCTGTTCTGCTAAAATAATGCAAACAGTCATGTTCAACATGTGCCAAAAAACAGTTACTCAAGCAACAGTTACTGGATATGATTTTGGAAACGGTCAGACGTTTCAGCTAGTACCCCACTAGCTTTCGTCAGTGACTGAGATACCAGAGGAGAAATGCAGGTTTATAAGCACAAACTATTGATTGATATGTAATTAAAAGTCATGTTCAACATGGTCTCAAGGTTGGGATAAAAGCCATAAATGTGATGGGCACACAAAAGAATTTAAGGTCATGGGTTCAATGCCCATTGGCACTGTACTTTCCTCTCTAGTCCCTCTACTGGTGGTTAGGGTACAAGGTAGACATAAACAATTTTAAACATGGCACCGTCAATGTTGGCTATCCATCTGAGATTCTAGTTAATGACAACTAACTTTGCAGAGTAGTACCAAGCAATTTTATCCTAAGGGTTGTACTATCTGTAACGAAACAAGGTCAGTGCAGAGTGAATGAGGACTGGTGTAACAAACTTAAATTGACATTCTCCAAAGTTTACACTTTTAAGTCGATCTTATTTCTCATGAACATTTTTGTAGAAATCATCTTTAGTGTTAGTTATGAAGTAAGATGTTGTGGAACGATCTACCATATCATGTTAAGACACTGAGTAACCTTCTCAGGTTCAAGAAAGTCATCGTAAACAGTGTCACATGAACCCGACCTCTAGTTTTTAAATTGTTAATATTGATTTGTGCGTTCCTTTTGATGTTTAATGTATTTTTGTCTTTTTAAATGTATGCACTGTATTCACTATTTTCTATGTATATATGTGACGATGTACCAGTCCTGTATTTGAGCCTTGGAAGATTAGGCCTGCGGGGCTAAAAGGCTTCGAAATAAATGAAATAAATAAATGAAATGAGATTTTCGCCCTGTAACCAGGTACTACTGTAGACGAGGTGCTATCGAGTCCACCCCTAACCAGACGGAGGACGCTAACTCCTGCCCGGCTGGGTTCTACTGTCCGGAGGGGACAGCCGAGCCGCGGAAGTGCGACCTGGGAACCTTCTCTGACAACCCCAACCTGGTCAGCGCCGAGCAGTGTCTCAACTGCACCGAAGGTACGGATAGGAGTTCATTATGGAGCATGCGTGTGAATGGAATGGAAACAGACTGTTTCTGATCTTAAAAAGAACATGTTAATATCATTATGATAACATTGGTAAAAAAATAACAAAAAATAACTTCTAAAAGTGTTTTCCTTTCTAAGATGTTTTATGTACTCAGACCTGCTGTCAGCTCTTCATACTTTTCATGGTGAATTATTTATGGAGTGCAATATGATAGCCATGATAGTTGTTTTTCTGTTGTTTATCTGTTGTTGTTTACCTGTTGTTGTTTATCTGTTGTTCTCAGGCATGTACTGTGGAGAGTACAACATGACAGCACCCAGTGGGGAGTGTTGGGCGGGGTTCTACTGTCCCGAGGGCTCCCCAGACCCAGACTGGATCGCCTGTCCACACGGGCACTTCTGTACTAACGGCACGCATACGCCCGAACCATGCCCTAGGGGTGAGGGTTTCCACTTTACTCCCTTTGTTATTTGTTTGACTACTTGTGTACCTAATTATGGTTTTTAGATTTTTATTATATTAAGATTCATATCATAGTTTGCTTTATAACGGTGACTTTTTTGTACATTGTTTTTTTTTCATTAATTTTTTTAAAACGGTGAAAATTCAGTAAGACATCTTGTATCTTACTGTTATCTTACTGTTTTTTCACAAATTACTTAAACACATTGCAAGTCTACCCCAAAAGGCATACTGCACTGCCCATGCATAGTGCTGAATGTCCTGTAACTGATCATGAGATGGTACATGTACAATGTATAGTAATATCAGAAGATCAGTATTTAGTAGACGGGATTCATTCCTCAAGCTAACCAACATCTGGCACATACAGTCGTCCCTCAGTAAGACACCTGTGCGGTATGCCTGCTAGGGTAGACATGCAATGTGTAAGTAAGGCTAACAAAATGCTAACAGTAAGATACAAGATGTCTTACTGAAGATCATTCAGAGCCTGTTTTGATGACACTCCATGGTTTATATTGATCAGGTGCGTTTTCTAATGAGACCCACCTGAAGATATTATCAAATGAAGGTATTTTACCCAAAATATGTAGCGACATATGCTTGGTGCTTGGTCTTGATCATGAGGTGGTAGATGTACAATGTATAGTAATGTCAGAAGATCATTCAGAGCCTGTTTTGATCACACTCCTTGGTTTATGTTGATCAGGTACGTTTTCCAACGAGACCCACCTGAAGTCAGCAGGAGAGTGTTACCAGTGCACGCCCGGCCAGTACTGTGAGACTGAGGGCCTGACAGAGCCAACGGGGTCCTGCGGAGAAGGTGGGAAGGATTTTATTATCAAATGAAGTTATTTTACCCAAAATGCACACTGTTTAGTGACATATACAGTTCTCTTGTCCAACTGCCTTACATTTAGGCCATAGGTTCACATGTCATCATTAAACACTTAAGTCTTGATAATTATGTAACCAAAAAAAAAAAAAAATTTAAAAAGAATCAACTTGTGAATTTGGTTTGAAGGAAGTCAGTTATCAACAAGATTCATGAGACCAACAAATGTTGTGGAAAATAATTCAAAAGTATATTTTATGTTGTGTCTTAAGTGTAATGTTTGCCAGCTTTTTCTAGATGCTCATATTAATCATTGACATTATATATATATATTTAAAAACTCTTCCCCAGGTTACTACTGCCCTGAGGGAACTGTTCACAGAGAGCCAAATGACACGTACTGCCCCATCGGTCACTACTGCCCGGGCGGCGTGTCTTTACCTCTGCCATGTAGGAACAACAGTCATGTAAGTCAATCGTGTTTTTTTTTTTAATCTTTCTCATTGCTTCATTCTGCTGTTTGATTGACTTTTGATAGCGTTTTGCAGTGATTTACTTTTAACCCTTAGACTTTAGGTCCTCCTACGCCTACAGGCACATTGGGTAGCATCCAGTTCTATGATTTAGAGAGAAAAAATGTAGCTTGCCCCTTATAAAAAAAGATTAAAACTTTGAATACATTGCACTTATTGCAGTTGCCATTTTCTTGTTTTCTCACTTTGCAAGAAGGCTTTTGTGGGGAGCTGTGAATGCATACCGCTCTTTCTTGGCTTAATAGAGGCTCAATTTTGGAGGAAGCAAATAAAAGTAAATGTAGAAAATATATTAAATAGATGCAAAATTGACTTGTTCTAATATCAAATCCGCCCCCCTCCCCCCAGGTGAACCACACCCATGCAGTGATGTGCTACAGCTGCGAGGCCGGGTACTTCTGCGAGGCGGCAGGGGTACAGACCATCTGCCCAGCCGGCTACTACTGCCCCCAGGGCACGGGGTCTGACCTGCGCGCCTGTCCCCGTGGTACCTACAGCGACCAGCAGGGTCTGTACGCGCTTGAGCAGTGCAAGCCCTGCGATGCTGGGAGGTACTGTGACGAGGAACATCTCAGCTCACCTGCTGGTAGGGAGAAATGACCTGCTACTTATAATCTTTTAACTTGATATCCATTTTGTTCCTGCCTTTTTATAGGCAAAGTACACATATGGAGTACAATATGTTTTATGATCCACCAATAAAATGAATTAAAATTTTTTTTAAAAAGGCAGGTACAGATAGGAAAAACGACTGATACCAATTTGATATTTCTGTATTCTGTTCCAATACGACTTTTGCTCTGTTCCTTTATGAATTGTAACATGAGTCCAGCCTTGTTAGCTGTTATCTGCTAAAGTGCAGGACTACAAGGCTGTACTCCTGAGGCTAGATGAATTGCTGATTTCTGTCCTCCAGGCCTGTGTACAGCCGGTCACTACTGCGTGTACGGCGTGGACAGAACCAATCCTGACGGGGACAACGTCACGTCCGCATCCAACAGCTCCGACTGTCCGTACCACGACGGTGCCATGACGGGTTATGGTGGGATCTGTCCCCAAGGCCACTACTGTCCTAACGGCACAGACTACCCCAATCCCTGCGCCCCGGGTACATACGCCCCAACAACAGGCATGGCAGAGTGCCTCACGTGTGAACAAGGTAAGGAAAATGCAGAACCAACTATTGTCTCTGTGGCCACATTCCAAGGATCTTAAAATTGATGGGGCTGAATTGCAGTCAGTTCTGTAGTGGCAGCTTACATGACCTGATTATTATAGGACTGTAAAGTTTTTGACCTCATGATCAGACAAAGATGGACACATTTTCCAAGTGTGATGGGTTCTTTTATATGGTCGAGGTGTGGCACTTCTCAAAAAGGGGGCCTCCATATTTTAGCTTAAGTTAGCTTTTCAAACCTATAGCATTTATACTAGTTTATGCATATAATCAATTAATAACCTTGCTTGTATTTGGATTCCAACCAGGAAATTGGTGAAGTTATAAAAATGATAATTCATGAATCATTATGTCTTGAATTTGTAAACGTGGCAGATTTATAATTTATGATTCTTTCATCCTTGACACCCCTGTAGGTTACTACTGCCCGAACGCCACCGTGGACTATGCAGACAACCCGTGTCCCTCAGGGCACTACTGCCCCGCCGGCACACATCAGGGCAATGACAACCCCTGCAGCCCCGGCACCTTCAACAACAAGACTGGCAGCTACGACCCGGCCGACTGTGTGTCCTGCCCAGGTACGGAAACTGTCCTGTGTTAGTGGTCAAGTCGTGCAGAAACTGTCCTATTTTGTTGTAAATTTGTGCTGAAACTGTCTTGTTTTTTTAGGTCCAGGCCCAGGGGTCATTTTTCACATTGTTTCACAGTTCCAGTTACAATTCCCCCTTCCCTCTAGGTTGCTCCTACTGCGACTTAGTGGCCTCTGCGATGCCGGGTACTACTGCTCAGGGCAGTATACTGTACTGTTAAGTTAACCCTACTGCCCCCTTCACTCTAGGTGGCTCCTACTGTGACACCAGTGGCCTGTCCAACCCCAGTGGACTATGTGATGCCGGGTACTACTGCTCAGTAGCCTCCACCACAGCCACCCCCAGTGGGACGGGTGGAGACAAGTGCCAGGCTGGCTACTACTGTCCCCAAGGAGCGTCCTTTCCAAAGGCCTGCGACCCAGGCTACTACTGTGCTGTGGATGGCCTCAACCAGACGTCTGGGGAATGTGATCCAGGTAGGCTACTATTCTCCTCTTCTAGCACATTTCTCAAGGTTTAAAAGCTGTTAAAAGGAAGGATTCTTCTGCTGAATTCTTCTGCAGTAATTATTACAATTTGGGTGTTAGAACTTGAATTTAGAGTGTTTTATTCTTTTCGTGGACCTATGGCTACTGGCTATGTGAGTAAGTGAGTGAGTGAGTGATTCATTATTTTCTAAAAATTAATTCTGTCGTATTTTGTTTGCCTCAGGTTTCTACTGTACCTCCATGGCTGTGCTGTCCAATCCACAAGATGGCAATGTCACAGGTAAGACGGTCACTTCCAACTACATTTCATACAAACCTGTTTATGATATGAAAGTGTTATAACAGGATTACCTGGTGCAGGCCACCATAAGAGACTTACTAATGTAGGAGATGAAAGCAAATCCAAAGGATACACTGTAAAGTAAGCATAATTCACAAATTTTTAAAAGTTGCAGTTTGGTCATTTACTACAGTTGGTTGACCCATATTCTACTTTGAAACAAAAACCGTTTTACCCAATATTAAATCTTTCTCATTGCTCCATTCTGCTGTTTGATTGATTTGTTAAAGCCTTTTGCACAGTGATTTACTTTTAACCCTTAGACTTTGGGTCCTCCTGCGCCTACAGGCACATTGGGTAGCATCCAGTTCTATGATTTAGAGAGAAAAAATGTAGCTTGGCCCTACCCAAATTTCCTGTCTGTTTCCCCAGGTGCAGTTTGATCATAACTGCAGTTGGTTGGCTAATTCTACTTTGAAACAAAAAACGTTTTACCCAAAACTAGTAGATTTCCTGTCTGTTTCCCCAGGTGACATCTGCCCCCAGGGTGCGTACTGCCCCCCTGCCTCCCCCTCCCCCAGACTCTGCCCCCCTGGGTACTTCCTGAACAGCACGAGGAACGACGACCTGTCAGACTGCCAGACCTGCACGGCCGGGATGTACTGTGGGGAGAACGGGCTGGCCCAGCCCACCGCCCCCTGCGCCCAGGGGTACTACTGCCCCGGGGGTCAGGAGGTGGCCACACCGCACGAGTTCAACTGTACTCTGGGTAGGTGGACAGACTTGTGTATTCACTTAAAACTTCTTGCCTCACCAGGCCACTACTGGCTAGCAGGTCAGATGTGCCTGGAAGTTTGCACCATTGTTACACTATTTAACTGGAAGTTTGTGTACTGGGTACTATTGTACTATTGTACTATTGTCTATACCTTAATCCTCACCAGACTACTACTACCCATCAGGTCAGAGGTGCCTCGAAGTTTGCACTATTGTACTGTTAACATTTCTCTCATCCCCAGGTCATTACTGCCCGGCCGGGAGTGTACTGCCGATCCGCTGTCCATCAGGGCAGTACCAGGACCAGGAGGGGCAGTGGGGGTGTAAGAACTGCCCTCCTGGGTACTACTGCGATAATGTGAAGGAACCGGTGGTGCTGTACAACAGCTCAGCTTGTCCAGAAGGTGGGTTTTGAGTGTGAGCTATTGACAGATTGCATGAGCAAATGATCATAAATGTCCACCACAGATTTTTTTACCAGAGTCCTGTGGCCAACTTCGAGAGTTATGTTCCAATGTCTTCCAGCATCTGTACAGAGCAAAATGTATCACAGAGAGCATTCTGTAGCAACAACTCCTGTGCTGTAAAATGTGAACCAGACAGATTTGATGGACGATCAATCACCCAAATCTTGGCTGAATAAAACTTGCTTTAAAAGAATTTCTTTACACAATGGCTAACAACCTGATGAAACTATTCACGGGTGGGGTATGGCAGACAGCAAAATAACTTCTACATAATCAGGTATACATACAGTTAATGAAATTTGCAACTATATTTCCAGGCTACTACTGTCCTAATGGCACTCGTTACGCTAACGAGTTCCCCTGTCCGCGGGGGACGTTTGGTAACCTGACACACCGGGAGAGAGTCAACGACTGCCAGCCCTGCAGCGGCGGACACTACTGCGAGACCGAGGGCCTCACCCAACCCACTGGGCCCTGCAGTCCCGGATACTTCTGCAAGGTGGCGTCCAACTCCTCCACCCCAGGGTTTGGCGCAGATGCTGACGAGTGCCCAGTGGGGCACTACTGCCCGGAGGGGACGGCATCCCCCTTAGCGTGTCCGCCCGGCACGTATAACCCGAGCATGCAGAGGACAGACATTACAGACTGTCTGAACTGCACAGCTGAGCGCTACTGTCCCTCGTGGGGCATGGACCAGCCTGGGCCCGAGTGTGAACCTGGTGAGAAAGCCTTTATGTTTGTTTATCATACAGAGCTGGACTTCACGTTACAGCAAGCTTCTTTATCTGTAGTTAAGTGTATCTTAGCTGCATGGAAATTGAACTAAACTCAGGTGGAAAACCATCATGTTTTTTTAAGCAAACTGTCTAGTTTCATTGGTAGAAATAGAAAATACTTCTTGCCAAAACTTGCCAGTCTTTGCACAATACTCTTGTGTAATAAAAACCTTAATATGTTACAGGACTTTGACAATCTATTTCTTTCTTTCTTTCTTTATTGGCAATGACAACAGGTCAAGACACAGGTTATCAAGGCAGTGTAAACTGGTATTAGATAACCCACATGTACAGACGTGCAGACAAACATGAAATAAGAAATCTACTATAAATACAAGACCTGGAACTACATTCAATTCATTTAATCCTATTTTCAATCAAGGCACAGGTGATCACTCTCATTCTTTCCTCAGGTTTCTACTGTGAGGCTGGAGCCGACGTTGCGACCTTTGCCCGTTGCACCGCGGGTCACTACTGTCCACAGGGCAGTTCCCACCCGACCCCGTGTGCCGCGGGCTCCTGGTCCAACACCCCTGGGCTCAGCCATCAGGACAACTGCACGCAATGTCCAGGTAGGGAATACACCAAACATGTTTGCCTTAATAAGCCTTTCTTTATTAATTTGCATGCCAACTATGAATATTGCTTTTACACAGCTTATTGTTTTGTCATGTTTCAATGTTTGCCTTGTTTCTGTTATTCATACAGTGTATTTGTCCTGAATAAAGTGTTAATAAACAATGAAACAACCATTTATTTTTAATGATAATAGCACTATGTTGAATAAGTGTCAGCATAACTGTACCGAATGTCTATGTTAAGAGTTTGCACTAAATTACAAGCTCTTTTTGTGTTGTCAATGACAAAGTAGACTTACAATAGAGTAGAGGCATATGACTATTCGGTAATGGTAAAAAATGAAGTGTGAGAGTTTTATAAAAACTACCTTTGCTCCCCCCCCCCAGGTGGATTCTACTGTCCGGAGACAGGGATGACTGAAGTGACTCAGCAGTGCTGGGGAGGGTACTACTGCCCAGGGGGGGACGCTGTTCCCAACCCCCCCTCCACCATCTGTCCCGGGGGGGTGCACTGTCCCAACGGCAGCCAGACTTACCTGTCCTGCCCAAGCGGCACCTTCGCTAACTACTCAGGTGAGAGGCACACCTGTCAGGTGTTAGACAAGTTTTAAGGTTTTAGGAGAGCTAGTGGTATTTCTTTTGGGGCCAGAAGCCATATAAAAGGCTGATACCAGAAATATAAAACATGTCATTTGTGTCTTAACTTAGAAAAGCTGTAATATTACAGTAACTCTTTAGTGAAATATATTGAATCTAAGGCCTTATGCTAAGGTTAGTGATAGAAAAGAGTAGTCCGCGGGGGACGTTCGGTAACCTGACACACCGGAAGAGTGTTGACGACTGCCAGCCCTGCAGCGGCGGACACTACTGCGAGACCTAGGGCCTCACCCAGCCCACCGGGCTAATGGCGTAATACATGTACATCAAGATTTAAAAAAAAAAAACAATAGAAAAAATAAAACGTGTTATTTGTGGGGATCGAACAGGGCATATAACAAATACCTTCCGTTTGGGTCTACAATCAACATTGTATTACTGTGACATTGTTACAGTTAGTAGTAGTATTTCTTCAACATCTGAAAATGATTGTTTTTAAAGAAATTGCCATAAAGAAAGGGAATCAGACTAAAATAAAGTGTCCTAGCCTCCTAACCTTGACGTGATAACCGTTGCCCCCCCCCCCAGGTGCTGCTGAGTGTGACCCCTGCCCTGCTGGGTACTACTGCCTGCCTGTTCAGCCTGAGAACGCCACCATGGCCGCCACCCTCTGTCCACAGGGGTACTTCTGCCCTCAAGGTCGGCAATAGAATGATTGACACAGACTTACTGATAGTATTAATAGCCTTACATGACGGTGCCTCCCTCATCCCATTATTGTAATTTTACTATGACTTTGCTAGAGTTTACATGTCCTTTATAGTTACCTTCACTTTACATTTGTATTGAGAGTTCTTCTTCTTCTTTGTTGTTTTTAATATGTGAAATTTACTTCTATTTTAATATATGATATGATGACTTATTACCTTGATGTTTCAAATTCCGATATTCTAGTTTTTTTTTAAACCTGAGCTTCGTTTTGTAAATGTCAACACCCCAATTCAGCCTATGGGCTGCGAGATGTGTTTGACATGTTAGTTTATGTATGGACAAATAAACCATTACTACTATGTTAGACATAAATCTTCACTCAGTAATGTTGTCCTCTTGTTTAAACTTACATGTAAAGATGTTTAAAGGGTGGTGTATAATCGTTTCTTTGAAATTCCATGGATTTGACCTTAAAGTGCACCAAAACGTCATTCTTCGCTGCCCCCCTCCCCACAGGTACCGGATTGGACTGGCAGTCTTGCCCCTCCGGAACCTACAGCGACCAGAGAGGACTGTGGGATACCAGCCAGTGCACGGCTTGTGATGGAGGGACGTACTGCGACGACCTTCACCTGACACGACCTGCCGGAAACTGCTCAGCTGGTACGTCAAGGTCAAATTGTAGATAAAACAATCATTCATTCATTCATTTATTTTTTAAATTTATTTGGATTAATAAGAAAGAAATAACAGAAAGTGGGAAACCATCCAGTTACAAATCAACACCTAATTTGTCATCTCAAGAAATATAAACAAATGTGGATTCATTCATTCATTTATTCGTTCATACAGCTGCAACTAACAGCTGCGTACCTGTGTTACTTTGGAAGTGTGTTCCACTTTGTCATGTTTGTGCCCCCCTCCCCCCTATAGGTTACTACTGCAGATCAGGTGTGAACCGACCTGACCCCAGCACCCCAAACACCTGTAGCCAGGTGAGGAACTCCACAGACAACTCGACCGGCTGCCTGTGTCCGGACCAGACCTATCACACAGGTGAGACTCTACCAGCACAAAGGTTTACAAACTGGTCGTCAGACATAAGATGATAAAAACTAACCCTAACTAAAGCCTCAAAAATGGATAACGTTAAGTTTTATAAAATTGGATGTGTAACAGCTGTTTACTCCTTTGTTCTCAGTAGACTGTTTTATAAATCTTTGGAAACTATGTAAGATTTCTGGTGTCCAAATTCACATTTTCAATGGCAAGTTTGTTCAACATAAATTTCCTATACCCTGTTATGTATTACTGTTACCTGTTCACTGCAGTTCCAGGTTGAACTATAATTGTGTACAAAATGCCATAAAGCCAGCAGGTCACTTTCAATCGTTTGGTCTCCTATAGGAGATGGATTCCAGTCAGGTTTATCATGGTGTGTCATTTGATTATAGTGTACTACTATGTAAAATCTCACTGGTTGTACTAATGCATTACTCAAGTTTATTACCATAAAGCCAACACATCTCTTTCCTTCATTTTGTCCCGTCCAGGAGATGGTGGCCAGTGCCCGCTGGGTCACTACTGTCCCGAGGGCACCACAGCCCCCCTCCCCTGCCCAGCCGGCACCTACAGTAGTGTGCAGGGCCTGGAGGAGTGTAAGGTCTGTCCTGAGGGGTTCTACTGTCTGGACAACAGCACACAGTTCCTAGACACACCCTGTCCTGCTGGTAAGAACCCTGTTCAAATAATTATAGGAAGTTCAGCACAAATTTTTGCAGGTTATGATCCACAGATCACAGAGTCTGAAGCAGTGGATTGCTCATTCATTGACAAACCCTGCATTAATTTTTTAAATCAAAAATTTGGATAAGTCAAATTTACTGTGTTGGAAATTACAGACTCAATTTTTTTCCTACAGGTTACTACTGCCCGAATGGCACAAGCCATCCATACGAGTTCCCCTGCCCTCCTGGCACCTACAACCCTGCTAACTACAGCAGCTCTAACTCATCCTGCCTGGCCTGTTCTGCTGGGATGTATTGTGATGTGGAGGGGATGGAGGCACCGCGAGGGAACTGCAGCGACGGGTACTACTGCGCCGGGGGGAGCCACACGCCAACCCCCCACCCCACTTCTGCCATCGGGGGACGCTGCAGGGAGGGGTACTACTGTCCTGCTGGTAAGGCTTCATCCAAGATATTTTTTTTATAAAACTCAACCCTAAAGTTTGACAGCAAAACCGACATTCTGGCGGCAGCAGCCGGCGTGTCCCTTCCTGCGCTGATTTTGACGGAGATGTTAGAATTAGAACATGCCAGGGGTTCGGTGTGTTCGATCCAGATCAGTCTATTGTTTTGGATTTTGTCTTGTAGTTTAGGTTCTCTTGCAACAATCTTGCCAAAACCGTGCCAGAGTAGCTATTAAGTAAAGCATACAAAAAGTTAAGGGAGCAACTGTTGTATTCATAATATACCTATGATGTATACCAAGCTTAATGCACATTTCAACTCTCATCACTGTTTCTCTCTCGACTGTCCAGGTACTGACCATGAGCTGGAGTGTCCAGGCGGTCAGTTCTGTGACGTGGCCGGTCTGTCGGAGCCTGTGGGACCGTGTGCAGCCGGCTTCTTCTGCCAGCTGAAGTCCACTACTGCCACACCTCTGGACGGGTCCATGGGAGACGAATGTCCAGCCGGTAAGAACTGCTGAGCTGAATGGTTACTTCACAATTATTCTTGCTAAGAAATAGCAATAGGCACTGTCTAGTTTTCCTTTATGGTGAAAATTCCTAACGTTTTTCCAGGTTACTACTGTGAGGAGGGTTCAGCCTACCCCTCCCCCTGTTCCCCTGGTACCTACAGCTCCAGTAAGAGGAACACCAACGTTACCGACTGCAGGCCTTGTAGCTTTGGGGAGTACTGTGGAGACTACAACATGACAACCACCTCAGGTATGGGCTCTTTAATAGTTAGATATGTTAGTAACAGTTTTGTAGCTCTTCCTGTTATTTAGGTAGGACAAATCTATGAGGAGGAAGACAGTACTCCAACTTCATCCTGACGTGTTACCTTTGTTAGGATATCTTGAGAGACAAAGATGAAGAAAAAAAACTGCACCAATGTGACAAAAGATTTGGTTGGCTTGAAGGAAAAATTAGCTTGATTATCCACCTCAAGTTTTCACCAAAACTTAACACAAAATATATATTGCAGGCTTGAAGATGTCTTCTCAATCTGCTGTTGCATTATTTCCATTGAATGAGAACGAGTTTCATTGCCCTGTGTGTAATTTCTCGTCACCTAGGCAACTGCAGCGCCGGTTTCTACTGCCCGAGAGGGGAGGACGTCCCCGACAGGCTGCAATGCCCTGTGGGATACTTCTGCCCCGAGGGTTCCCATCAGCCAACCATCTGCCCCAGCGGATGGTATCAGGATCAGCTCGGCCAATCAGATTGCACCATCTGCCCCGGCGGATACTACTGCGACAACAGCTTTGGTGAGAAAACTGTGTTGATTTATAGATTTTATATTTATTACCTCCATGAAAAATGGAGGTTTTGTTTTTGGCCTGTGTGTATTGTGTGTACGTGTGTGTGTGTTTGTGTGTGTGTGTGTGTGTTTGTGTGTGTGTGTGTGTGTGTGTGTGTGTGTGTGTGTATTACCGCAGGTTGTTTATAGACAATGTACTTCCAAGACTCGGCTAAATGTCAGGGATATCAGAAATGGTTGTCATGGATATCAGGCAGATCATTTCAAGACGTGGTGGTTTCTCCTTCGGAACAGGTTTTACCTCAGCGATCTTCTACACCGAGGATGTGGCCCCTTCACAGGGAGATGACTCGTGGCTGCCTGGTTCAAAGTCAAATGCTCGCCATGGCCGACAGCCGACTGCCCCCGAGGCCTTGCCTGATTTTAGTAATAGTCGATGGTTGAGAAACCAGACTTCAGGGGGAGGATCGGTAGCAGGCAAGATCAGTGTTAAACCCTCAGGATTAAAGGAGGGATTGCGGGAATGCAGTCACCGTGTGTCGGTGGAAGTCGATAGTAACAGGCGGATCAATTCCTGGAACTTCAATAACAGTGGGGTTTAATTACAGGTGCCAATGTGCCAATCTTGACAGGTGTGTGTGACTTCGTCCAGGTGATATTAACCAAGGTTTTGTGCGGCAGGTGTGGCTGAGTTGGTGGCAGGTGTTGCAGTGTTGAGGACAGGTGTGACAGGTGTACAGGTGTTCAGACCAGTCTAAGCTCACTCCCGTTTCTCCCCCAGGTGTGGTTGTTGTGAACGGCAGTGTGGAGTGTCCAGCCGGGTACTTCTGTCCGCCCGGCACGCAGCGGTACAACCAGTGGCCGTGCCCGCGCGGGACCTACGGGAACTCCACCGGATTCAACTCATCCGCAGACTGTAGCCCATGCACAGGTATGGCTATGTACCAGCTTGAGCAGGACATTTAAAATAAGATCTTAAAATTCAGTGTGCCAAATTCTGGGGTACAATGATATGAATCAAAAAGTAAAAGAAAACGATGCTTATTGTTAAAGCTGCAAAGTCCCCTCACAGTTTGAACATGGAATTGCCTTGTCTGCTTCAGGCGGATTCTACTGTGGCGATGTCGGCCTCACATCCCCGTCTGGTCCCTGCTCTGCCGGCTACTTCTGCAAACAGTATGCCGAAACTCGCACTCCAAACCAGACAACCGACGCAAATATCTGCCCACAGGTATGGGGATTTTCTTAGGCAAACGATACATTTAGAATTGGTTTTAACTACGAAACTAGAGAAACACAAAGCACCTTAAACATACATTCAAGTGAGTTAGTAAATTTTGGATTGAAAGAAGAAGTCTCCGTGCAAAAGTCGCTTTACTTTTAAATTTGTTGTGTCAATAAAGTTCTTAATTTATTCCGTGCAGGGCTCGTACTGTGAGGAGGGTACAGCAGAGCCTGTGGACTGCCCTGCGGGAACGTTTGGAGGTACAGAAGGGCTGATGAACGTGAGCTCCTGCACCGCCTGCCTGGCCGGGTCCTACTGCGAGACTCCCGGACTCACCGAGGTGGAAGGTGAGAACACAGAACTTGGTTGCAAATGTGAAATGATTTTAGTATGTTCTTCAATGTGCCAGCAATGGTGGCAAATGTGAAATGATCTAAAAATGTTCTTCAATGTGCCAGCAATGGTTGCAAATGTGAAATGATTTTAATGTTCTTCAATGTGCCAGCTATGGTTGCAAATGTGAAATGATTTTAATGTTCTTCAATGTGCCAGCTATGGTTGCAAATGTGAAATGATTTTAGTATGTTCTTCAATGTGCCAGCAATGGTTGCAAATGTGAAATGATTTTAGTATGTTCTTCAATGTGCCAGCAATGGTTGCAAAATTTAATGTGAAATGATTTTAGTATGTTCTTCAATGTGCCAGCAATGGTCCATTTTTTGATGTGCTATAAACTCTGTATGGCCTAGCAAACTTGTTGCAGTATTTATTTGTCGTTCTTACAGTTAAAAATGTGTTGCCATTGTGTAGGTTTGACTTTAAAGTTAGTTTCATGCTTTTCATGCCTTCTCCATGATTGTAATAAATAACATGTTTCCACCCCCACCCCACTTCTAGGCCCCTGCTCCCCTGGTTACTACTGTGAGGAGGGAGCATCCACCCGGACTGACATCATCTGCCCTGCTGGTCACTTCTGCCCCCAGGGGTCGCCAACGCCCTCCCGCTGTCCTCAGGCGACCTTTAACCCCTACACAGGCCTGAACAGCTCCTCCCAGTGCACACAATGTACCGAGGGCAGCTACTGTGGGACTGAAGGTGAGATATGTCACTCCGCATTCCTAACCATAACCCTACCCTAACCCTAGTCCCCATACACAGGCCTAAACAGTTCTTCACTGTGTACAGCCCATATTTCTATCACTCCTTGTAGCCAGCCCCGGCCTAATATTATAGCATTATCTATGATGGTGTTCTATCATTAAATTCAAATATGTATGGCAGTCGGAATTTGTGAACATTTCAGTTTTCTGGCATTGGTGAACATTGTGAACCAAGCATTCAGCATAGACAAAGTCTTTAGTGACAGAATAAGTACTAGAAAGAACCTGCATTGTTGTTTTTTTCTGACTAGAGTAAGTTAGGTTATCTGGTAAATGTATAATATAGTTTCCCTCACATCTGCAGACATCCTTCATGTGTAAGATGTATGTTCCCACTGCAGGTCTGACAGAGCCCAGTGGAGCCTGCGAGCCGGGCTACTACTGCCCCGGCGGCCAGAACAGCTCACGTCCTGCAGAGTTTGCCTGCTGGGTGGGCCACTACTGCCCGCTCAACTCGTCTGAGCCTCTGCCTTGTGACAACGGCACACACACCAACCACACACACGCGGACGAGTGCTACACATGTCCTCAGGGATGGTAAGGACACTATTCCTAAAATTATTATGTCTCAGTGTATATTATAAGTGTTGACATCATTTTAGTTTTTTTGCTAGTTAGTTGTCTTGTATGTTGTTGAATGGCCGGGTGGTTAGGCAAGCGGACAAAAGACCGAGAGGTCACAGGTTTGATTCCTGCCATCCCTGGCTAGAAGGTTTGTCCTTGGAAAAGGCACTTAAACATGACTTGCTTCACTCCACCCAGATGTAAAATGGGTACCTGTATTCGATTGAGCAGGTAAAATGCAGTGGAAGGAGAGAGATGGTCTTCCCTATATACACAGGGGATTAACTCACTGTCCCTATGGCCTGTAAAATTCTACAATGCAGGCAAACCTTAGTGTAACCTACCGTTCACATTGTCCGTTCTGTTCCCAGGTACTGCCTGAATGGGCAGGTGGTGGGGACCTGCCCGGCGGGGTACTACTGTCCGGAGGGAACCGCCTTCGACTGGCGGCCGTGCCCGAGGGGAACATACAGCAACGACACAGGACTGTGGGAGGAGCCGCAGTGCCAGGCCTGCGCTGGCGGACACTACTGCAGCAGTCTGCAGGCTACCGCAGTCACGGACCAGTGTGACGCAGGTTTGTGGCCCTTTGTTGTCAGTTAAACAGTTGACAAACCAAAAAAGGTTTGTGCATGGACCTTCGTCTGCTGTTGTGTGATTCAATTTATGTACTTTTCAACTCACAACAAACAGATTTGAGGCTGTTGTTTAGTGTAATGTTGTCTGAACATCAGATTCTGGTTCAATTTCCACACCGTTTAACTGCCAAGTTGTTTTTCAGGGAGGCCCAGTCTCCTAAAAATCACAGTGACTTAGAACCAGTCACTAAGTTTGATTTATGCCTGTTGCTGTTACACTTGTAGTCTAGTTTTCAGTTTAGTGTGATTATTACATGTATGTAAGAAACCAACTGATTCTGCATTAAGTGACGGGTCTCTGATATAACCAGTATGAAGTTCCTGTATCTCGGCCATGTTATGTTGTCGTTCTGACCTGACTGCCCTTCTCCAGGTTACTACTGTGAGTACGGGGTGGACAGACCGAGGCCAGATGGAGACTACAACGCCACTCTCATCAACGGCACATGTCAGCTGCTAGGTAAGGTTCTGTCTGGAGAAAGGGTCATTATTATGAAAGATTTCTTTCAACCACAATCATGTAATATGTAATAATAAGGAATAGTGATAGTGATAAATTTCCTCACTCATGCAAGTTTCCTATATTGTATGATATAAAATTTATAGATATCCAATTTGTATACATTAAGAACGTTAAGGCAAGCTTAGTAAAATCTAAATGTACATTTGATGATAAAGCAGAATAGACTTAACAAACTTTTAAAATTAACAAGTCAACAGTTGAAAGTAGGAAGGAGAGCAATTCACAGTCATTTTAAAGTTCAGCCAGCCAAGACTCTTTATATTTGTTTCGTGATTGTCTTTGGCAATTCAACTCCTACCTACATGTTTTTCTGCCATGTCATGTGTGTATAGTGTTGCCAGTTTCTGTGAATATTATCTGATGATGCAGTACCAATTGTTCCTGCTAGGTGGCATGACAGGAGTGGGCGGCATCTGTCCTGTGGGGCACTACTGCCCGCGAGGAACCACCCACCCCAAACCCTGCGGATCCGGTTCCCATAGCAACACAACGGGACTGGCTACCTGCATCAACTGTCCAGCAGGACACTACTGTCTGCAGGGTAGGGCATGTCAACTGTTTCTTTCTTGTGTTTTTGTATATTAAACTAGAGTTGATTTAATTTGACAGCCACAGCGAATGAGAACCCTTGTCCTGCCGGCTCCTACTATAACCTTCTTCTTCTTCTTCTTCTTCCTCTAACAACCCCGTAAGGGGTATCGCTGGAGGGGGGGGGGAGGTGCGTGGACCTTACAGTAGAGAGGCCCGAAAGGCCTCCACAGATTGTGCCTGTACGGCCTGGGCAGGTAAACTGTTCCACTCTCGTATCGAGCGTGGGAAAAATGAGAATTTGAAACAGTCTTTCGTTGCAGGAATAATATTGTATTTAAAGGCGTGGCTACCTCTGGTGCGCCGCTGTGCAGGAATAAGATATTGTTCAGAGGGTATGTGCATGTGACCGTGAGTTATTTTGAACATTGTAGTCAGACGTGCCTCTCTTCTTCTGTTTGCAAGAGTGGGCCATTGGAGTTTTTGCAACATTTCGGTCACACTACTGGTGCGGGCGTAGTCATTCATGACCATCCGGGCTGCCCTGCGTTGTACGCGCTCAACTGCCTGCACCCCACCAGCTGTGTAGGGGTCCCACACTGAGGCGCAGTACTCGAGTTGAGGGCGTACCAGGGCTTTATAGCAAGTGTTTTTGACTTGCGATGTGCAATGGTATAAGTTACGCCGGATAACTCCCAAGGTCCTGTTTGCCTTACCAGTAGCGTGAGCAATGTGAGCATCCCAACGCATGTCGTTGGAGATGTGAACTCCCAAGTAAGGGTACGATTTTACAGTCGTAAGATTTACCGAGCAAAGACTATACTGCGTAACAAGTGGTCTACGTTTGCGTGTAATGTGAATAGTATGACATTTAGCTGGGTTAAAATTCATTTGCCAACGATCCTGCCACTCGGTCAGCGCGTCCAGGTCGGCCTGTAAGCCCTGGGCGTCTGTCGGGCTCTTAATAACCCGGTATAACAAACAGTCGTCGGCAAACAAACGTACGTTACTATTAACTATGTCGGGCAAATCATTTATGTAAAGGAGAAAAAGAAGCGGGCCCAAGACCGTGCCCTGAGGCACACCGGACGTAACCCTTGAGGGTTTGGAGGATTCGCCGTCAAGAACTACGGTCTGTGTCCGCTCCGTTAGAAAGGCTTTGAGCCAGGACAAGATGTGTCCCTTGATGCCGTAGTGCTGGAGCTTACTCAGCAGGCGTTGATGCGGTACCGTATCAAACGCCTTGCTGAAGTCCAGCACCACGGCATCAATTTGAAGGTTTTGGTCAAGACCATGTGCTAGATCATGGGTAGTTACTAGTAGTTGGGTCTCACACGAAAGTCCTTTTCGGAAACCATGCTGTACCGGGCATAAAATATTGTATTTGTCAAGATGGGACATTATATGGCAGTGCACAATATGTTCTAAAATTTTACTACAAACAGACGTCAGTGAGACTGGCCGGTAGTTTGCTGGCGCAGCCTTGTCACCTTTTTTATAGATAGGTGTGATGTTTGCAGACCTCCAATCTAGAGGCACATCACCAGTGGTTAGGGATTGTGTGAAAATGACTGTTAATATAGGTGAGACCTGGGTAGCTACAGTTTTTAATAGCCTAGGTGATAGCCCGTCTGGGCCCGTTGCTTTATTTGGATTTAAATTTGTGAGTAGCTTGGCTACCCCTTCCACTGATACCTTGAGCTCTGGTGTGGTCGGTATTGAAGGTTCACCAAGGGTTGGGATGATATTAGTGTCTTCCTTAGTAAAAACCGACTCAAACTGTTCCCCGAGGGCCTCTGCCTTCTCTTTGGGGTCTGCTGTGAGGACTCCCTGGTGCCTTATGGCAGCTGTATCAGTGGAGTCTTGTCTAATAGATTTTATATAGTTCCAAAAAGCTTTGGGACTCTCTTGTATGTTAGCCTCTAAGTAACTTGAGGTGTATTCTTTGTGAGCTTTCTTAACCCTGTGCTTAACCCCTCTTCTACATGTTTTAAATTTAGACCAGGCATCTTGGGTGTTTAATTTCTTTAAACCTGACCATGTAATTAACTGTACCTGACGTTATATTTCCCAGAATTAATTATGCCCAATATTCCCTATATATTACCCAGGCTCAGACCAGTACGAGGACAAGCCCTGTCCCCCAGGCCACTACTGTCCCGAGGGGACGGCCACAGCGACAGAGAATCCGTGTCCTGCCGGCTCCTACTATAACCTGACCATGGCGCGGTCTGTGGGTGACTGCCTGCCCTGCCCAGGCGGGTCCTACTGCGCAACCCCGGGCCTGGACTATCCCACCGGCCTCTGTCAGGAGGGTGGGTTTAATTTTAAAATTCTTAAATATATAATTTATATTTAACTCTTTTTATGTAGACTGGATTTACTTGAATGTCTCATCTTCTTACTGATAGATTTTACATTTAAAACACTTTTGAATTTGTATTTAAAGACCTTTTCAAATTTCTGCTTGATGTACAATGCAAGTTATGTTTGCAAAGAGTTGGCAATGCCTTTATGTGTGTATCAAATAGCCTCTATGTAATTATAGAATCTACTGACAGATACTAAAAAAATTTAGCGTCTGTTGCCATATTTTTCTAGTTTTCTTTTTCAGTTTTTGGTCTTTCATCCATTGTTACACCTTTGAAAACAACTATGTTGCTGTTATTGTCTATGATCTAAGCCCCTGCCTTCCCTTGCAGGCTGGTACTGTTCCGGTAACTCCACATCTGCCACCCCCGCTACAAATGGAGGGGAGTGTCAGCCGGGGTACTTCTGTCCAGAGGGGTCCTCCTCCCCGCAGCTCTGCAGCCCTGGCATGTACTGTCAGACAACAGGGCTCCCTCTACCCACCGGAAACTGTACTGCAGGTAAGTACTGTCAGACAACAGGGCTCCCTCTACCCACTGGAAACTGCACTGCAGGTAAGTACTGTCAGACACCAGGGCTCCCTCTACCCACTGGAAACTGTACTGCAGGTAAGTACATGTACTGTCAGACACCATGGCTCCCTCTACCCACCAGAGACTGTACTGCAGGTAAGTACTGTCAGACCCCAGGGCTCCCAAATGCATGTGTGATAATCATTATACTCTACCATAATAAAATAACTACCAGAAGGCAAATATGAACCTTCTCAACTTCTGAAATTGTCATTTATTGTTCCTGTTTGTACCTTCCAGGCTACTACTGTACCCTGGGAGCTCGGTTCCCCAACCCTGTGGACAACTCCACGGGCGACCTCTGTCCTAAAGGTCACTACTGCCCCATGGGCAGTGCCGCCCCCCTCCCCTGCCCCACCGGAACCTTCCTCGACTCCACACAGAACGATGCGGAGGCAGACTGCCTGGCCTGTCCCCTGGGGGAGCACTGCCCCGGGGTGGGGAGGCCGCTATCCGCAGGAGCCTGCAACCCAGGCTACTACTGCCCCGGTGGCCAGAACGTCTCACAACCTGCTGACTACGGGTAGGATTTGTGGGAAATGCTAAGTAAGGGCTGATGTAGTTGATGAAGAAAATCGTAGCTAACTGTTAAATAAATTTTTTACAATTTGTGGCCAGAAGCAAGAGCTTAGACAAATAGCTAACTATAGGGAAAGAGCATTTGATGCTCTGGAATACCATGCAGTCTCCACATTGCATGTAAAAAAGGTTGCATCACATACAAGAATGTTTAACTTCTTGACAGTGCAAACTTTGACCATATTATTTCCCATTCAGAGAGCTTCATACAATTCTTCATACAATTTTTAAAAAACATCACTGATACTATAGTGCTACTAATAATACTAATTTATATTCAGTATTTTAATGGTTAGAAATATTCTGATTTCTCCTGCAGCTGTCCTGTTGGTCACTACTGCGAGTCGGGAGCGCACACCCCCGTGAGGTGTGAGAATGGAACGTACCAAGACGAGGAGCTGCAGAGCTCCTGCAAGGCCTGCCCATCAGGCTACTTCTGCGACAACACGGTGACCTATGTGGTCTTGGACAACACCACTACCACCTGCCCCATGGGGTACTACTGCCCGGAGGGGACCAGATATGCAAACGAGTTCCCCTGTCCAAATGGAACCTTCAACAACAGGTATGAGTTACTTATACATGTACTTCAACCATATTATTCTAACATGTACATTCTGTCTCATACCTGTATTCAATAGACTATGGTTTTAAAATGTTACTGATGGAAGGTGGATGCTATCTGAAACATCTCTCAGTAACCGTTTTCAGAATTTGACAAGTTGCTTCTGATTCAGTAGCCTTAAAAAGTTTGTAGGATGTACAATAACCAAAGAATCCTACCCTCATAGTGTTCACAGCATGAGGTTAGAAACTGCTTAGTGTTCAAAGTATTTAAGGCATGATTATTGACATGTTGGTGAAGGTTAGACATCCAGGTAATAAGATACGCCAAAAAAACAGTTACTCAAGCAACTGGATATGATTTCCAAAACCATATCCAGTTGCTTGACTAACTGTTTTTTGGCGCATGATTATTGACATTGAACCTTTTTTTCAAACACCTGCACACGCCTTTTTAACATTGACATCATTTCATTAAGTATTACACTCAGCTGCCTACTGAGATATATTTTTGTTGTTTCTCCCCCAGAACTGGTTTGAGACAGTCCAGCCAGTGCAGCCGGTGCCTGGGCGGTCACTACTGCCCCATGCCAGGCCTGGTCAGTCCGTTTGACCAGTGCGACGCCAGCTACTTCTGCCAGGAGGGAGCTGAAACCTCCACACCAAACCAAGGTCAGGATCTACAGAAGTCTGTTATTCCAATGCACACAGTAGAATAGTAACCACTAAGTGCAGGGCAAATAGATAAACATCAAAATAGTTCCTATTACATTTGGTACGTCGATGAAGGTTAGACATCCAGGTAATAAGATACGCCAAATTACTCAAGCAGTTACTTGGATTTCCAAAATCATATCCAGTTGCTTGATTACCTGTTTTTTGGCGTATTACATTTGGTAATTTTGTCCGAGGCTATGAGACTCTATGTCAGCAATTTTGTCTCTCAGAGACACACAGTATTTCATATATATTTCAATCTTTGGTCGGTCGGTCGGTCGGTCGGTCGGTCGGTCGGTCGGTCGGTCGGTAGGTAGGTAGGTAGGTAGGTAGGTAGGTAGGTAGGTAGGTAGGTAGGATTGCCACAATGAATTGGATAGCTTGAGCTATACCGTTGGGGAGTAGGGGTGACAGGTTAATTGACGGCACTTAAATATCATGACTGCAACACTGATTCACATTCATATTGTCATATACATACAAGTAGCGCAGTGCATTAAGTCACTGCTATCACTGGGAAATTTTGTATCTGCTCTTAAAGTAAAGAAAATTTCAATGTGCGCCCCGGCCAGCTTTTTTAAAAAGCTTTTCTTGTTTTACCATCTGCAGGTGCTGATGCCGACATCTGTCCCGAAGGATTCTTCTGTCCCCAAGGAACGTCCAACCCCTCAGCCTGCCCAAAGGGAACGTACAGTAACACCACGGGGCTGAGGGAGGAAGGGGACTGTACATTATGTCCTGCAGGGGAGTACTGCGGAGAGGTGGCCATGACTGACACCAGTGGGCTGTGTGACGCAGGGTAAGGGTGGTGAAACTGAATGGATAGAGGGAAGGAAAAGATTGGGATGGATGAAATGGGCAGTAAACATAAGCAATTGACTTACATGTACCTGAAAAGAAAAATTAAAGAAAAGATATTTGTAAAAAAATGTTTCCAAACATAATTTTTTTCATGCAAACACTTGTTAAACATTGACATTATTAGTATCGGTCAGCAGCCTATTGAGATATATTTTTGTTGTTTCTCATTGACGAAATTTTGACATTGTTTTTGTTACCGTTGAACTTCAGGTACTTCTGTGAGCTGGGATCCTCCCATGCCAGGAACATCTCCTGTCCCTCGGGCCACTACTGTCCCCAGGGGTCGGGCAGCCCCACCCCCTGCCCCAGGGGAACCTACAGCATTGCCACAAACAACCAGAACGTCTCGCAGTGCGACCCGTGTGATCCTGGCAAGTTCTGCAACCAGACTGGTGAGGGACTCATATCCACTCTAGTTGATAAATAGTGTTGTTCAGTCCTGTTTTGTCATACATTTTGTGGGAAGTTTATTATGCTGTATTGTTTGTCAACAATGCTGTCAAACATCAGTGGAAAGTAAAATCTGAATCTCTGAAATAGAATCAGTTATTACAGTTTGAACCTTCTCCCTTATACATGTACTTAACCTCGCAACAAATTTGTGCCAGAAAGCCACCTCACCAAAGTTGTTCAATCTCCTACATGTTCAATCATAGAGAATTTGGGTTATATTATCAGAATTGCTCAATAGGTGATAACCATGCATACTGTCAGGCATTTACAGTTACTAAGTTTCCTGACCAGTACCAGGTGATTTTAGACACTAAAAGTGCTAAAGCTGAGTAAATGTTAACTGTTGTCACTCAAGTTTCTTCATGATCACATCAGTATCAGTTTTATTTAAAACTAACTGGCATGTCACATATACAATGAATGAAAATACGTCAGATTTTTGCATTGTTATTATTATTAACATTATCTCCCCCCAGGCCTGTCCAGCCCTTCAGGCGACTGTGACCCTGGGTTCTACTGCCCAGGGGGAGACGACGTCCCCACCCCTGGGGGAACTCCCTGCCCCATCGGCCTGCACTGTCCCCAGGGGAGCCCAGCCCCCGTCCCCTGTGAGCCGGGAACGTTCACTAACCTGACCCAGACCTGGGAGTGCCTGACGTGTCCGGCCGGGTACTACTGTGTACCGGAGGAGGTTATAGAAGGTAAGACTGAGTGTACTACTGATCACAGATATACCCGTTTACTGCCCTTCAGTATAGCAGAGAAGCTTTGCTGGTATACAGAGGCAACTGTTCGTATTACAGCATGCAACTTGTGATACCCTGTATGCCCAACTTCTAATGTGTAAACTGCCTACAAGAGGACAATCATACTTGGTAGCTAGCTTCATTTTATGATATTTTATAGATATGATACATGTAATTGTGGAAATTTCTAATATTCTTGCAGTATAATATATACTACTTACATTCCAGAGTTCTCTACTTAAATGCAGTTCAGCACCAAGGACAGTAGTGTTTGTTATGGTATAGTCACTGTGGTTAGTGTTACATGTTCAGTACCAAGGACAGGGATTGTTGTTATCCCTATAGTATAGTCACTGTGGTTAGTGTTACATGTTCAGTACCAAGGACAGGGATTGTTGTTATCCCTACAATATGGTCACTGGTCGGTGCTGTATGTTCAGTACCAAGGACAGGGATGGTTGTTATCCCTACAATATGGTCACTGGTTGGTGCTGTATGTTCAGTACCCAGGACAGGGATGGTTACCTCTACTTTTCCTCACTGTTGCAGGTAACTCCACCTCTGGCTACAGACTGTGTCCGCGAGGTTACTACTGTCCGGAGGGAACCGGTCGGAACTGGACCGACTGTCCGCCTGGAACCTTCAGCAACCAGCTTGGTCTGGCAGAGGAGGCACAGTGCACAGACTGTCCAGGTAGGGAGATGGGGCTAAGCCATCGTATTAGAATGTAGTTTATACAACGAAGAGAGAGCTGAGCTTTATAAACTATTGCAATGTACGTTTCCCCATTTCATACATCTTAGTAACACAGATAAGTTCATATTTCGAATGGCTCTAGACAAACGTTCGATTATAAAACACATCTGTACTTATATCTACACCGTTACTAAGAAGCGAGAAGAAGTCGAATTATCGCAATCATTAGACCATAGTACATAGAATTAGCGCTAGCCTGTACACTGTATATATTCATTGCAAACTGTGACGTCTTTCCTGTGACCTGTACTGAACCCAGTGGGTATTTGCGTACAATAAAGGTCTTCATTCATTCATTCATTAAACCTATATATATTGAGATCTTTGATAGAAATTTTGAATATGGCTCCTGTCTGATTGCTGCTATACATTCCACAATCATATCATGAATTCCAGTTGTGTCTTAACACTTTCTCTGAGGATGTTGCCTATTAAGTAAGATTCCTCCCGTGCAATGTTTGGCACTAGATTGAGCAGTTTGCTGCTGGATGCTGCTGTACATGTGCACATCTCGAAATGGACAGGCCACACCCATGCCTTACAGCTGTAGTTATTATGATATTTCATGCATCACTAACCCATCTTGTTTGCCCCAGGTGGTTGGTACTGTAGTGGCTGGCACCAGACCTCCCCCACTGCCGAGTGTGCTCCTGGGTACTTCTGCACATCCAGAGTGGACAGACCGACTCCCATGCCTTACAGTTGTTATGTTATTTCATGCATTGCTAACATACCTTGTTTACCCCAGATATTATGATATTATATGCATCACTAAGCCATATCTTGTGCTCCCAGGTGGTTGGTACTGTAGTGGCTGGCACCAGACAAAGCAATGTTCAACTATTGTTATTACACGTATGTCACTACATGCATCACTCACCCACATATTGTGTCCCCAGGTGGTTTATACTGTAGTGGCTGGCACCAGACCTCCCCCACTGCCGAGTGTGCTGCTGGGTACTTCTGCACATCTCGAGTAGACAGGCCGACACCCATGCCGTACACCAGCTCCAACTCCACCACTGACAACTGCACTTTCCTGGGTACGTCTCACATCTGCTTTTATTCTCATGGGGAGAGATTTTCCACCTTCACATCAGTATTAGATTTCATCTGTGTCGGTTCAAGTTAAATCTTTGTGCTAACACAAAAAAAGAGCATATTTTTTACTACAAGACAGCAGTCTCCACAGAAGTCAATGCCTGCATATTACTTTTATCAATTGAAAGTATGAAACAACAAAAGCAGCCTCCTCAAAATATCTCACAAAGAATTGTATACTGGTATTTCATTGGGCATTTATTTAGACTATTAATGCATACAAGATAATTTCATGTTGCTGTTACAGAAGTAATAAGACATGCCAAAAATCAGTTACTCAAGCAACTGGATATGATTTTGAAAACTGGATATGATTTTCCAAAATTGCTTGAGTAACTGATTTTTGGCATGTCTTATTACTTGGATGTCTAACCTTCATCAACAAAACAATGCAGCTGTCTTTTGTTCCCCACCAGGTGAGCACACAGGTGTAGGCGGGATCTGCCCACCTGGCCACTACTGCCCCACCGGTACCGCCCTACCCCTGGGTTGCGAGGCAGGGACGTACCAGGACCTGTACACCCAGGCCGACTGCAAGCCCTGCCCCCAGGGGTACTACTGTCAGGCTAACGTCAGCACCTACGCCGAAACACCCTGTCCACCCGGGTACTACTGTCCACAGAACACAACCTACGACAAGGAATGGCCCTGTCCGGCTGGGACATTCAACAACCTCACAGGTTCTTTCTTTCTTTATTTATTTATTAAGTTTTACCACATACAATTTGCACTGTGGATGGCATGGCGAAACAGGTGTTTCTGACATAAAACACTTTTTCAAAGCCGCCATGCCAATAAAATGACAATACAAAACAATACAAAAAGTAATCAAATAACATAATACAATTAGAGCAACAAATGAGTCAACTTAGAACTACAAGGCAAGTCAGCTTATTAACATTGTGAGGTTTGAATGAAAACTCATCTGTGTTGGTAGAATCTGTAGTTGTAAAATTCAAGCTTTGCTCCAGCACAAGAAGATCACACAGTCATGTGATGAAGGTTGACGTGATCAACCAAAAATTTATGGCGAGTTTCTTTCTTGTGTTGGAACAAAGCCCTTTACTTTACAACAACCTCACAGCTTACTGATTTATATACTGTGAGACATTCTGTTTGTTGGGTTATGAATTTGAGACTGGAAGATGAGATACATGACTTGAGTTTGTAGTCATGAAAAAATCCTAACAGATTATAACTGTTACGTACAGTATGCTTTTTTGCAAAGCCACATGTACACCGCTTTAACTTGTTGACTCTTGGCTGTAAAAGATTCAATTTCACCAGGGGTGCTGCTCTCCCCACCCCACACTAACGCTGTTATCCCCAACCCAGGTATGCCTGACGACTCTGCCTGTGTCAGCTGCACCCCAGGGTCCTACTGCCAGGGGCTGGGGAACCCCCACCCCACAGACGTGTGTCCCGAGGGATGGTTCTGCAGCGGAGGTGCCATCGAACCCGAACCGTCCGACCCGGCAACAGGAGGGCAGTGTCAACCAGGTGGGGAAAAGGACTTCAGCAAATATACTGCACATTATCATGAAGGTTTATCTGTGTTGGTAGTTATCATAGTAAAAGGTTGAACTTTATTCCAACACACAAGCCTCTTGTTTCTGCCCTCCACCCCCAGGTGAATACTGCCCCCTGGGGTCCAGCCTCCCCACCCCCTGCACTGCGGGGTGGTACTGTGACGTGGCGGGACTACCCACGCCCGCGGGGCTGTGCCATGCTGGCCACTACTGCACCAACGGCTCCACCACACCTACACCCAGCGGAGTCGGAGGTAAGAGGGGAACATGCAGTGTGGCTTGTTTCTGTATTGTGTAGCATGCTGTGTTTAGCAATCCTATGTATAACTAAGTCTTGTAAAATCTTACACCACACTTACACCAAACGGAGTCGGAGGTAAGAGGGGAACATGCAGTGTGGCTTGTTTCTGTATGTCTGGCATGCTGTGAACTTGTGTTTAGCAATCCTAAACTTGTGTTTAGTAGTCAAAGTTACAATGTCAGAAGTAAAAACTTACACCAAGTAGCAATGTTGACTTTCAGGGTATAAAAATTCCACTTCAGGCTCACAAAGTCAGTGATTTAAATGTCACCTTGTCCTATTTAATCAAGATCTTAACCCTGGTCTGTATGATTATACAAACCTTATAAACAATACAGATAGACAGATGTAGTCAGCAGCTGTTGTATGCAAAAAAGTGCCTCTCTAGTTCTATGCCTAAATAGGTTTTTTTATTAGAATCAGGGATGGTTCTGGATAGTCTCTGAGTATCCAAGAACATAGATGTAGACTTGACCTAGGCATAGTTCTGGACACACATGAACTAACCAGAACCATGCCTGAGCACAGTTCTAGATAAAATAGTCTTCTGGATAAAACGTGTCCTGACTATCCTGTGTTACTTTTTGCCCAGGAGCCGAGTGCAGCCCGGGGCACTTCTGTGTAGAGGGCAGCAGCAGGGAGCAGGCCTGTCCTCCAGGGTCCTTCCTGCCATCCACAGGAGCCCAGAACAGCTCGTACTGCCAGGACTGCACGGCAGGGTCCTACTGTAACTCCAGCGGACTGGCTACTCCCTCAGGGGACTGTACTCAAGGTGGGTGGTATACTTTCATGAAGGTTCATCTGCATTGGTAGTTTAAGTTAAAACTGTAGATCCAACACAAAGAAGTTCTCTCACCTAGAGCTTTCACTCAAGTTTTCCGTAGACTGACCTAGGTAGGCCATGTGACAAGCCTCCCTGGGTCAGTCTACTGAGGAAGACCAGAGTGACTGTGTTGGTAATCTACTCAGGCAAATGAAAAATGTGTTACCATGTTACCATCTGAAATGTTTTAGTGGCAAAAAATGGCAACTAATTTTGGTGTATTATATATTAAGAATGTGTGTTTTTTCTCCTACCCCAGGTTACTACTGCCCAGGTGGCCAGACCATCCCCACCCCCAACGCCTTCCCCTGCCCGGTGGGGCACTACTGTCAGCAGGGGGTGGGGGCGCCCGAGGCCTGTCCCCCGGGGTCGTACCAGGACCTCACCAGGCAGAGCGACTGTAAGGAGTGTCCTCCCAGTTTCTACTGCGACACTTCGGATGGTCCCGTGGTCAACTACACAGCATATGTCTGTCCACAAGGTACAGGGACTTTGTCACAGCATTACATTCAGCACCATGGACAAGTACTATTTATATTTATTACAGAGGGAACCCCTTTTGTAGATAACATGTACACTAGGAAAAAAAAGCTTGTAGCTTGTTTAATAAAGTGCATAATTATAGATTTTGTAGCATTTCATTGACTTTGTAAACTACCTTTTCAAATACTACATGTACCATCAGAGAAACTTGCAGTTACAGACAACTGTGGATCTAACAGATATCCAAATGTCTTTCTATACTAAAATTGAGCACTATTGTGTAGTATCTGGGTGTATACAGCATACGTCTGTCCACAAGGTAAGGTCACAATGTTAACCGGGAAGACTTCATTACAACAGTGCTTTCAGCACCAAGGACAAGTACTGCGCACAAAAATTAAATTACAAAACTTTCCATAAAGTCCAAGATTTGTCATTATGAGATTGTGTATTTCGATGACTCAATGAACAAAATCCATTCAGAGAACCTTCAATTACTGTGTATATACATGTATGTTACAATTATATACGTGTATGTTATGACAGAGAGATTTTCAACTATCCAGTATCTTTCTGAAGTGAACATGACCACTCTTACCAGTTTGCGATGATGTTGTCTGTCTCCCTGCCCAGGTTACTACTGCCCCAACGGTACAGAGATCGCCACAGCCTTCCCCTGTCCTGAGGGGACGTTCAGCAACGTAACAGGGCTGTCCGAGGAAGCCCAGTGCAGTGCCTGTCTGGGAGGGTTCTACTGCGGAGAGAGGGGCCTGACAGCTCCAAACACACCCTGTGCACCAGGGTACTTCTGCAAACAGGTACAGTAGTTATTGTTCATCTTGAAGGTTTAATATTGTTCATATTAATTGTTATGTATATTGGATGAAAATGTAAGTATACCACACTAAATGTTTTGATCATATCGGAATTATCAATTAAAAGACTACGATTTAAATGAAAAACTGTCAATTTGTTCATACTTGTTTCAAAAAGAGAAGAGGTCCTATAGATATGTAACACATGTTCCTTCTACCCTTGTTTCTCAGTTATCTAACTTAGTGCATTTGGTCCATGTGGGGCATGAATATGCAATAAAGTTCATTGTTATTGTAATTGGCTATTTATTGTATTGCTTTATATTGTATTTTAAACAAGATAAGTGTACAATTTGGTATCACTAATGGAAGATTTGAAACAAATTAACAAACAGGGAGCGACGGAGGCAGCGCCTGACCAGGGTGCCGACGCCAATGTGTGTCCCGCGGGGTCCTACTGTCCCGAGGGCACCGCGGAGCCGGCCGCTTGTCCCAGGGGAACGTTCTCCAACAGCACAGGACTGTGGAACCACACCAGCTGCCTGCCTTGCACAGGAGGTGGGCAGACAAACACTCCATTTCTCTCTATTTAACAGTTTAACAGTTTATTGAAAGAAATCAGCCTCACAGCGTGTACAAAAACAAGCTGAATAGCACTGACTGTACAATCGTAAACTAACATTACAAATACATGACGAAACAACACACCCATAAATACCAAATGCATCGCCATGAGCACTGAGGTTAAGACAAGAAAATGTCCAGAACAGTCTTACTATGTAAGAAGACTTATTGTACAGGCGTATGGCCTGGTGCAAGAATGATTTTTGTTCTCCAGCAGTGTCCAGAAACACTTCCTTTAGCTTCAGGTTTTTAACAAGTATTTCATGTGTTAGACATTATGTTGAACAGCTTGGGTGCTCTAAATTTGTAGAGTTACCAGCAACAACAAAAGTTATCAGGTACACGTAGAGTGCTGGCTGTAAGAAACTCTGCAACCGTTTCTGTAAGGAATCATGGTATTGTACTGTCGTTTGCCATTCCAACAAAAGTATGTTTTGCTTGTGTTTTGCAAGACTGGGGCCTTTTTTGAAACAACTTATCAATGTTTAATGAATGGGGCTACCCATTATTTCAGGCAATTTGCAGTTAAAAGTATGAATTTTTCTGCCTCCCCCAGGCTATTACTGTGGAACAGAGGGTCTGACTGAGGAAAGTGGTCTGTGCCTACCAGGCTTCTACTGTCCCAACGGCTCAAGCTCTGAAACCGAGATCGTCTGCCCTGCCGGCAGCTACTGCCCCTCCGGAACACACCTGCCCTACCCCTGCCCAAGTGGCACCTTCTCAAACAACACCAGGCTGACCCATAGGGCGGAATGTACCAACTGCACAGCGGGGTGGTACTGCCAGCAGGCTGGGCTGACTGAGGAAGAGGACCTCTGTCAGGAAGGCTACTATTGTCCTGAAGGTAAGCAGCAAGAAAGATCAACCTTTCTGTATTCAAGTTGGTACTTTCTTGGTAACAGAGGCTTTTAAAAATGCACGTGATGTTGGTAATTATGATTAAATGCATTTTGCTTAAAATTACTGGTAATTTCCTCTACTTGATAACAGTTTTACAAATGGTAGAGGTTTTGAGATGGTAGATAAAAAAAACACAGTTTCCAAAAAATTATATCTCCTTTTTCTCAAATCTGAATCTGATGCAGTTGGATTTGCTGTCAGAACAATGTGTAGTGCATACTATATATATATAAGTAGATAATGATAGAAAAGAACTATGTACAATACAGTATTCATTAACTACATGTAATAACTATCATACCAACTCCCCTTTTACAGGATCATCAGTGCCCAACCCAGTGGAGTGTCCCATCGGGCTGCACTGTCCCCAGGGTTCCCCCACCCCCCAGGCCTGCCCCTCAGGACACTTCACCAACACTACAGGGCAGCATCTGTGTGAGATATGTCCACCAGGGTAAGTATAGTCACAGTTACTAATTCCCCACCCTACGGGACTCCCCCACCCGTACGGGCCTCCCCACCCCCAGACCGGCCCCTCAGGACACTTCACCAACACTACACCACAGCATCTGTGTGAAATATGTCCACCAGGGTAAGTGTTGTTGTAATGTTACAGTAATCTTATACTTCCTTCTGCTGGAAAGTTGGAAGAAAGTTTGGAGGAGATGGCATGTAAACATCACAAAATTGATTCAGTAGCCTTTAAGCTTAAGAGGATGCATATTATATTATCTTAAAAGTTCATCTGCGTTCGTAGAAGTCATTACAAAGCAAGTTTAAAACTGTCATTTCCAACAAAAGAAATTCCTGGAGTTGCACAGTCAAACTTTGGGCTAAGTTCAACTTCTTATGTTAGAATTACAGTTTAAACTGGCTTTAAGCTAATAAGATGCAAGGATATAGATATGTTAATCATGTCCTGTCCTAATATCTCACCTGTACAGGTACTACTGCCTGCCAGAGAATGTGACCTCGGGTGACCCCCAGTCCGGGTACCATGCCTGTCCTGCAGGGTACTACTGTCCGGAGGGAACCGGTCTGGACTGGAAACCCTGCCCGGCCGGGACTTTCAGCAACCAGCATAAACTCTACAGGGTAAACTCTTACACTAGTTCATCTTTTCGCAATCTGTGCAATAGAAACATATTCATGTGTTACAAAACCTCCACAATGTATTACCATATTTATAATGTAAACATGGTCTAGCAGAAGCTAAGATAATATTTATTATACATTTTGTAAACACGTAGAGAGATTTGGGGTTTTGTACTGTTATGTCTTATGATGGGTGTAAACTAGACATAGTGATTGTCTATCTCTCCATTTTCTGTAAGTCTTTCTATTGCAGGAACCATACAGATTGAGTAGAATACAAAAATTTATGCTATTTTGCAGTCAACATTGTAGGTTCAGGCACTTTGCCAAGCAGGTTTTCTAAGCCCACAATGTAAATCCTTTTGTTGAATCCCCTATGCCAGCTTGACCAGTGTCAGGACTGTAGCGGAGGTTACTACTGCAGCGAACCCGCAGCCACCAACGTGACGGGGCCGTGTGCCGCGGGCTACTGGTGTGCCGCGGGCGTCGACAGGCCGAACCCTCACACACCTGGCAACAACGAGACCTACAACGACACCTGTCCTCTACTGGGGGGATTCACAGGTGGGTCAACAACTACCTGTTATTTGCATGTCATCATCTATCGATGTTACTAAATCAGGACTAAGTTATTATAATAGTATTAATGTCTCTTTAGATTTCATGACTGCTGTCCTCTACTGGTCAAAAACTACCTGTTGCATGCATATCTTCATCAGCTATCTATTTTAGTTGGTACAGATTTTGTGCCATTGTCATCCGTCCACTATGCAAATTCTATACTTTTATCTCTACTGACTCTAGGTTAAATATTGTTAAAAGTGCAGTTCTCTGCAGCAAATTCTTGGCATCCAGAGGAGTACTGATAAATAATTTTTTTTGCAAAATAACAACAAGCATATGTAAAGAACTATATATCAAGTACAAACATGATATATGCAAAACTTCACAGACTTGGCCATTATCTTTATTCATACTCCAAATTCCAGTCCAATCATACATGTAGTGTCACCAGTCTCCATTCATGTTCGTTTAGTACAACAGCGCTGACCTGGCCAGAGTAGTATAATTCTAGTTTGGTAGGTTTAAGACATGTTTTTTATATTGATATATTTCCCATTGCAGGAGTTGGAGGTGTGTGTCCGATTGGTTACCACTGTCCAGTTGGCACCGAGTATCCGCTTGGCTGCGAGGCTGGAACGTACCAAGACGAAGCGGGGGAGAGCAGCTGCAAAATGTGTCCCCCCGGGTACTACTGTCCCACTAACTCCTCCACATTTGCGGGGAACCCCTGTCCCTCCGGATACTACTGCCCGGAAGGCACAGGCAGGGAGGACGAGTTCGCCTGCCCCAGCGGCACGTTTAACCCGGTAACAAGGCAGACTAACCTCACGGCCTGCCTCAGCTGCAGTCCCGGCCAATACTGCCAGGTGGCAGGCCTGTCCAGTACCACGGGCAACTGCAGGTGGGTGATGCTCATTGTTTTCAAGTATTTAGTTTCTTTATAGCAAATCTGCCATGTTCAAGTTTCTACCCTCTTCACAGAAAATGTGCCATGTTCTCTTGTGCCCTGTTCAGTATCAGTAAAATCAGTATCAGATTGATTGATTCATTGATTGATTCATTGATTCATTGATTGATTTGCCAAAATCAGAAACTGTTAGATATGATTTTGGGTGGCTTGAGTAATTTTTTTTTTGCCATATCACCTGGATGTTTTACCTTTACCGACGATTGATTAATTGATAAACTGATTTACTGATTTACTGATTGATTGCCTTCGTCCCGTCCCAGTGAGGGTTACTACTGCAGCGGTGGTTCGGCCCACTTCATGCCGACAGACCCAGCTGTGGGAGGGCAGTGCCAGCGAGGCGACTACTGTCCCGTCGGCTCCGAGGCTCCGACCTCGTGCGACCCCGGCTGGTACTGCCCCAACGTGGGGCTGGCAGCTCCTACTGCTCAGTGCCAGCAAGGTGAGAAGTCAGCTCTCAAAATTCCTGGAAAACTCTCAGCCTGATCTTCCTGTTCAATATCAACAGCCACAAGTTTGTTCAAGTTCAAAACCTTTTTTTTATTTAACGGAGTTGTTCAATACAAGGCCTATGCGACCACTTCTCGGCAATGAACTAGAAAGATGAGAGAAACATGGCTATGTCAGGAGATGGCGGTGAACGTTTGATTTGAAAGCCTGTAGATTGTAGGTTGGTGGGAAATACTTGTCAGGGATCCATGATAGAAAAAGTTACCAAATTTTCAACTGACCCTTTGGCCTTTTTATTTTAGCCTGACCAACTCAAACTCTGACACATTTCCTTACAGAAAAGTAATGCATGTTACAGAAGTTATCCTGTAGCGAAGAATAAAAGCCTTTCCTTGTTATTGCTAGAAAATATCCCACATGACAATAACTTGCTGCTGTAACATCCATCTTGAAAGGTTACTACTGCATGCTGGGAGCCTGGCTAAGCAACCCCAGAGATAACACAACAGGAGACATCTGTCCCACCGGCCACTACTGCCCCACTGGCAGCTCAGCCGGGACACCCTGTAGCCAGGGTTACTATCTCAACACAACCGGCAACAGCCAGCCCACCAGCTGTGTCAGCTGCACACCAGGTGAAACGGCATTCCTCTGCCTTTCTTTGTTTTAATTACATGTGTTTCGGTGTCTTCTTCATGATCTAAGTGTGGAATTTTGGAAGGTCTCATCAGGAAGTTCTTGGTTTTGAAAGATTGGGAAAAAAATGCTGAAATCATCAGTGTTTCCAAAGATTGCTGAAAGCTCTAACGTTGAGCTCTTGCCTGCAGGTCAGTACTGTGGAGGAGAGGGCTTGGCTGAACCATCCGGAGACTGCACTCAGGGGTACTACTGTCCTACAGGCCAGGTCACGCCTACACCTGGCAACTTCACCTGTCCTCAGGGACACTACTGTCCGCAGGGGAGCAGCACACCTCAGCCATGCCCTTCAGGTAGGTAACCTCCAAACCTTAACCCTAACACCTGGTAACTACACCTGTCCACCACATCCTTCAGGTAGGTGCCATCTAACCCTGACTTGACTCCTAGTGTTATGCTAGAAGCAGATGTAATCCCATTTTGGGTCATTAGATGGCGCACTTGTACAGAGCAGTCCTTAACACTGTTGTTTTCCCCAGGTTCCTACCAGGACACGGCAGGGAAATGGACGTGTGATGACTGCCCTGCTGGGTTTTTCTGTAATTGTAATGCCATTTTGGAACACTAGGTGGCGCACTTGTACAGTCCTTAACACTGTTGTTTTCCCCAGGTTCCTACCAGGACACTGCAGGGAAATGGACGTGTGAAGACTGCCCTGCTGGGTTCTTCTGTAACGCCACCTTCGGTCCTGTGGTCTGGTACAACAGCTACACCTGCCCCATGGGGTACTACTGTCCCAACGGGACCAGGTACGCTGAGGAGTTCCCCTGTCCACCTGGGACTTTCAACAACCTCACAGGTGAGTTCAGCATGTAGAACACTCTAGAAACACATGTGGCAGGTGTATTCAACACCTTACAAAGATATCATAACCATAGTTCCACTGTCTAGAATTAAAAGAGGTTAAAGTAGTTTTATGTTAGAACAACAACAATCTGTCCGTCCCTCAGTCCCATAGGTAGTCGAAAGCTGTAGGGGCAGCATAGCATTTAACTAGAGATTTTCACCTTTTGCAGTCCTCTGCCAGCCTGGCCACCTTGTATGGTGTAAAATTAGTACAAGTCCTTTGCAAATATTCCACCCATTCCAAAATTTTACATTATGTAGTTGTAAAGCTCTGATAGAGTAGTCTAGCTTTCTGACCTCACATTCTCACCTCCTGTCCCCAGGAATCCAGTCGGAGGCAGACTGTACGCCATGCGTCGGACGTTACGCCTGTGATGAGTCCGGTCTGGCCTCCCCGCCCAGGTTCTGTGCTGCCGGATACTTCTGCAGGGAGGGGGCCAACACTACAACTCCAACTCTGGGTAGGTTTTAGAATAGTACTAATCAAACTACATGTCAGATACATTATAGACAACACTAACAACTCCAACTCTGGGTAGGGAAATTAGCTCGTGGTAACCAAACTAGACATCAGATACACTAAGATGTGAGTAGGTCAATTTCAATAAACCTTGGCTGTTGTTTCCTTTAAATGATACACAATCAACAGAAAGAGTTGTACATTAAGTGTCCTACCAGGCCCAAATTGGTCCTACTGTCATGATGGAACAAAAGAGGCTCGTTGTAATAAACCAACTTCATAATTATGCAACCAGCAACACTGATACAAGCATTCACCTCTTACACAGAATTCAAATTTGGCCCCGATTTTTGTTAACTTCATTTTGCAGCAAAGAGAGTTTATTTTGATAACCTCATCCATTATTTCCTAGCAATTTGCCCGCACAAATATGCATGCTTGAATGTTCTTGTTTTCTCCCCAGGCCCCAATGCTGACATCTGCCCTGCTGGGTCCTACTGTCCTGAGGGAACAGACGAGCCGATCTCCTGTCCAGAGGGAACCTTCAGCCCAATTGCTGGGCTACAGACTGTGGGGGAATGTCTCAACTGTACAGCAGGCAGCTTCTGCAACCAAACAGGTAACAAAAACAAACTGTACAGCAGATTATGTAACCAAACAGGTATTGAAATAGAATGTTAAGTGCACTAGTGTTAAAGTGCCACCACACGTCATTTCTGCACCTACCCACACATACAAGCTGTGTTGGAAACTGACAGATTTTAGCCAGGCCATGCCAGAGCATTTTTTTTTTCAAGAAATTTTCAGTAATATTTTCGTCTTTTAGATCTTTTTCAAGGTTTGAGATTACTAGCAGTAATATTTCTGTTATATTGGAATGTGAAACAATTGCTGTGCCTACTATGAAACAATCTCAGTGCCTATGCATGTGTAAGTGCCACATGTTACAGCCTGTCCCCCCCCATCACCTGTAGGCCTGACTGCTGTGAGTGGGCTTTGTCTGCCCCGATATTACTGTGTGGAAGGGTCCACTCGCCCTGACCAGCAAATCTGCCCGGAGGGACACTACTGCGGAGAGGGCACCTTCGATCCCTCCCCCTGTCCTAATGGTACATTCTCTAACTCCACTGGGCTGGATGGTGAGTCGGACTGTACCCACTGCACCCCGGGGAGGTACTGTGAGGGACTGGGACTCACCGAGCCAACTGATCTGTGCCAAGCAGGTGAGTTATAAAAGAAGATATATTTATGTGTTTTTCAGGAGAACTGAAGTCATAAGAACTGTGCCATTTGCGTAAAATGTTGACCAATCAAGCTGAGTCTTACAACACTGTCCCTGGGATAGACCAATCAGTTTCTGTGTAACAATGGCAATTTGCATATGAAGATGAATCTAACAACTCCATTCCCCCAGGTTACTACTGCCCTGGTGGCTCCAGCCAGCCCAACCCTATTGTCTTTCCAGTTTGCATAAAATATCAACCAATCAGGATAAGTCTAACAACACTTTCCCCCACAGGTCACTGGAATAGACCAATCAATTTCTTTATAACAATCATGGCAATTTGCATATAAAGATGGGTCTAACAACACCGGTACCATTCCCCCAGGTTACTACTGCCCGCGCGGGTCCAGCCAGCCCAACCCTGTCATCTGTCCCCCGGGTAAACACTGTCCTGAGGGAAGCGCCGAGCCGCAGGACTGTCCTGCTGGGTTCTACGTCGACACGGAAGGAGCCGCTGAGTGCACACCTTGTCCTGCAGGTCGGTTTTTTTAAGACTGTGGAGCAGAAAATTAGGAACACTTTGGCTATCCTCTATCAAGGCCTCACTGATTGTATCCTCAATTTTTCTTTGTCACTCGCACCCTTCCTTAGTGCTGTTATGATAACATGATCATTGTCCTACAGGTGGGTTATCTCAAGTCTTGAAGAAGCTACAAAAATACTGCAGTCTTACTGCTCTGGTGTTGTTTTCCCTGGTGTTATTGATGGTATTCTCATTTTCTTTGTCACTTGTACCTGTCCTTAGTGCTGAACCTCTGCTGTTGTTGTTATGCAACGGAAAACCTAGCATTTTCCAATGTCCTGAAGTATCCCTGTCCTGCAGATGGGTTGTCACAAGTCTGGAAGGAGCTGAAAATTTGCTGCTGTTGTAACATGTCTTCTCCTAAGGCCTCACTGATTGTATCCTCAATTTTCTGTTGTTACTGACACCTGTACTGAACGTATGCTGTAATGATAACATTACCTTCCAGTCCCAGAGTATCCCCAAGTTTATTGTGAAGAGTTAGGGAATAAGTACAGTCATTGTTGGTGACTTGGTTTGTAAAACTGCTGCAATTATATCCCATTGCCCTCCGTTCCCAGGTTCCTACTGTATCCCTGAGAACGTTGTGGAAGGGGATGCTTCGACGTCATACTTCCCCTGCCCCAAGGGTCACTTCTGTCCCAACGGCACCGGCCACAACTGGCAGCCCTGCCCTGCTGGGAGCTTCAGCAACGATACAGGTAAGGCCTTGGAAAAAAGGTTGGGTGTGCTGTTTCAGTCTTGAGACAAATTAGGGTCGACAGATTGGAAAACCAATTGTACAACATCACATGGAGCTAGAAAAGGTCAATCAGGTTATGTCCATTGCAGGGGTCCACCCCCAAAAAAGGTTAGGGTCTGCAGTGTTTTCTGTATCTGTTGTGACTTTCTCCCTACAGGACTAAGGGAAGCACTCCAGGCATGTACTGCCAGGGTAATGCTCTAACCCAGCCCACGGCACAGTGTTTGGAGTAGTACTGTGTTCACAATCTTCCACATTAAACCTGTACTCACTATTAATATTAAATGTACTGTACTTGCTACTTTTTCCCAACAGGACTGCAGGAGGCTTCACAGTGCACACCCTGTTCACCAGGCATGTACTGCCAGGGTACAGCACTAACCGAGCCCACGGCACAGTGCTGGGAGCGGTACTACTGGGTTCACAGCTTTCCACATTAAATCTGTACTTACTAATGTACTGTACCTGTGACTTTTTCCCTACAGGACTAAGGGAAGCAGTGGAGTGCACACCGTGTTCACCAGGCATGTACTGCCAGGGTACAGCTCTAACTGAGCCCACGGCACAGTGCTGGGAGCGGTACTACTGTGTGTCTGGAGTGGACCGGCCCAACCCTCTCATGCTGAATGACTCCCAATGTCCGGCTGACACCGTCCACCCGATCATCGGTCACATCTGCCCCGCCGGACACTACTGCCCCACCGGATCCATCTTCCCACAAGGTACACTGTAGTGGGTCTCAGATGTACCCAGCACGTACCACAGGTTAAAAAACTGTCGGCTTTTGCTTAAAGGCTGCTTTTAGATGTAAAGCACACTTCTAGGTACACATCATTGGGTTTCAGTACAGTACAGTACTTTCAGTAATCGTACCACAAGATTAAAAACTGTTTGATCATAAGTCGCTTTTTGAAAAGGATGACTTCTGACAATGCTCAAAATAATGTAATCCACCTCTCAGTAAAGCATTGCTAAAATCATTCTGAACTTGTAGAAAAGTTTTTTCTAGAATTTGTTGAAAATTGTAATAATAGCAGAAATGTAGGAGAGTATCTTTGAGAACTTGTGTGAGCAGCAAGCAAACTGATGTTAACCTCTTCACATTTTATATAATACAGCAGAGTACATTACTCATGTGTCATTCCTCCTCCAGGCTGTGATGCCGGTACTTACAACGATCTGACCGGTCAGTTTGAGTGCCAGCCTTGTCCAGTTGGTCACTTCTGCTACGCCAACACCACCGACTACACGCCCAACAACTGCCCAGCTGGTCACTACTGCCCGCCCGGCACCACAGACCCGCATGAGTTTGCCTGTCCAAATGGTGAGTCTGGAACGTTTTTAAACATTTACAAATGTGAGTCTAACTTGTACTTACTAATAGCCAACACAGCATAGCACACTAGACAATTGAAACCACAGACATCCTGTATCTGTATAGCCAGTATAACCGCCCTTCGCCAAAACACATAAGCTGTTGTGTTATGCCAAAGAGCTGTTATACTGGCTATACCGATACAAATACGTAGCACACCAGCTTTGCAGGCAAGCAGCATGTTGGCAGCTGGCTACATTACACCAAACGACTTGTTACACCTAACTTCCATCTATATTGTGTTGTGACTGTGAAAAATTAAGCACACAACATTTTTCTTGTAATCAAAACCAGGGACTTTCAACAACCACACCGGCCAGGATGACCTACAGGACTGTGAACCCTGCAGCCCGGGGATGTACTGTGAGGGGTCGGGCAACACCCACCCTACAGGACCGTGTGACGAGGGATGGTACTGCACAGAAGGGTCACTGGACAAACAGGTAGGGACATGCCTGGGTTTTTAAAGACCCACGCTTTAACCCTGCCCCACAGGAATGTACATGTACTATACCCTTTGTTAACCAGTGCCAGTGTGGGCACAGTTACAAAACTTGTCAGAAAGCATCATTTTCATTTAGAGGAACAGCTTTGCAATCTGTACATGGAAGTGTTATATACTACATTTTTTTTCTGACTGCAATATTGCAGATGAGTCAAAATTTTTGAAACTGCAAATACACAAGCCTCCATACTACAACCTTCTCAATGAAAATGCAGAATGTGGATTGGTATTTCAAACACTGACTACACACAGAACTCCAAGACGAGGTCTTTACCGGGTTGAAGAAGAGACAGAGTGCATCTCGAAAGCTCCCCAGTGTAGCTGAACTTCCATTGTGTGTTTTTGTATGAATATTTTGTCAGAAGACCACACTGATGTTATTCCTCCTCCTGTTGTCCAGCCCACAGCTAACGGTGGTCAGTGCCAGCCGGGCGAGTTCTGCCCCGAAGGCTCGTCTGCCCCACAGAACTGCACGGCTGGGTTTTACTGTGACGTCCCGGGTCTGCCTGCTACAGCTGGGTCGTGCCAGGCTGGGTCGTACTGTCCCACTGGGTCTTCTGCACCCACCCAGGTAATGTATGCACTGCAAACACCAAATAAACAGATGTGAAACTGTAATGTCATATACTGTGACTTGTTGATTGTAGATAATTAAACATTTTGATGTTAAACTGGTGTCAACTGTTCATACAGCGAACACCAATATAATAAACAGATGTGAAACTGTAATCTCTTAGACTGTGACTTGTTGATTAATATATGTATTATATATAAGTTAACATAATTTTGATGTTAAACTGGTGTCAACTGTTCATAAAGCCAAGATCAATAATATGGTAGTTATGTCTACAAAACTTATGACAGAAATCAAGCTGCATACTGTTAATGCCAAAACATGTTGCTGTGTTTTTGTTTTTAGATTCTCAAATAAAGCTTCATAGTTTCTAAAGAACCAAAGTGAAAAACCAGGCCCTGCTCCTCGTATCTGATGCCCAAATGTTCCCACACAGGTTGAATGTCCTGCAGGTTACTACTGCCCCAGTGAGAGCGGGTTCCCCCTGCCCTGTGGGAACGGCACCTACAGCCCCACCCGAGGTCTGACGGAGGAGTCCCTGTGTCGCCCCTGCACTCCTGGGCAGTTCTGTAACGGCACGGCTCTCACTGCACCTTCTGGACAGTGCTACCCAGGTAAGCAAAACTTCAGTTTTTTATTTATTGGTTCAACTGTACAGTGGACAGCCAAGGTTGCCCAACTTGTTCCAAGACTATTATAAAGGGCTAACCTTGGGGACAAAGACAACAACCTACATACATACACGTGCACATAAGCAAACCAATATGTACATGTAACTATCAAATTATGACATATCAGTTGCTTGGTCTTTGGTGAAAGACAGTGGATGTTATATGAAATGGCAGACTCTAAAGAAAATTCATTTATTCTGTTACCAGCAAGGGATATCAAAAAATTATTTATTAGATTGAACATCAGAGAATAATCATCACCATGAGTATTATCATCACCATGAAAGTTCTGCATTTTCTCTTTGTGCAAAATGTTATATTTTCCAAATACTGTGATTTAATCAAAACCAGCTAATCGCACATCCACCAACTCAGCGTCTAGAAATGCCCAATACTATCCCTAAGCATTCAGGCATAGATACACATGTAGCCAGAGTTCTGAGTACGATATGAACCTCTCCATGCTGTCCTGTTTGGCAGGTTACTACTGTCCGGAGGGCCAGAGCGTCCCCACGGCGTACGTGTGCCCCCGAGGTCACGAGTGTGCGGAGGGGACCGGTCCAGAACCCAAGCGCTGCGACAGCGGCTACTACCAGAACCTGCAGACCCAGGCTACCTGCAAGCCCTGCCCTGCCGGTCAGAACTACTTACTGGCTTTTATTTATAAAAAATCAACAAATTGAATCTATCTGAAAATGAGGAAGATCTACTTAACTGGTTGTCAAGTTTTCATTTACACACTCAGATGTTTTACAGGGAAATGGCCTTCTGCATTGTTAATCAAGTGTCACTGATACAAACATGTCTTTTATGTAAAGACTCCTACATAAGGACAGTTGCAGCTTCAATGTTTTTTAACCTCCTTGATGAAACTGACCAAAAATTAGGGTTCTTGTTTTGGGGATGTTTAACTGAATATATTTTTAATATAATTGTAATGATGAACTTCCATGCTAAGCGTTGACTCCTGTTTTCCCAGGTTATTTCTGTGACAACACGGCGCAGGCCGTTACTGACCTGTCCGGCTCCTCCTGTCCCGAGGGACACTACTGTCCCAACCGGACCGAGCGGGCCAACCAGTACCCCTGTCCCATCGGCTCTTACAACAACCAGACAAACCGGGAGAGCCAGGACAGCTGCCTGCCGTGTCCACCCAAATACTACTGCTCAGTACCCGGTCTGGCTACACCTGGGGAGGGGCAGTGCTACGCTGGGTAGGTGTTAACATGTTATAATCATTAATGTAGACATATAGAACAAATGAGCTGCCTGCCATGTCCACCCAAGTACTACTGCTCCGTACCTGGTCTGGCTACACCTGGGGAGGGGCAGTGCTACGCTGGGTAGGTGTTATGTACTGTTTATGGTATAATGAAAATAATGGTTCTGAGACATAAACAATAAGGAGTTAAACTTCCCACACAAAATGTACAACTAGACAAGCCTAGGTTTTCAAACAAGTCTTCTGCCTATGTGTGCAGCAAGTTGCTTTAAGGTAATTTAAAGGTGTTTCAGCTCAACAGCATTTTCCTTTCCTGTAACTGTATGGTACTAAGTTAGCATTGTGATAACTCTTGTAACTTACCATCATTTATCGCCTTATGTATTGTCTTTTTCTACAGGTACTACTGCAATGGCAGTGTGATCACCCCCACCCCCTCAGAAACCATCTGCCCCAGGGGTAACTACTGCCCCCAGGGGTCCTACCAGCCCACCCCCTGCCCCTCAGGCAGCATCTCCACCGGGGTGGGGAACCAGAATGTCTCTGACTGTGACCCTTGCGACCCTGGGCAGTACTGCACCCCAGAGTCGTCACTAACAGGTCAGTCTTCAGCATTTATTTTTACTAAAGTGTTGAATGTATTTCTCATGCGATGAGGATGGAAACTGCCTTATAGCAGTCATACAATAGAACTGGTATTAATCTGGCCGAGCACTCAACCTCCTACCAGTTGACTGGAATGCATTGCAACTCTCTTCCCCCAAATTCAACAAACTGACAAAATTTGTGTTTATGTACTCAAGTATAGTATCATAATATTAAATTTGCAAATAAAAGTCAAGTCAATGCCTTTATTCTACTTCGAAGAAGACCCATAAACCTAGTCTGGGACCCAGGCACTAATAACCACTGTATTCTGCTGTTCCTCTACAGGCCAGAGCAGGGACTGCGACCCAGGCTACATCTGTGTCTTGGGTTCCTCGGTCCCCAACCCCACGGACGGGGTCATGGGTCACATCTGTCCCGTAGGACACTTCTGTCCCGCTGCAGCAGTGATGGAGCAGCCGTGCGACAAGGGCACCTACCAGCCGTACCAGGGGCAGGGGAACTGTACGGAGTGCCCCCGGGGGACCACCTGTCCGCACAGGGGTATGAATGACACCCTGCCCTGCCCTGCAGGTTACTACTGCCACCCAGGCACAGGCGACAATGGGAACCCGTGCCCCATTGGTGAGCAGGCTTCATTCACTACACATAACAATAACTCTGGCAAACCTCTGCTTTTACCTTTCTAGCAAAAAAGGAAGATCTGAGTATTTGTTTGACCATTGGTTTAGCTATTGTGATTTGCAAGAAGGACAGATTGTAGAAGAAACTTGCGAAGGAACTAGATCTACTGTAACAGTTGTGTGTATGCCTGATTGGCTAATATTTTAATCAGGGTATTGCTGTAAGACTGTAAAACTGTTTGGACATCTAAAATCAAATATATGTTTTCAGCTTTCTTATTTACCTTCTCCTTTCCAACAGGCTACTACAGTAACTACAGAGGCCTGAGTGAAGAGTCTGGCTGCCTGCGATGCCCACCTGGGTACTACTGTAACGAGACGGGACAGGAGTACCCCACCGGCCACTGCAGCGCCGGGTACCTCTGTCTGAACGGTTCCCGGTCAGCCACGCCTAGCGACGGGGTCAACGAACCCTGTCAGAAGGGATACTACTGTCCCAAAGGTAAGGCCACTTCCAACAAGTGCATCACACCCTTGACAAAGGTTGACGAGATTGACTAAAAATTCATGGTTCCTTTATTGTGTTGGAACAAAGCTACAATTAATATTTTGCCATACCTACAGTTTAGAGCAACCCTGTACGTGGCAGTTATCTTCTGGTTGCGCCACTTGTCTAGCCACAAGACCACGCTAATTGTGACATCACTGCTGGCTATATAACCGTCATTACTTGTTGTCTTGATTCAATAACTCTCACAATGTTAATAAGTTGACTTGTCTTGTAGTTCTAAGTTTATTCATTTGTTTCTCAAATTGTATTATGTGATTATTTTGATTACTTTTTGTATTGCTTTGTCATTTTATTGGCATGGCGGCTTTGAAAAGGTGTTTCATGTCAGAAACACCTGTTTCGCCATGCCATCCACAGTGCATTTTTGTACGTGGTAAAACTTAACAAATAAATATCTTTTAACTGTTTATTTCTGCAGGAGCCATCGCAGCCATCGCCTGCCCAGCCGGTACCATGAACCCCGACGCCCACGGGCGGAATGTGTCAGACTGCCGACCCTGTTCCCCAGGGTACTACTGCGGAACCACGGGTCTGTTCGAGCCGACCGGGCCGTGTGACGAGAACTTCTACTGCCCAGACTTTGCAGAGATCGACAACCCTCAGCCGGCCGCCTTTGCTTGCCCTGCTGGGTCCTTCTGTCCCAACACCACAGCCTGGCCACATGGGTGCCTTCCAGGTAAGGATGGGGTCTTCAAGTTACATTCTAGACAGGAATAATTGCAACATGAGCAATGCTGCTTCTTCTTGTAAATAAAAAGTAAGGGCTCTCATCATTTCCTGATTTTCTCTCATTTTTCCCAGGCACCTACCAGACTTCAACGGGCAGCAATGACTGCGACCCTTGCCCCGCGGGGTCCTTCTGTATCGGCAACTCGACAACCCCCGAGCCCTGCCTGGCGTACTCCTACTGCCCTGCAGGTTCAGACTACCCCACGCTCTGTCCAAACGGCACACACACGCTGCCCGGGGTGACCGGGCAGGAGCGGCCTGAACAGTGCCAGCAGTGCCCTACAGGTAACGTAAATCTTTCTTCAGCATCAAGTTCATCTGAGTTGGTAAATTACATTATGCAGAATTTTAAACTGTTCTCCAACTCATAAATTTACCGGAATTTTCGACTGAATCACTCAGTCTTCCTCAGCGAAAAATCACGTGTTCACAGCATTTGGGTCAGATAGCTGAGGAAGACTGAGTG